GATTTATAGTAAATCGGAGCATGATAGAAACTGTATTTGCAAGGTCCTTACTCATATTGATACTTTGGAATTTAAAACAAATTGCAATATAACCTCTTACCATGACATAAACAGAAATATTTTCTTGCTAAGAATCATTTTAATGTTCTTATTTAAAAACTGTAACAAAAAATGGAGAATGTTAATTTAAAAATATCATTTTCATTGCTATTTTTAAAGAAAATTACAGTATTTGCCACTGTTTTTTAAATTCAAACGTCAATCATATTGTTGGTGTTTTTTACAAAACAGAAGAAGTACTGTAGTTTAACCCTGTATGTCTTTTTTCTTCTTCTTTGACCTCTTTCTGCTATCTTTCTCCTTCTGCTATCTTTCTCCTTATGCTATCTTTCTCCTTCTGCTTCTCTTTCTCCATACAGCAACTGCGCAGCCAGGCCAGAGCCCTGATCACCTTTGCTGGTATGATCCCCTACAACATGGCCGGGGACACCAACGCAAGACTGGTGCAGATGGAATTACTGATGAACTGATACAACATCAACACACACACTCACACATATACACACATTCACACACTCACACACATTCAGAGCTACAAATAGAAAGGTTTTTGCAGACAGTCACAATCACGCACCCTCACTTTTCCATTTACCATATTCTTTTGTATAAAATAATTTCATCGTCTTATATCACCCCTCTTTTTGTTCTTTATTCCTTTTTTTCAGTTTTGTTGTTTAACATTTGTATGTTTGTTGATTTGGAATAAAAAAAAACAAGTTTACTTTCAGTTGTCTTTTCATTTGAAACCACTAAATGTTCATTAAGTTTCCTTTTTTTCTCATTTTGCCTCAGTTTTATAATTAATTTCCCTCAGTTAAAAAAAACCCATTGTTTTCACGAAGTCTCTCATGTGCCAAACTGTCAGTCTTGTTCATTTGTAATCCATTTGCCCTTCAAATTGGACAGTTATAATGTAAATGTTATAGTGACAACATTTGCATTAATAACATTGGGCTCAGTATAATGTACAGAGCAAACTCTCTATCATTGTCATCATCTATCCATGGAGTGGAGCAATGATTGAGGATTTTCAGATATAGATATGTTCTAATTCAAATTGAGCTTGTCACGGTCTTCCTGGTCCTGAGAGTTGCAGGCTGGCCTTGTTTCCTCTGACTGCTCTCAGTATCTGTGACTCCTGTCCCCCGGCTTCAGGTTGACTGCAGGACTGGAGGGATATTTCTGTCTGTCTCTGTATCAGAGGGGTGACTGTGGGTAAAGGAAAGGACATTTTTAACAAAACTGCAACACTTTTTCTCGTGATAAATCATTAGGTTTCAGAATATTTGACTAAAAAAAAGTTTTTTATGTTTTCTTTAAGAAAAGCTGCCTGTTTTATTATTATTGTTTTGATGGATTGTCCCTCCATTTTGGCGCTACGTATTTTCCTGTTGAGGATATTGCAAATGTGTGTGAAAAATGCTAGTCCTCTTTTTTTTTTAAAGTTTGCTAGACTTACGGGTCATGGTTAATTTGGCCTCAAATGTCATTTAGACATTAAACAGGTCCCTCGGTTAAAAACAGTCTCGCTTGAAGTTAGATTTCCAAGAAAAGGCCCTAGCAACCTTACAGAGCACCATAGTAACTACCTAACACCCTTTGGAATCTAAACACCCAATAAATATCTAGCAACAGAAGACATTAAGCTATACATTTGGCTGGTGTTTGCAAGCCCCCAAGCACATGCAAATCTTCAGAAACAATCACCCGTCGTCCCTTCTGTTAAATGTGTGGCCCTCACTCTCTGTCCTTCAGTCTGGCCTGAGAGAACACAGATGGAGGCTCATTCTGTCTTGGCTGCTCCACATAACTGCACAGAGACGTGAGGTTCATCCACGGCCACAGACCAAGCTGAGCCAAGCACTATGGCACCCGTGCTGTTGTACTGCTTTCCAATGCTGGGAGCAGAAACTCAGCACTGCCCCTGCAACACTTGATATTATAGCCCACTATCAAAAAATCCCCAGGCACATAAACAACATCCTAGTTGCTGTCCTAAACTAAAGTGAGATGCTGATTATGTCGCTATTATTAGATGCTTTTACTGTCAGAATTTGTTGATCAACTGCTGCACACTCCTGAAAATGATGCCTCTTCCAATGTTTTTTGTCAGGGATGCAGTATTCTCTGGGAATCAATATTCATTATATAATATTCCAATAATGAAATTATAGCTGACAAATTATCTGTTGTTAATATATAACAACATTGCTTTAATCACTTTAAAAGCTAGGTATCTATACACTATCAGAGGGAGATGACACAAATGCAATTCCCAAAACAAAACTATGTGAGATTATACTTTTAATAGTCTTATCGTAATGGTCACAAGAAGCACGATTATCAGTTCATTATCATTATTCAAAGAAAGAACTCGATAAACGCATCCCCACTTTTTGTACTGCCTGCCGTGTGTGTGTGTATGTGTGTTTTTTTCATCCAGCAGCAGAAGCCCTGCCTGCCTCTCAGGTGTGTGTGCTGCAGCTGGTGTTGTGAATCAGGCCGATGACAGACACCTCCTAAAACCCGGCTATTTCACAACACCAGGGTGGCACCGCACCACTGACGACGAGGCGAAGAATCCCACATGATGCTGCTGAGGGGGCCAATACAAATCAAGTCTGAAGTATTAATCCAGTACCAAATGCACACAGAACTAAGGGTGCATTTAAAACGAGTTTAACTGTGATGTTATTTATATTTTTAAGTTGATTTACTCCTGATTATATGGTCATATTATAATTATTATTTCACTCATTCCCTCAGATATAATAACTATTATGTGTTCAATCAAGATGCATACTTTCAGTTAGGAGACAAAACGAAGTTACATTCATTAAAACACTGACTCTTTTATAAACCTTCCTAAACTTGTTGAATCTGTTTTGCTTTGTTAATAAATATTAACAATTTTCTCTGACGATTCTGTTGTGTTGCTGTTTGCCCGCAGTTGTGAGGCGCTTTAAGATGATCATTAAGAGCTTATTTCCATTTCAAAGACAAACTAGGCAGCAAAAGAAGTAGAAATGTATGATCAGTAAGCTTACAAGATGTGTTGTGAGGTTTCAATGCAGTGATTTAACTGTTTGATATGCTAATGAAATCCACTGGCAGAGATGGGAGTCTTGAGGTGTATGAATACACACTGCTCAATGTTGTGGATAATGGGATGCTTCTGAACTAAGAATAGATTGTTTTTATAGGCAGCCATTTGTAACCGTTTCTTCATCCTTTGTGTAATTTATCCCATCTGAATATTTGTAGACTATTTTATATTTGTTTACCATGAAGGATCTATCAGAGAATGAGGGTTTGGTGAAGCCAGCACTAATAGAAAAGAAACAGATACAACACACTGTATTATCTCAGGCCATATGATCTGCTGCAAACCTGCCTCATCCATCATGGTGCCTTCCTTGACAAAAAGAAAAAAATCTGTCTTTGATCTGTCCTATCAAAGACAGATGGTCTGCACCCAAAAAGGAAAATGGCCTGCCTGATGTCTGCGAATATGGACTGTGGCCTCCGGGTGTGCCAAGTTGGCACTGTAGGAAATACAGTGACCCATTTATGGCTTTCCCTAAAGACACCCAGAGAGTCCCACACTGTTTGACCTGCTGACCCTAAAAAAAAGGTTTTATTTATTTATTCCAACTCCCTTTACTGTTTGTAGGATGTGGTTTAGTAAATGTTCTATCCAAAAAGACGTTATCTTAGAGATTCCCCAATACAGAAATGTAGTTTGAGATGTAGTGGACATATAATTAGAGGTGGAAAGTAACTAAGTACATTCACTAAGGTACTGTACTTACAGTAAGTACAATTTTGAAATTCTTGTACTTTGCTCGACTATTTCCATTTTATGCTACTTTGTACTTCTAAGTCATTAAAACTAGCTGCACCTTCACCAGCTTTGATAACGCTTTACTGCATCAATAAATATAATCAAAACATATATATTATTCTGAAATGTAACATTTGCATAATAAGTACTTTTACTTTTGGTACTTTAAGTACATTTTGATGCCAATACTTTTGTACTTTTACTTGAGGAACATTTTGAATCCAGGACTTTTATTTCTAACAGAGTATTCCTACATTCTGGTACTTCTACTTTTACTCAAGTACAAGATCTGAGTAGGCCTACTTCTCCCATCTTTGCATGTAAGATTCATAATTCCTTTTTAATTGTAGTGCTATTTCACATACTGAAGTAGTGAGGGGGTACACTTTCCAAAGCACTAAACCACTTTGGCCAGTAGTGACATCTACAGGAAAATATTAGCATTGTGTGTCTAAAACTAATGTTTGGTAAATGCACAGTGCAGAGGTCTGTGGGGGTTTGGAGAGTATCTGTTTCAGACAGAGGTGGAAGAAATACTCAGATTATTTACGTAAGTAAAAGGATTAATACTACAGTGTAAAAATACTCAGTTACAAGTCCTGCAATCATAATTGTACTAAAGTAAAAACAATATTAACACTAAAAAATACTTGAAGTGCCAAAAGTAAATGTACTCGTTATGAAAAATGGCCATTTTATCAAAGATATGTGTGCATTTATGTGTTCAACAATGTAATGTTGCACTTGCTAAAGGTGGGGTTAATTGGAATTACTTTATACACTTCAGGGTAGCTTAAACTTTAATATTATATTATAATGTGTGTTGATTTATATTTTGTATTAATAACCAAAATCTGCAAAGTAACTAGTAACTAAATATGTCATGTAAAAAGTATAACATTTGCCAACAAATGTAATGTCAAAATATAAAATAGCCTAATTTGAAAATACTCAAGCAATGTACAAGTACCTAAGTAAATGTACTTCGTGACATTACACAACTGGTTTTAGATATTGCTGAAATACTTTATATTGACCAATTAATACAAACAGCCTATAAATGGCAGAATCGCAGACCCAACTTCGACAGGTGTTCTTAATCAGAGAGCAGCAGGCGTTGATAACGAGGACAACAGAGGAGCACTTCCCTTTGACATACAAAATCTATATATATATATCGCATTTAAATATAAGATTCAAATATATTTTTTACCCCAAAACACAACAGAAATGATCCTCATCGGCTTGAAGGTGGGTATGGATACAAATGTTGAGTTTGAATACTTCATGTAAGAAAACAAAGCTAAACGTGTTTGTAGCGTCAGGCTAAACTGATAATGTAGCCTAGCTTAGCCTAGCTAGACGTAAATTAATTAATTAACAGTTACAGTGGAAATGTTTTTTCTTCAAACCAGCTGAGCGTGGTCCTCGTGCTACTCCTTGGGTGCACGCATCATCTTGTTCAGGGTAAGGGTGTCTACTTGTATAATACAAATATCAAAAGTTATGTTTCTTGTCGAAGTATAAAGTTATATTTGTTAACTGTACAGGAAAGTGCAGCGTGGAGCATTGCACGGACCCCACCAGGTGTGTTCTGTCTATAGGCCAAATAAGCTGCAAATGTGCCATTGGATATTATGGCGACCAATGTGACAAAGGTAGGCACATTCCTATTCATTTCTTACTACTTCTTTTTACATTTCACTCTGCCTAAAATAATGTATTTTTTTTTACAGAAGGGGCTCTTACAGTTCCTAATTTAGCACCTTAAATATTTAGGAGGCCTATTACACTTAAAGTTAAGGCAAACATATTTTTTTAAAACGTTTTATTCATTAGCAAGGGTCCTTGTCCAGAAACATTGGATTCTACATTTCCCACAATAGCATAATTTGGCGAGACACTGTGTCTGGTAATTGCCAACATTTCAAAATCCTTGCCCCAATTTGCAACTTTTCATTAGGCACCAAGTCCAAGAAATGACTTTGTTAAATGTTACTCTAATTATTTCAGGGTACTTTTTTTTTTTTTAAAGGCAGGAAGATATTTTGCAACCGTTTTCACAGGCGGAGTAATCATTTACTCCAAATATATAAACAGTTTTTGTAGATTTTTTTACCTTGTTGTTCAAATGCCTGCAAAGGAACATTTGTTCTGTCCATACAACTTGAATACAAATACATAAGCAGAATAGATGCCTTAGCTGTACTGTAAATGACAGTTATGCTATGGATGTTAGGCTCATAAGTTGTTGCAATCAAGACAGATGGAAACGAATGAAAACACTTAACATACTTATTGTGTTTGTATACAGTGCATGTGTCCTCCTGTGAATCTCATGCAGCCACCTGCCTTGCATACCTAATAACCTTACATTTTACAGATGCACACATAAAAGTAATGTGTGGCAGGGACTACATAACAGTCAGAGCATTAGAGGATTTCTTCATGTATCACAACGTGCCACTGGAGTCCCTGCACTTGTCCAACAAATCTTGCCGTGCTCAGAGAGAAGTCATCCATGGTGTGCCGTACTACATATCCCGGACAACTAAAGAGAAATATCTAGCCTGTGGAGGCAAGCAGCTGGAGGTACACCTCAAGCAGTATTTACGTTACATGCCTTACACTTTCTTTTCCTTGTTCAGTAGAAAAAGGATTTTAGTATTTCTCTCTCACAATGTTGCATTTGATGCTTTGTTTCCTTCTTACAGAAAAACCTTACTCACATCTCCTATTCCCTGAGTCTACTGTCAGATCCTCAGGTTACTGGAAACATCATCAGAGATCCAGTCATTAAGATTGAATACAAATGCATCTATCCATACATCAGGAGAGTCAGCCTACCTTTCCTGGTCGTCCCCGTTTCCAGGTAAGGATGTTGAATAGAAATGCTTACAGGTTGCACCAGTCCACCAACAGTTTCAGGTAATGTAGGTACAAATATAAGGAAGGGAATCGTCTCTGTTCAAGTGCATGGTTCTGTGGTTTCTAATCACATGTACGTTTGAGATGTTTTCCAAAGCCATAGTGCCCCCTGATGGCCTCCTAACATTTTATTTTACTGTGCACTGCAATGGAAAACAATTATATCATTTAATACATAGTGGAATTGCGTTTTGCACTTGTTCACCAAACTCTCTTTTTTGTTTTCTTGCCTCTTCTGTGTACATGGCAGTGAGACAGTGATGCGTGTAGATGAACTTGATGCCACAATAGAGCTGATGCTTTACACAGACCAGTCCTACTCTAAGGCCTACAGCAGTTCCCCCACCATCGAGCTCAGAGACAAGGTAGGGTTACAATTTTAAATCCAAGGCTTTAGATTGAGAGCTTGATTTAATTGACTGTATGCTTTATGCCCCAACAACCCTATTGCTAAAATGTTTTCCATATTCATAAACACAGCAAAATGGTTGAAAAATTAAAAAGCCACAAATATTTGTAGTGTTAAATCATATTCAAACACAATTTTGAGAATTCATTTTGTTTCATGTCGGTGATGGCTTTAGTGTGACTTTTAAATGACAATGTGTCCAGGTGTATGTGGAGGTGACGGTCACAGAGCCTGCAGATTTCTTCCTGCTCCGGCTCAATGAGTGCTGGGCCACACAGTCCTCCCAGCCTAGAACTGCAGAGGGACTGGTTCACACGCTGCTTATGAACGGGTCAGAGCAGCTCTCGAATATCAACAGTTTGTCTCCCTTTCATTTTTAAATATGAGCCCCACTCCACCCATTCCTACTCCTTATTTCCATCTCTTTATTCAGGTGTGTGAATGACCAAACTGTTGTCTTTCTAAACGGGAGCACGGGACAGCCTGGCCGTAACGGAGAAAGTTCTACTGTTCGCTACAGCTTCGACATGTTTCGCTTCACATCCACACCTCACGACCTCTATCTGCACTGCACTGTCCAGCTCTGTGAACCAGACGACCACGAGTCCTGCACACCTGTGAGCTCACTCAATTTACTTACTTGGATCTGTTACCTGGTACCAAGAAGCCGAAACCCTTAGGCCTCATGTGTTACATCTCGAAGAAAATGAACATATTTTCCTATTAGGCTACCTGTTATTTCTTCATTTCGAGGTCTCTTTTGTTTCTTGTTTTTGTTTACAGAACTGTAAATCGATCACTAAGAGAGAAGCGGTGAGAGCAGACCCCCCCCTGGGCCTCCTGTCGTATGGACCCATCCGGATTGAAGTGCCAGACGGAGCTCAATCTAGTAATCAAACTATCTCTGCTCTCTCTGTAGACTTCATTAGAAGATATACTTAACTGCAGTGGATATCACATTTATCTGTTTGCTGTTTGTTTCAGGCGTACTGATGACGGTGGTGCTTCCTGTAGCCGCTGTCTGGACGGTTGGCTTCTTCCTCATCATCCTCATCACCGTGGCCAAAGCAAGGCAGCAGGAGGCTTGCACAAACTGAGGAGCACTGACAACAACAATGCTGCTATTGGCAGCTTGAATAAAACTTTCAAAAGAAACCATATCTATTTTTATTTATTTCCTGATAAGATTTCCAAAGCTAAAGTTGTGTTCAGTAGGGCGACTGACCTTTTACTTTCAACAGCAAATTAACATTGAATAACAAATATGGATTCAAAAAGGTTGAACTAGTTGAATTACACTTTGAGAAATTCCGGAGGAGGAATGCTTAAGTGCTGAGGTATAATAATAATAATAATAATAATAATAATAATGTTGGTCAGGGTTGGTTAATATTTTCTACATGTTCACATATAGATTTATGGTATAATCCTCATGACATTTCATTAGAAGTGTTTCACTTTAATGCATGCTATCGATTGTGTAATATACTAAACGCGAACCTAATTTACCTCCATGCATAATAGTATGTGCTTCCTGTCCCAAATGACTACAGCAGCAGGTAGTTTCCCGTGAGGACAGCAGATGGCACGCTGAGTCAGGTCTGCTGTGCGAAGGGAGGAGGGCTCTCGTCTCTTAAAATGATTACATATCTTTTATCAGAAACCCAGCTGTTTGATGGCGGTCTCGAAAATATTGACACAACGCGTTTCCGTTTAGAGTTAAAAGCCGTGGTGTACGTCTACTTTGGAGCAAAACGGTGCAGGTGAAATTTGATATCCTGCCTCTGGAGTCCAGATTTTCTTTGTTTTTGTCGTGTGCAACATTTCGCAACAAGTTCAGAAACTCCTGAACTTCCAAAAATACTTGTCGTGTGCTAATCCCGTGTTTGCAGTGTATTTGATGAGACTTGTTGCAGTACTTCTCATTGTGCTCCAGATGCTGGTCTGATCAGCCATTGTGGACGAAGGAAAAGGGGGCAAGGTCTAGTTTAGTGCCCGCCGGCTACACTGTTAGCTGAGTGCATGAAAGGAGCTGCTGTATGAACACTTGGATGAGCCATGAAGCTGCTGGCCCAGGACAAATCGCTCAGTATGCAACCGGGAATGGATTAGTATAATTTCGATTCGTGTTTTTCCGAGGTTCAGTGAATGCACTTTATTTTACATAGTTTGTAGCAATTTTTTCTAGTGCTCAAACCCAAAAAATGAGCAGATAGTGGGGCTACTTGTTGCGGAGGTTTGTGATTTGATGTAAGAGGAGGAGAAGAAAAGAAGTCCAGCACTTTGTCCTGCCGGAGGAAGTTGTTTGGCTGTTTTCTGTCACCACGTCTTCATCACCCCACAACAGCAACAGGAAGATGGCACCCAAACAGCCCTGGACTCAGAGCATTATCACTTTGTGGTCCTTACTCTGCCTGATCCAGAGCAGCCCGGCAACAGATGTCCCGGAGGAAGAAGGCTTCAATGCTGAGGTATAACATCTGGATCTGGGTACAGACAATACTTTTCTAGATGGTTACGATATTCCCTTTTTGTAGTTTTATTTTAAAACTTAATTAGTTTAATTTACAGTACTCATACAATGTATTTATAAGTGTCTGAGTAGATCATTTTCTCAGTTTATTGGATACTTGTTTGTGTTCATAAGCAGGTTATAAGTGCATATCCTTGTGTTTGTTTTTGTTAAACATCAAAGCATCAGGTGGGTTCTAGCACTGCAGGGGTGTCATTTGACCATTTGACCTTTTTCCAAATCACAACACAGCACTTGAGGTACAAACCTATGTATAAAATGGTATTGCCTTTTGTAGAATCATGTAAAGATCATATAATCTTGAATTACAAAAACAACACTTTTAGCATTTACTTGCACAATGTATAACCAGAATATGAACAATGAAACAACCACTATGATTGGAGTTGTAAGCCAATTGTAGGACATTTAAAGAGTTGATTTATGTATTTGTCAACTTATCTTAATTAAGAAGCCTCCAGAATTAAGTTTGATTATGTAATACAGGTATAATACAATTAAAATATATATTAGTATAGTTGATATCCACATGAATAGTTGATTTTCAAACTTGTAAAAAGAGTATGTTTAAGATTTAGAGAAAACATATTAAATTGACCATGAGTTGGTGATGTCTTCTTGAGACAGTTTTAAACTGGAAACATATAACACACAGTAGCATAATAAACTAAGTGTACTAGAAGTAATATAAAAGATCCATGCAAAATAGAACAGCAATGCAAGTACATAAATTAAGCAAAGTAAGTGACATTAACATTATTATCACTGTTTGAACACCACTGTCTGATGGACAGAACATTTCCTATACATTTCCTTATATTTGTTTAAAAACTACATTAAAGCGTGTATGAAGTGTCTGTACCCTGATTATGTATATTGAATATAGGGGTTACCATTATTCAGATTTTCACAAGATATGTTATTAATGTTGTGGTTTTAAAAATAATGACATTCTGTTAAATGTAATTATCATGTATATGCCATATTGTTGATTTATATAACAATGTAAGAATATCACAATGTTGAATCCAGTCATATCCTCCAGAGGTTTTACTTATCTTCTTTCATGTTCTTTAGGCACAGGTGTGAATAAGCCCACTTTAAGGTTACATGGGTCAAGACTTGTCATGCTATGCAGAAATGGTCTTTTAAGGTTTTTCTCTGCCTGAGTGTGTTCATGCATGATGAGTTTTTGTGTTGCGAGTGTGTGTTTTGCCCCCGGCCTAAGTTCATCCCATACATGCATGAAGGTATGAGTCCCATGATCCATCTGTATGAGGGGGCCTGTGGCGTTGTTTTTGAGCTCTCAAGGCTTTTTTAAAGGGCAGAACTCAAAACTTTACAGATTCCCCCCCAGGAGCCATGGTCCTGTTTGCCTGCCTACAAGTCTCTACACGCTCAATTTCACTGTCAGCAAACATGAAGCAAAAAGGGGAAATTCAGCATGTGTAAGCCTTTTACCATTATTTTAAGTAGACTCATGCAGAGTTTTGTGTTTAACTACAGCAGTGACATACAGTTTTATTATTGCCCTTTTAGTTTTCCTGTTTCCACTTCTTCCTCTGTTCTCCTCCTCATCTTGGCTGTCAGTGTGGAGAAGGCGCAGGAATGTCGTAATGTTAATAGAAGCCATCTGGTTTCTATCTCTACTTTTCTTTTAACTCCTCAGATGCTCCCTCTAGGATTATCCACTGTCTAATGACTAAACAGTTGTAGCTGTCATACAAATGTATCGCACACACAAAAACAAACATGTGTTTAGGAACTTTTCCAAAGGAAGACTAAGTAAATCTGATTGTCTCCTCACAGGCGTGGCTTCGTAAATTTGGCTACCTGTCTCAGGCGAGCGGTCAGATGTCCACCATGCAGTCGGCTCAGATTCTTTCCAAAGCCATCGGTGACATGCAGCGCTTCTATGGCCTGGAGGTGACCGGAGAGATGGACCCTGCTACTGTTGTGTAAGAAAGTATTTATTTTGGTTTTATTCTGCAGTTTTTTTTGTCCCAAAGACACGCAACACCACTTTACGTTTGTGTGAGCAGTGACCACAAACTGAATCCAGAGATCTTGAGGGATTTCTTTAAATCATGTTGGACTTTATTTTACATTTATTGCCATTTTTTAGATCCTTCATTTGTATGCCTTCTATGGCCTCGTGCCGGTCAACAAACCTCAACCCAAGAACCAAGCATCCTGAAGCAATTTGTTTCATAGCTTTGGCTTTTCCTCATCACATAATAACTTTGTCATATTAATTTGTCTGTATTACCAGGGGCGGAGAAACAATGCCAGCTTGTTTTTATGCCCATAAGGTTTGGATTATAGTTTAATTTAGCTTATATCACATCATGACTAATGAGGCTAGTCGGGCTATTGTGTTATATCCTCACATTCATCTGTGGCCTTGATTCATTTTATTAGACCGGTTCCCTGGAAGTGTACACTGTGTGCAAGTTCTAGGAAAAATGACAAGATCTTAGAGGAAAGGTTTTGTAAATACACCTTATTCCCAAGAGTAAGAGGAAAATATTGATACCACTGTTATGTGAAGCTAAAAAAGCAGCAGCAACCAATTAGCTTAGTTTAGCCCTGTTACAGGAAAAGGGGAAGCAGCTAGCCTAGCTCTCTGCAAAGTTAACAGAATCTGCAGATCAGCACATCATTATTTAACACATACTGTAATGTGTTGTTGTTTAATCCCTTAAAGAACAGAAACCAAGTAAAAAAGAAAACATGTTTGTAGTTACCTATGGACAAAGCGAGGCTTGCTGTTTCCATCTTTTTCCAGTCTTTGTGCTAAGCTAAGTCGACTACTGGCAGTGGCCTCATTTACAGTAATGCTTGACAAAAAAGTGATTAAGTGTGTTTCCCAAAGTGTCAAACTATTCCTTTAACATGACAAATTCACTTTGTTTTCACATTTTAGTTTGTCAGAGATTAGTCCTGAAAAAGGGCTTAGATTAAGTGCTCCATGCTGGTTTAGAATAATAATTTCCAGCTTTGTGAAGAGTCTATCAAAAAGGATTAGAAATAAAACATTTCAAGAAATCACAAAAGCTACCGCAAACAGTATAAGGGTCAAGTTTATGGCCATGAAAAAAAAAGTCATTATGCTAGGTTAGCATGTTGGTGACAACAGTTTGTAATGTGTGTGTCTGTTTCTGTGTGCTTAGGGCGATGCGTCTGCCCCGCTGTGGCCTCCCAGACAGAAAGGCAGAGGAGATTGATGTTGGTGCTAGAAAGAAGCGCTACACTCTCACTGGAAAGCAGTGGGACAAAGACCACATCACCTACAGGTTTATAGCACTGACATGTAAAAGAAATTCAACAACAAAGCAATAGCATAACATCTCTAATAGGCTTTTTCTTCTGGCTCTAGTTTATTAAAATATCACGCGTTGCTGGGCGAGGAGCAGACGTACAAAGCTATCCGCAGCGCCTTCGATGTGTGGAGACGGGTCACGCCGCTCACCTTTGAGGAGTTACCTGCTGAACACTACAACCACAGCATCAACGGCAGCAAGTCAGAGCTCTCTGACATCCTGTTGTTGTTTGCCTCTGGTTACCACGGTGATATGTCATTGTTTGATGGCGAGGGAGGGTCGTTGGCCCATGCCTACTACCCCGGACCAGGAATCGGTGGGGATGTACACTTTGATGAAGATGAGCCTTGGACATTGGACAATAAAAACCCAGAAGGTAAGTCAGTTGACTCTTTTTTTCTAGCGGGGATTGAACTTGTGACCTTTTGGCAACAGCATCATTTCTCTGTCTCTTCTGGTTAACTGGGCTGCAGCAGTAAAGGTTCACTGGGTACATGTCCATGAGAATTGGATGTGTCTACAAGTTTGCTGTAATGCCATACTAATAAAATCTAACCAGCCATTTAGCTTGTTAAAAATATTTATTAGCTTTCCTCTTCCTGTTTTGGTTGCCCAATAGTTGATTCACTTCCTTTATGGTATAAATGGAGCCTTAATTTTACCATGAGAATGCACCCCGGTGGCAGACAGAGTTGCATAGTGAAATCAAGCCTATAGGGAACCAATATAAACGCAGATGGTGTCATTATTTTATATTACATGTGCAATTTATATTTACTTCATAATGATACGTTTTTAGCAAAAAAAATGTTGTATAAATATGTAAACAAATGTACAAACAATATGTGTGTCACTGCAGGTATTGACTTCTTCCTGGTTGCGGTCCATGAGCTCGGTCACGCTTTGGGTCTGGAGCACTCTGATAACCCCAGCGCCATAATGGCTCCTCTCTACCAGTGGACTCACACACATAACTTCTCCCTACACGAGGATGACATCAGAGGAATACAGTACATATACGGTAAGAGGCACGCACTGTCCAGATACACCTATTTATATCATTGGTTTTATTTATGGCTTCAACAATGCAGTATTTTAAGGCACCACCAGAGCAGAATTTGGATTTGAACCTGACACAGTGAGCCCTTTAATGTCAGATTTTTCCATCAGCTAGTGCAAAGATACTTAACTGAACCATAACACAGCTTTGTCTACATTGATTAAGATCTATTAATTGATATACACAACTAGAAAGCCTTTTCTAACCTTACCACCAAGACCCGATTAGTATCATGGTTTAGCCTTAGCAGAAACACACAAAACAAACTGTGAACTCAAACTCTTTTGATGTTTTGACTTCATACTCTTCATGCTTTTTGGATCTAAAATCAGCAAGGGTTGAAGTGCAGAAAATCGGCTGTATCACATCTGCACACAGGAACACAAGAAGGCTTGTAAAGAAGCTCTGTGCAAACGGCCAACCACACACATAAATCACAAAAACCTCGCTCAATACAGCATATCATGCGTGCCGTTATGATGTTGTCATGCATTCCCTTCTCAATGGATGGCATTGTTAATTGACAGATGACATCTTTGTATGTGTGCCTGTTGGCTAGAGAAAAGCCTCATATGTGTTTTAGAGTGTCCTTTATGTATATATGTGTTGCTATTTTTCTGCTGCGGCCATGTTTTAGGAGCTGTAATTACAGGCCGAAACACTAATTTGTCTCTTAAACTGAAGACATAAATCCATTGCAGACATTGTTTACTGACTTTTAGGCAAACACTATTTTCATTACCATCTATTGTTCCGAAACGGTCGCCTCTCTTGTATCCCGTAACACACAAAAGTGTACTATTTGAATGTTCCTCCTATAGTTAAAGTTTGCCCAGGAAACTCCCAATCTTTCCATACCCACACAACTCTGGCTTATTGATACGCCTACACAGGCCTGCTGCTGTAAATACTGTGAGGTAAATGTTTTGGCTAAAATGATACAGTAGTTCCCTAAATCAAACGGAGCAACGAAGCGCTGAGCTAGAGAAAAGCTCTGATTGAATGGAGAATAACTCTTTCTTGGAAGAAATAAACATTTGCGTTCCTTTGACAGAGATTTTTATTCAAGAGGCCGATACCTTTTTAGCCACTCAACTATTTACGTGAAATATCTTACCAATAAAACGACTACAAAAGATTAAACGTATGTTATATATCCTGTTGATTTGTGTAATTATGTAACCAAAATGTTTCAAACAATTTTAAACATGGAGCTACCACTTTTTAATCAAGGTAACAGTATTTTTTATTTGGTCTCCTCTGGTGACATCTCATCCCCCTTTCAAATGCTTTCAACATAGTGTTTGTCTGTCAGCAGCTGTCATAAATTCACGGTTTTATCCACTTTTAAGCCACATTTTAACCATAGTCATTGGACATCTGAATCTGAATTTTTCAGAGAAAAAAGGTGGACAAAGGTTGGAGGCAGAACAGCGTTGGAAGAACAATACACACACATCATTAATATAAACCTGTTTTATTCAATGTTATTAACCAATTTGAACTCACCTTAAAGGTGGGGTATGTAATTTTGGAGAAACCAGCTCGAGTGCGCTAGAATTTGAAGATACACAACCGGAAAAAATATGCCACCTCCTTATAGAGCCCCTCCTCCAACACACACGAACGCGCACATGACCAATGAGGGCACGAGATAAGTTTGTGCACAGATGGAAGACTGACAGGCAGGTAGGCCATCCAGTTATTTTAGCCGGGCCGGCTAAAATGATTGGTCATGCTTTTTACAGCGCTAAGGCTTCCACAGATGACATTTTTTTAATGTATTTATTGTCAAAGCATTTAATGTATTCATTGGATGTTAAGAGCATTCCATGGAATATAACAAAAATTGTTTCTGAAATAAATTACATACCCCACCTTTAAGGTTTGTTTTGGAGAGTAACAGACCTCTGTGCATTATTTTGTTTCATAAAATCAAGTTTATTCACATTATGGATTTAGTTTGAGGATTTATTTTTACTTTTTAAGGCTGCTGACTTCATAAAAGTTGACCGATTTTAAAAGCCTGAATATGATATAAAAAAATAATTAAATCCAGAAAAGCCCTACTTTACTGTCTGTAGACTACAATGCAGATTCAGATGCTACATAATGCTACATTTCGCAGCACACTGATAGCAGAGTCACAGGCCAACATCAGCCCTCATATATTCCTCGCATATTTTGGTCTCAGTGTAACTCAATACCTCTATGGGCCCATCAGCTGTCCGTACATATTACGTAGCTGTATCTGTGTATTTCCATCACTTAGCAACCAGCGGGTTGTTTTTTCCAAAGAGCAGCAGCACAGTCGCAGTCAAGTGAGCTTATAGCCACTGCTCATAATGGAAAATCAGGCTTTCTTTCTTTGTGTGAGGTAGAGTTGAAGAGGACATTCAGCGGGAGAGAAGTGATTGATTTCTAATGAGGCATTTATTTCATTTCAGATTGACATTTTTCAGTTGAAATATGAGCGTGAAAAATAAATCCTCACAAATCTTTAACTTGTTCTAAGCCCAAGCCTTCCATCTCTTCATCCTCAGGCCCCCCCCTCCCCACGGCTGCTCCACCCACCTCTCCTCCCCCCCATGACAACAATCCTGACGATGACTACCCCACCTCCTCCTCTCCACCCGAAGATAAACCCACCTCAACTTCTCCCACCGACCCCCCGCCCAACCCGCCTGACCGCAGCCCACACCCCCCAGCCCCCCCGGAGCCGAGCCTCAGCCCTACCTCTCCTCCCGTCCTCCGCACCTCCACCTCCACCTCCACCCCCACAGACTCTCAGCCTGACCCTGTCACCCCGTACGTCCGAAGAGATGTCCCGCCTCCTCCGCCTCCTCCTCAGCCCCCTGCTCCTCCCCGCCCTCCCAAACTGCCCGACAACCAGCCCCCCAATATCTGTGACGGGGACTTTGACACGGTGACCATGCTGAGGGGGGAGATGTTTGTTTTTAAGGTGAGAAGTAAAGAAGTATTTCATATGGTTGTTCAGAAACACAGTTTAATATAAATGTTTGCTTGGATTGGACCGCAATACAACTGCCACTAGTGTTTTTATAACCCCTGACCTGATAAAAACAAGCACATGAAAAGATGTACAATCTAAAACGACCGTTATTTGAGTCAAAACAACATTCAAGTCATGCAATGGGAAGTGAACAATAAATAATTCTGACTGAAGATAAGCTAAAAGATAAACATCATTATTTTGCTTGGCAGGGTCGCTGGTTCTGGCGTGTGCGGAGGAACCAGGTCTTGGATAACTACCCCATGCCCATATCAGTCTTCTGGATCGGCCTGCCTAGTGACATTGACGCAGCCTACGAGCGCCACGATGGAAAATTTGTCTTCTTTAAAGGTATGCCGAAGCTGTTTATCACCAATAAAACCTATCAACATGCTGAGTGGACTGCACTCTGTTAGGTTTGCATTTTATTAAAATCCCGCACTGAGCTTTGTTATGGTTTTTCTCCTCGCTTAAGGGCACAACAAGAGGCCGGTTAATTTCCGTAATGTTTCCCAGATATTTCTCCCCCAAGCAAAGCTGGAGCCAATGTGGAGCTGTTACATAACCACAAGATGTGGAGATCAACACTAATCTGTGCATTGATTTAAACGGGTCTGAATGGAAAGCAGCGCAAACTCAGCATTTTCTTTTACAAGCAAACAATGTGATTTACGAGGATAAGGAAATAATTCAACAAGGCTATAACTCTTGGTATTTGGCAGACATATAACACAAGAAGAGGATCATGATTCATTGTATTAACACTGTGACAATATTGCTGCAGATGGAAACTATTGAGTGTACTTTGCATGTGCATCACAGAGTCCGTGTGTATAAGTGTGTGTTGCTGAGATCATTTGGCGTCTTGAGCGAGGCCTGTGCAGCGTGGCGGCTGTCGCTGCTCCAGTGTGACTCTGTGGCTCCAGCTGAGCCCCAACAGGCCTCCTGGGAGAGGTGGAGGATTGCATCAGCCTTCCCGCAGTACGCTGCTCCAGATGTTAACAGCTGCAGAGCACTCACTTTTACAGTCAGGCCGTGTGGTGATTTGTCATGCATTTTCAGGATTTTCTTTACTTTCGATCACAGATTTTCTTTTTATTACCCATGAAAGGCTTTTTTAGGGGTGGGGTGGGGTTCATTATCCAAATCTAAGAATGGTGGTTGACGTATGCTGCACAGATTGTTAACCCCATTCAGGAACATTTGGAATATTGGGCTTGAATTGATTAACACTCATTAACATCCATGGGTGATAACTGTTACATATTTGTATTTATCTCATAAGATTTGAAAGTAAATGCTTCCGAATCTGCGACAATGTTGCTCATGTGAATCCAAAAGGATTTAAAACCTGTAGTACAAAGTACATAATGTAAAAATGTTTGCACTAATTTCTAGAAGCCCCTATGCACAGACGTACTGAAGCTACTTAGCTCAGTACAGTATGTTGCAATTCTCCAGTGTCCTGGCAGTGTAGGTGGAAAGTGGCTTAAAAGTGTTTCCAAAAAATGAACTTATACAAGAAATTGGCTCCCACATGGGTAAATCTTGGAAAATAAGTGTTGTGCCCACTATTTCTAACTTCACTGTCCTTTCTACTTTTCTTCTGGAGTGAGTAAACCCCATGACATATGCCATATGCTCTGGCCATCACTTTGACTTCATGTGCCATGGCTTTTTTCTCCCTCCTTTCTTTCTCTCCCTCATTAACTTTTCTCTCATATTTCCCCCCTCTCTTTGCCATATAACACGTAACATGTAAACTCAATCATTTTGTCCCCGCAGATGAACAATACTGGGTGTTCAGGGAGGCTGACGTCGTGCCGGGATACCCACAGCCTCTACATCAGTACGGACAGGGAGTTCCTGCTCACAAGATTGACACAGCAATCTGGTGGGAGCCCAATGGATACACATACTTCTTCAGTGGAGACAGGTACAGTGTGTCAGAGACACGCAGCAAGATTTTAAAATATAATGTATGAAATCAAAGGAAACATATTGTAATTTATTAAAGCAGTTCTAAAAAACATATCACCTTTTCTGTGTTTAAGCATATACATTTGTGTATCTTGAGTGCCTATCAACCAACAAACTGGGAACTAAGACAAGTGGTCATTTTTTGCGGGCTGCTTGGGTCATGGGATTCAACCAACCATGCAGGCTCATTGGCATATACCTCCAGGTATTTCTTACAACAGTTGAAAACCACTGAAGAAGCAACTTCTGGTGCCCAAAAAGGAAGCCAAAGTGAAAGTGCCAAACTGCAGTTCCTTAAACATCCACTTGATGTTGGCTCTAAAAGCAAGTCATCCCCATTGAACCCAATTGAAAAAGGCCTGACTTTTCAGCAGAAAGTTTGCTACAGTCAGGTACAATTAACTCATTTTGGTCTCTGTAGCGAATTCTCCCGTTCATGACAACTAGGGGTTGGGACTTTCACCTGTTATCTGTAATACGGCCTAAAAGTTATGCCTACCTGTGGGCTTTGAGTGACATATACCATCACAGATCGCAGCCGCTGGCTGTGTGCTCTGCTCTCACCCTGTCCCGCATTTCACCAACGATCCAGATTTGTGCCCATTTGAAAAATAGCCGGGAATTGGAAGACTGTCAAGTCACTGTCAAAAAGGCTACGTCCATTTTTTATACAGTCTGGAACTTCCTTCAGAAAAGATGTGCCATATTATATTGCAAGTGAATTAGAACAGTATAGGACTTTGAGAGGCTCAAAGAGACATGCGCTAAAATAAAGCATTTTAGGCAGAGGGGGATACAGGTTTATTTAGACGGACAGTATAAAAAAAATAATGTGTATTCTTTATATTTAAGCATGTAAACATGAACATATAGAAAGCCAATATATAAAGGTGTGAAACTTTTTATAACTTAGTATGTCCTCCTTCATCTTATTTTCTGTGTGCAGATACTGGCGATACAATGAGGAGACCCGCACTACAGACCGTGACTTCCCAAAACCGATAGAAAGATGGGGCAAAATCCCTCATTCACCCAAAGGAGCCTTCCTCAGCGATGACAGCGGTAAATATTGACTTTCAGTAGAGCAAATAAAGCCTTTATTTTAGAGGAAGGGAATAGTTTCTGTTTATAAAAATCACAACAGGCCTCAAAGCTGTGCATACAGTGTTGAAAGCAGGGGAATAACATGAGTGAGTAGGGAGAGAAAGAATGAAAGGTTACAGGGGTGAAATTGGGTGTGTTAGAGACAGACAGGGAAACAATTACATCTGAGGCCGCCGGTTAGACTGGAGCAAGCAGAGCAGGGAGAAGGATGAGGGGATGAGAGAGGGAGAGGAGGGAGGAATGAGAGCTCTGGTTTGAGGGTTAGCCTGTCCTTTCTTTTGGAAATTAGATTTTTGGCAGGCAGAGCTGCTCTACTGTAAATGCAAAGTCCACCCAAACTCTTCAAATGCCTCTGCAAGCCTGGTTTGAAGTACAGAGTGTCAATTACACCCATAAATCTGCCCTGAGTACAGTATGGCGTTATTTGGTTGCATTCCGATGCTAAATTGTAGTGCATTTATGCATCACATGTTATGAGTTAATTACTTTCTTGTAGTTTTATATTAACACATTTGTATTGTGATGTTAGATTCAGATTGAGATAACCATATTTATCCCAAGAAGGGCTATTTGTTTGCAGATGTACCCAGTCTATGCACAAATCTAAAACTCACAGGTAATATGTCAGAGGCAGCCGATCAACATACATGGATCAAAGATGGTTGACAATAAGCAGCAGTAAATATAAAATTAGCCATTTGCAGTTCATATAATATTATAGTATTTCTCAACATTTAATGTAGCCTACACCTCAATGAGACTTGTTGAACGATAGTATACGCTAAAGGTTTTTTTCACATAATCTGATACAGTAATTTTTGTCCAGTACTGTTACTCAGTATCACTTGAACACCTGAGTATCTGTGCATCCTTGGTTTATAAGGAATGTATAAAGCCCTTAATCCATCATATTTGGAAGTTATAAGTGTTACTCCCTACAGGCAAGGACACCAAATATCAACACATGGTCTACAGTATATTCACATAATAATCCATTGCACATGAGTTGATTGACTTAAATCTATTTTATTTTTCTCTCATGCAGCTCACACCTATTTCTACAAAGGCTCCAACTACTGGAGGTTTGACAATCACAAGTCAGAACCAGAGAAAGGCTACCCTCGCTCCATCCTGAAGGATTTCATGGGCTGTGTGGGGGCCCCTGACCCAAAGCCCGACACGGACACCGAGCAGGAACCAAAACACAAACCAGTGGACCCTTCAGATCGAGGCAGAGATGAGCACAAAGAGCCGGACAGCGGCAAAGACTCTCAGCCTGACAACACAGAGGAGGAGGAGGAGGACAAAGAGGTCAACGTGGTTGTGACGGTGGCCGACAATGAATCAAAGGTCATGACTCTGATCATGGTGATTGTTCCTCTGCTCCTCATCCTGTGCATCCTGGTCCTAATCTACGGCATCCTCAGGACTCTACAGAAGAAGGAAACGCCGAGGGCCTTGGTGCACTGCAAGCGTTCGTTGCAGAACTGGGTGTGAGGCACAGACTTTGAAGCGATAGAGCCAGATTTCATCACTTTTCTTCTACGGCCGTTGGCGTCAGAGTTTGTACTTACGTCAGAGTGGAAAGCAGCTTTGACGCAAGTTTAAGAAAGCCACAGATGAGTCACCGCTTTGGGCCCCATTCATTGTGAGAACTTCTATTGCTCATGTGAAATAATGCAAACCTGGTCAAATCATTGCCAGTCGACCTACAGTGTTTCTCCTGTGCCTCCCTTTGTGCCTTCTAAACATCTGATAAATAACCTCTTTTTCTTAAAGGAAAAAACTATATATTCCTATCCCAGCGTTCAAAAACAAGTTTCAGGCACCGAATGTCAGATGACACACTTTTTTTAATCAATTCTTATTGTACAGAGAAGGGACCGAAGATTTTTTGTAGTATAAATGCAGACAAAGTCGATAATGCACATACATTACACAGTAGCACACATATGTACATACACACATGAGTGCTTATAGCTATACACATACATGCATTAAAGGGGACCTATCATGCAAAATGCACTTTTGTTCGTCTTTTATACATGAATATGTGCCCCCGGTGTGTCAGAAAACACAACCCTCTCTCTTTTCCTCCATACCCAAATCTCTAAAAAATGGGGCTGCAACGGAGCTGATAAAAACTGATCCAGATATTATTTGAATTTTTCTGACGTCAGAAAAGGGGTGCTCCGCCTATATGGGCAACTCTCCACCTATCAGGGGAATGAGAGACCGCTCGAAAGCGCTGGAGACGCTGTAGTACATATGCCAGGCCTGTAAGTGGCGCTGTAGTCTGCCACACAAGCAGCGAAGAAGACTTCTCACAGAATCAGCCCTTGCAAAAACAGGGCTGGAAAAGAGCAAATAGAGCGAAATGAGGCATGGCTAAAATGCATGATCTGTTTGGTATTTTGAAAAAAAAACTTCACAGACATGTTTTATATAGGTATGGCCCTACAATATATGTTTCAAATATAGCATGATAGGTCCACTTTAATGTTGAACAAGACTTTCATTAGCTTGACTACGGTGCCTCCACCAATCTTTTTTCTTTGTTTAGAGCAGATAATTTGCACTTTTACATTTGTTGTTGTCTTTTCTGTTTTGCTAAGATTGCTCCACAGACAGCTGTGTGTGTCCATTTCCCAGTGAGCCCTCTCTCAGACACACATGCACCAACGTCACATGATCTCCAAAAAAACCCTAACGGCACTCATTGGTGCATGCATGTCCAGATAAGCACACACACATTGACCTAGAGAGACTACTTACCCAAACAAAGGCACATATAGTTTTCTTTGCACACAGACACCAGGGCTCCAGCCTCCCCTCCTCCCACCACAGCCACGATAACTGTTTCGACTACACCAGTAAAACATAATCCCCAGTGGAGACATATTGATATACGACTGGTGCCAGGCCTTGGATGAAATGCAAGAGGAGGAGGGATATATTCACAGTTAACAAGAAGAATTGAAAAGTGTGTTTTTTACACATCTTCTCCAACTAGGCTTGACCTGTGAAGAGTAAAACAACAGCAGCAGTGTCCATCTTTTGTATCTTCTCTTCTTCTTCATCATTTCATGCTAAAGCTAAATAGATGTAAAGCTAATTAAGTGTACACAGAAGAAGCCTGCAGGCTAGAGAGGAATGGGTCAGGGTCTGGTTTCCATTAAGCCCACATGCTGCTGATTTGTATCAGGCATGAGGAGGGAGAGAGGGGAGTTGGGGAAAATGCAGAAAGAAGGAGGTATAAAAAATAGAAGTGACGAGTAAAAGGAAATGAAAGAGAATGAAATGCGAGGGACGGAAAGATTGAAGGGGGGGGGGGGGGGGGGGGGGGTCTACCAGAGTTTCCTTGCCAGTTTTTTCTCTGGGAAAGGAGGAACGAGGGAAAGAGGGAGGAAGGATCTCGGGGAGGGGCAGCGCTGGCGTTGTGCCTCCTGACCTAGATCCAAGTCCACTCCGCCTTTTCTAGTCTTCTTGTTTTTGCTCTGCTTGTTGTCCTGAGCTGGAGAGGACCCCCCCCCCCCCCCCCCTCCATCTTGAGCTGGAGAGGACCCCCCCCCCCCATCCTCATCTATCATTCTTTCCTCTCTTATGTTTCTTTTAAGTCTTTGTTTTTCTCTGTTTAATTTGTTTTATTCCTGTACCTCCAAGATGTATTCATTTTCTTCTGCACTCTTCTGGAAAGTTAGCTCAAGCATTTAAAGGTACCTAATGCACATGAACGACTGCAGAAAGTGAGTCTACCACTATCTGTCTTTGTTTACCTTGCTTTGTGTAAAGCCACTATTTAGTTGCTAAAATCATTAATCTTTTTCATTAGGTTTTGTGCCTTTTACAGTGTGCCTATATTTAGTTTTTACCTGTTATTTCTTTGTGCCTTTTTCTGTGAATATTTGGGGACCTTTTTTTTTACTATACATAGCATGAGGGAACGTTTTTAGATATGTGTTTTGTTCGTTTTTTACTCTACTTAACATTTGTAGTTTTGTATATTTTTGTTTCAGGTTTTCTGTAAGATCAGCAATAGTTTATTACAATAATGTTGATGCATGCGGGGCATGTTCTGTAAGGCCTGTGCACTCCTGTGTAGAGTATGTTAAAGATTTCACAATAAAACAAAGCAACACACTGTTAGTCTTCTTTAGTGCAATTTATTTCTTCATGTTACCTTAAATATACACCTTTTAACATTCTTAGCAAATGTCAAGTTCAAGGAGTCGATTCTACTGACGGCCACAAGAGGGAATCGTTGCCTCTAAAATAGAAAGTACATGAAGTACATTTGTAAGATTGGAAGGTTCTTGTACTTGTTGAGCAATTTCCTTTTGATGCTTCTTAATAATACATTTGAACTTTCTTTATAAAGATAATTTATTTTACAGAGGAAGCTGTAATGGTTTTACGCAGCTTCATTTGTTAACAGCATATAATTAAACTAATACAATTAGCCAGCTTTAAACCAGTCATCAAATACAATCATTCTATGACACGTGGCCAAGTTTACAAAATGGCAATTTTTACTTTGTGGTCATTCTTCTGTATTGTTTTGTAATATAAAGCGTTAACCTGTTTATATTTATGCAGGACTTTATTAGAGTATGTTTACATTGCACCTCTCCTTGGTAAACAGACGCAATGAGTGTAGTTTATGTGTAAGATGTGTAACTGCGTGAGAGCAGCGTCCTGCATGTCCGAGGCAATCAGGATTAGCTTCCATCACAGAACATCCACTAAACGACTAAAGCTTTACCTATAAATCTGCTTTCTCGTTCAGCCACTCTGTTTTTCTACCTTTATTTCAACATATCTTCTCCTCATTGCTTTTCTTTGTTCTTTTAATTCTCTTAAATACAATTTAACACATTTGGTTTAAAATGTTAACCAAATGCGAATAGTGTGCACCACTATTTTTTTCTGCAAAGTTTCTCCACAATCATAGACCATTGCTTAGCTTGCAAAACTTTAGTTACATTCTCTACCTCTCCTATGAGTCTTTTTCAAAACTGCCGCTGCTCTGTGTCTTATGCAGATGTTCAATTAGGATTGAGGCCACTATGCTGACATATTCCAGCCATTGGTTGGAAGGTTCTGTGTCATCAACCTGTTCTCCAAGCTTATCCCCTGCTGAGCTGATAATGGGATCTGCCCGCTGCCTCATCACCACCATCAATTCTCCTGTAATTCTCATTCTCAAGCAGTGAACAGGCCCCACTGGATGCAGTGAGTTATATGCACATGTCTGACCTGGTGAATGTTCTCCACCTGTCTGATTACCTGTCTGTCTGTCAATCGCTGTCAACATTACAATTTACCATTAAGGGAGTCCTGGATCCTTGCTAATAACTCTCAGGGATCATGCCAATCACTTTGCCTTTTCACTGTCCCTGTCAAACACCTGGGGAAGAAGTATTCAGATTGTTCACTGATGTACAAATTGAAAATATCAAAACAAATCACAACATAGGAAAGGGTCTTCTGTGACTGATATTTTATCATGTAACCTATTACATTACTAGATTGATGATAATAATAAAGCAACAATGCACACACCTATCTGGTTGGTATTTAACTTTAGGTCAGTTGTTATACAGTTTAGGACTACAGTTTGGTGATTTAATTCCTAACTCCTTTGACTACAAACCGCCACAGTAGGTTCTTTTTTAGAACTGCTTTAATAAATTACAATGTATTGTTTTAGTAGGTTTTATAAGGTTACCATATTAGCCGTGTTGCTACCAAGGAAGCTCTAGGCATGGCAATGTTGGTCCATCAACAACTCTGATGCAGATGAAGTGTTTCCCTCAAGATGAATTGTAATAACATTGTTGATTCCTTAATTTCAAATCTATGTCCATCATCAGGTAACAAAACACATTTTATGTATAACCACCTGCAAATGTTATTCCCATAAGCATTCTGATGTACTCGGCTTTTAACGCTAATCAGTATGTGTTAGCAGGCTAACTGAGGCTAACACGCTAACTAAGAGAGTAAACATTAGCCTGGTAGCATATTAACATTTAGCATGTGAGGACTAGCATTTAGTTTAGACAGAGCTGCTAGCATGCTGTAGCCCGGCCTGCTCTTTGTAAAACCTTAAAACGTAATGATAGCTGCCAAAAAACTAGAGTTTAGTTAAAAAGTAATGGTATATTTTACTCTGAATTGCAGTAAAGTAGAATTATACGTTCACAGAAACATGAAATATACTCAAGAGCTTTGAAATTAAACTCAGCTATGCTAATTATTGTAGGCCTACTTATTTACTTTCCAACTAGTGGCATATTGAAGACATGCATTAACAATTAATGGCTTTTTGTAGCCATTGCTGACAGAGCTGGGGTCTTCATGGCTGTAGGAACAAGAAAGAAAGTAGGCTAGATCATCAGAGTCCTGTCAGACCCCGAGCCTTACTAATACGTTTTGGCTTCCTCTGTCTCCTCCTGACTGTTAATAAGTCAGAAGGTTTATTGCTTGTCAGTCAGGAAATGGCCCTGCGTCACTGCGTGGGGATACAACTGTAATCAGGAAGGGACGGGAGATAATATGGAACAGAGATGAAAAGCTTGAGGTGGGAGAAGAGAGAGTATAGCTTCTCCTTGAAGGCTACCATTGTGTATTATTCAAAGAGTAAAACAAATCCCCTATTGACAGTAGGCTATAAATCATAAAAAAAGTTTCCTCCTTTGGTAGAGAAGTGGAGTGTAACATGTTAAATACAAAATTATCCAGATGCTTATACAAAACATTACAAATACTTGGTTTGCATTTTACGCTTTATTTGTGTAATGAGTTAAAATTCTGTAACTGGATGTTTTCCCTTTCTACCTTCCCTAGAGTCTGGGATTATTTGAGTCACCATTTATTGCTGTCCTCAGTGATCGAGGAGTGATAACAGTATGTAGATTACAGGGATGATGTCCTGACGATACGTTTCTCTGCTTCTGTTAATCTGGGATTGCTCACGGTACAGGATTGTGCGTCGACCTTCAGGTGGTGCTGGGTAATCCTGTTAGCTCCAGGCAACCTATGCGGAAATCCCAGCAGAACTGTGCTGGCTGTGCCGCACTCTGGATCTCTACGCCACCGGCATGCAGAAACACCAGTAGACACGCAGGTAAGGTAACAATGCTTTCAAAAAATACATAATTTAAAATATAGATTACATTCATTTGTAGAATGTGAGGATCTGTGCCTTGGTCAAATGACAGTGTGTGAATCTGCAGTAGTAGAGTGTTTATATGAGCAGACATTTGATTGTGATTAGATGTTTGCTATAGATTCTGATTTGTCTTTTATCAAAGTATGCACTATCAGGTCTTACATTTCATAAATCCTACCTAACAAAATCAGTTGAGAAAAAAGTTATAGGTCTATCCTAGGGGTGTATTTCTCTGATTTAGGATCTTTTAATGACTGATTGTGATCCTGTGGGATGTGGGCGTATGTCAGGAGTTGATCCAGGCCTTAATCAGCAAAAAAGGCTGGCTGTAGATTAGTGAAAGGACGGAGCTACTATTTAATCCAATGCAACAAATTTGAGATTAGCCTGGGCAAGTGGCCCCACTGATCTGTGCTGATTGGCAGAGTCAAGAATCACAAACTATGATCACAACAACAGCTCAATCTGCGTTGTAAGGACATCTTCCATGGGGATTATATGTGAACAGTTTCCTAGTAGATAACAAATCCCACAATTAAAAAAAATAAACAATGTGTTAACTCTGAGAGCCGTGACACGTCTTTTTTGTGACATTTTGGGTTTGTTCTCCTAATTCTTGTATAATGGACAGACAGGCAGAAGTTAATTATTTAGGCTTTTTCTTTCAACCATAGTAGATCTATGACGTATACCTGTTGCTATGTGGAACGTTTTTTTTTTAGAAGGACATCTTGCAAGTTCAGTAGCTCCTTGCCCCACTGCTGAAGTGGATTATCTCAAAAGGTTAACAAACTGTCGCGGGGAAGAACGTCACATTTAAGAGTAAGTCAGAAAAGGGGGGCTCTTGCTGGCGCAGTAAATCTCTAGCTATCTATCTATCTCCCAATTGTCATTGCACTGGGCCATTGAAAATGCCCTCTTCCTGTACATTTGTGTCTGATTTCTTCCTATCTAACGGATTGAACCCTCCCTCACCTCTGGAGGAGGTTGGTAAAGCAGATTATTAACTACCGCCCGAGATAGCCTCTGCCCCTTTGCCCCCAGTCTCCTCTGCCTTTGGACTCAGAACATCAGTTCTGATGTGTTAGATCAAGGATTATGTATTTTATATTCTAGGCAACATATACCATTTGATAATCTGTAAATGTGTTGGATGCAGGGGGCGCCGTTTGCCGGCAGGCAAGGCAGGCAACTGCTTGGGGCCCCGGACCAGAAGGGGGCCCCCAAAGAAGGTCGATTAAATTGGTCCACAGCAACGACAACATGAAACCCCCTTTAATTTACTGCAATGACATGTCGGGAACCTCCATGCATAGCGCGCTGTCAAAAGCTGCTTCATAATTTCAGTTTCGGAATCTCCGCTCTGCCGGGGCCCCCAGAGTGTCTTGCAGCGCCACTGGTTGGATGCGAAATTAAAGACAGTTTTCCGATTTACGTGTTAAACACTGTACAGAAAGATATATCAGGTTGGCAAAAGTGTGTTCTCAGATGAGAGCAAAGATGGAGCTGGTGAACGGTCATCATCAGAGCTCATTAGCTCCTAATAAGGGCCCTTGGTTTGAGGTGAAGTGGCTGCTTTAATGAAAACACCAGGGAAGTGTTATTATAATTTAGCATTATTAACAGCATTACGTTTGATGAAGGGCTTTTGAGGGGCTGACTATGTGTGTGTGTGTTCAACAGGATGTTTAACTGGGTGGTGAAAGTGGTTCCCCAACTCCCGTCATCTGAAGGGACGGATAACGGTGTGAAAACATCTGCTCCCAGAGTGAAGAGCCCTCCACAGAAAAACGTAGAAGAGGATTCACAGGACAGGTTAACCTCTTTTACTACTAGCCTCTGTGTGTGGCTTAATAATAGCAATTGTCTATACCTGCAACAATTAGTGAAATCATTTATCAGTCAATTGACGGAGAACTAATCACTAACTATTTTGATTATTGATGAAACGTAGACAGTTATTTTTCCATACAAAAGATGCTGTCTGTGGAACACTCACATTTTGAGATGTTCTGCTTTCTCTGTTTGATATCATATTAGATTAAACATCTTCTGTAAATATACTGTCATCTTACACGTTTTTTTCCACCTCTACAGCCAGAACCAGACTGGAGTTTTAGGCTGGCTGTCAAATGGCTTCGTCAGCGCCATGCCTCAGCCGACCGGCTCCCCTCGACTCAGCCGGTCCGACTCTGAAAGGGTGAGTGTGTAGATGTTTGGTCATGTGGGCATTTAGCCCACTCAGGCCTTGTCGTTATCCAATTAAGGATATATCTTTGTATCCTAATTCAAGGATCAGACTGATAAACTGTTTGCCAATGTTAAAGGAACACTTCACCCCAAAAATTAATTATCTTGTATTACCTGAATTCTTGAAAAAGAAAAAATGTCTTCCACAGTACGAATAACACAAAGTCTTGACAAGAAACTATCAGACACCTTGTGCTGTATAATGCAGGTCTCATCCATCCACTCTTTGCTCAACATGTATTTTTGCTAAAAAACATTTAAAACACTTGAGCATAAACAATATTTGCACAGATAGGGAGCACACCTGATTAAGCAAAGTGTTTTAAATAGTATGTTTTTTCCTGAAATGCATGTGTTTGGGAAGACTTGGATTATATTGCCCAAAATGTGTGACAGATTTTGCAAATCTATATTTTGCAAATCTATATTTTGCAAATCTATATTTTGCAAATCTATATTTTGCAAATCTATATTTTGCAAATCTATATGTTTTTCGACTTCTCAGTTTTGTAATACTTGATTCAGCTTTCTTCAATAATGTTAAGGTAAAACAGGGTGATGTTATTGAAATACAAATGGTTATTTTGGGCGCAAAGTATTTCTTTAAATGCCAGATGTCAGCCAGTCTTGCCCTTCATAACTGAGACAAAGTTCAAAAACATTTGGGATAGAGTACACAGGAAACACTGCTTCACAACACTTCAAGTTTCACAAAAAGTAGAACCGTAACAGTGATATAATTGTGATGGAGAGTGCAAATCATAAAGGAGGGAGATTTGCAGTGGAGGTTTTTGGCCTCCAATATTTCTCATTCTCTATTTTTCTTTCTTTGCCATCCATCAGATGGGGGAAAGTGAAGAAAGGTACAGTATGATTCGATAAGAGTGCATAGTTATTGCTAAATACATTGTTCAAAGGGAAATATATTGTAGCTTTTTTTCTCCCAGGTCTGGAGTGATGGGCTGGGTCGCTCAGGGTCTGACAAAGGTGTTGCCTCAGCCTGATGACAAGTATAAAGAGATTGAGGACACTCAGGAGCACACTGAGGTGAGATCTTATGTATTATTATTATTATTATTACATCAGTAGTGCTAATACATTAGTGCCTGGAAACAAAATATATAATATAATTTGCATTTGATTTATCTTTAATCATTTTCATTCTATACAGTACATGCTAATTTACCCAAGCAACAGGAAGCAAATCCTTGTCTTTAACTTTGCGACTCTTGACTCGAGCAACTTAGTATTGTCCCTGAGGCTTACACAGGAGGACTAATCATGCGTAAGGATTAAGCTTGTTAGGGAATTAACGGCCAGGTTAAACCCGTCCAATAACTTCACTGCATTTAACCAGTTTCACCTTGCCACAACCATTTTAACCTGAGGATTTCAGGGATGCACTGATACAAATCCAGACAACACTTGAATAATGTACAGATTTAAGAGGCCCTGTGATGCTCATTGTCAGGTTATATAATTGTATTTTGTGCCTCTCCTGTGACATGTTTACATGCTTTAATGTTCAAAAAGGTCTTTATTTTTCTCATACTGCCTGTGCTGCAGCACCTCTTTTCACCCTCTGTCTGAAACCAGAGCCCAGTCTGCTCTGATTGGTTATCGGGTCGGTTCTGTTGTGATTGGTCAAATGCTAAGAGATGTCTTGCCCCTAAGCCTATTACTTACAATATTTTGGAGCGCTTGCAAATAGAAGCATGATTCTTACATAGTAATGTCACTAAACGCCCTCTGGTGTGGACTTAAGCCTTTGCAGACTATTTACATGCACAACAATCTATATAACACACTAGAGGAAAGGAAAACCCCCTAAAACCCCCCTTTCAGCTTTACCCATCAGGGCCCCACACGTGTAGCCCTCCTTGGCTGAACCTTTTAGTCCACATGGGTACTGTGGGTATGGACATAAAAGGAGCCCATGTGGGACGTGAGGTTTATTGCTCCAATGAGCACCATCTGTAGCCCACCCTGATCCCAGTGGGGGCTCGCATGAGGAGACGCACACAAGCGAATGTGTGGACGAACAGACAACCATTAACCTCTTTGGGGATCACATTGATATAATGGATATGAAGTTTAATAGATAATGCATATTCATTATATATATTAATCAAACAACGAGGGGAATCTAATTCAGAGTCAAAATCAATTTAAAATAAGCAATGATTAAGCAAGATAATCAAAAACACATAGTTACAGATAAAAAAAGGAGACAACAAAGACAGAAGCAAAATTCAAGCATATGAAAGTCACATTTCAATACAGAAACTTTAGTCAGTTTCGTAACCAGATCAATTAAAATGCATTCACAACTAACATTATCTTTAAATTATTATTTAAAATTTGAAAAGCAAGTGACATGTGTTCAGTGTTGAAGTACAATATATTCCAAGCCCTAAAGTGCAGAAAACACAATGCCCTTTTTCCAATTTCTAAAGAAAGCATAAATAATATTGTGAGAAATCTTTGAAAACCGTATAACAATCCTCTGCTGGTCTGACTCAAAGTATTTTTGATCTATTTTATCCTAGATCTACGAGGTAGCAACAATGCCAGGTACGTTTCTTGATTATTCGTTTACAAAAGTTATGTTTGAATTGATGGCAATTATCAGTAATTTACCATCCCTTCTGCTGAGCTGATCTCTGCTGTCTGATTTATGCGTCTATCCCTCCAGATTTTGATCCCCTCCCTCACATTCCTGTGGTGGAGATGGAGTCAGAGGATGAAGAAGAGCCTGAGACTTCTCTATTTCCTCCTAAGTGAGTACACACCACTTCTTACTACACATTAACAGTGATTATACCGTCATCTTTACATCTTTACATCTTCACATCAGTACAGGTAGAGAAGAGAACTGTAAACTTGTAAGGAGCTGACCTTTGTCTTTTTCTCTTGCTGCAGCGTTGTGAACTGGATAAAGCAAATGGTCCCTCAAGCCCTTATACTGCCCCCTGGTGCCGTACCCTTAGAACCATCAACCAAGCCCTCCCGCTCTTCTCTGGACAAAAGTACATGCACACATATAACACAAACATTTAAATACACACCAGTTGACACGTGTACCCACAGCGCAAACCTCCACACACTGGCATGGACTGTCATAGCTTTCAACGTACTTTAGTAAAACATTCAAACTTTAAAGGCACTTATCCACATCATTATCTACAGTACATGGCAGTTGGCCCGACCCCAGTTTGGAAAAACAGACTACTGACACCAAAGCAAAGCAATGTAGTGCTGTGGAGGGGAGCAGCAGCAAAGAGTACTTTAGCCACTTAAAAGATTGCTTAAATATACACTAGAATCATTTCACCGCCATCCCTTTCCGTCAGACAGCCTTTCAGACGGTGAACTGAAAGTTGTTATCTAATCTATCTTCAAAGCGCAAGACAAAAACAGTCATTTTAGCCTGTTGAAAATGGAAGTATCTGGTCTACCGCTGGTCTTTAAGGTTAGTTTGGATTCACCAAAGTCACACTATGACAGAAACAAACGAACATATCAAGACAAAAGCAGACCAACAACTTCTGTGTTCTGCCATATTAAATTACTGGTTTTATCAGTAGCAACCTTAAAAAGAGCAATGAAGATAGCTTTAGTTCCTCATGTGTGTCTGACTACAAGGTTCACTTAAATTGAGGTTGATTTTTATACGTGTTTAAATATGTTTAGCTATTGCCCCCATTTACAGCAGCAGATTGATAGCTTCAGTGCAGTAACTCCTGTCTGTTCCTCAAAACTATGGTCATGCAGACCTCCATTTACTTTTAAATCCAAATACACTTAGCACATATTCTGACTTTATTGGATGGATACTTGTTTTTCTATACTGAACTGTCTTTCTCTTCTTACCAGTCTTGTCTCCACCACCTGAGTCTCTCAGTGGAATCTCATTGGATACTGATGGCAAGGCCCCAAGGTACGTTTTGACCCCCCACTGTCCTTTATGATCACTCTTTTTTCAAATGACAACATTACAAATACAATTAAACATTTAACAATCTCCAAGGGAATATGTAATCAATATTAAATGTATGACTGAGATTTCTACGCAAACAAATCTTACTGATGTTTTCCTTTTAATGACCTATTATAATGAAAGAGACTGTAAGGTTGCAGTACAGTCAAATGTGTGTCTAAAGTGCACACAGTTCATTAGCTTGTCTCTCCACAGTATGGTTGGCTGGTTCATGTCAGGCCTGGGCCTGAAGATCCCTCAGCCTGCCGTTCAAACCAAAGATGATGCTCAGGTAATTATTTTAATATCAAACAAAATAACAGTTATTTCTTCCTTCTCTTCTTCTGGTTTTTCAGCATGTTAATCTTTCTATAAATGTTTTTGTGTTGCTTTCTCAGGGTGCAGCTGAAGTTTTAAAGAAAGGTAAGATTAAGTTTTCTTCACTACTCCTGTAGTCATAGAAAACCCTGTGTTTGCCCGAATGCCACAATTCACAGTTTAATCAAGTGGATCTCTACATAACATCATATATTCCAGAAAGCGTGTTAAGTAACTGGAGAATAATAACACAAATCTCTTTGATAACATGGGGTGGTGTTTTACTGAAGGCGTTATTTTACTGTCGGAATATAATTATTTCTCCATTTTGAGTAACTCTTCAGCATCTTTGATAATATTTGGAAAGTATTTTCTGTTGAAGCACCGTCTTGTTTTTCCCCCCATAGTTTTTGAAGAGGTGTTTTGGTCGGACGATCGGAGCTTAACTCAGTCCCTCTTCTCCTTCTGTTTCAGGGGGGAAGGCGCTCCGAGCCCCTTAAACAGCAGGAGGAGACGACTGGGCGACGCTCTGATCAACACACACACACATAGAGATACACACATGCAGACGCACACATGCAGACATATTGTACTGTTGGGAGAGGGGGGAGCTACAGGTGCTTTGCAACGTGCAGCTCTGAAACCGGCAGCTGTAAAATACTACAAGAATATAAAGATATATTCAACTCACCTTACTGTACTAGATACAGTTTCATATGAATGTATTCCAATATAATATGTGTGCACTGTTCTATAACTTAAAGGTGTTCTATATATTCTATAGCTTATACGATGAGCTTTTGTCTTAGGGCTTTTAGATGATACATTTGCACATTTTCTGTGTGACACAGAAACATTTAGCCATTTATTTGAAACAACTGCAAGTTTCATTCACAACATTTTGCAGAAAGAACATTTGTATGCGATTTTACTGTGCTTTAACCTATGGCAATTTACACTTTATGTTCATGTTGCCATTTTCACATCCATCAAAAGAACAATAGCAATTCAAATCATGTTGTCCTGGTCATTAACTTAAGAGGATTTCAGCATAAAATGTCCAGTCTTCATTTCCCAATTCACCGTAATCTTGAAATAATTAAATGGCAGCTATGTTTATTTATGCTTGTGTTATTTGTGGGCAAAGTATAAACTATATCTGTATTTATACTGATGATAGGATGTTTAGATGAAATCTAATAATACTTTATCTTAATTATATCCTACCCCATAAGAATCTGTTAATTATTGTACTCTTCAGTTTGGGTCTTGATCATGTAACAGTTTGAGTTAGCTTCCATTAAGGTCGCACAACACAAATGAAAGAGTAGGCCTATTTTGATCCACTTGATCAATTATACGGCCTTGAACTGTGAAATGTGGCCTCGGGATGTGGTGTGGTGTTGTTTCCAAAGATTTTACTTTATGAAATAAATGTTCACTGTCATGGAGAGAAGTAGAAGAACACATTCATGTAATTACACACTGTACTGTAAGGATATACTGCAGGAGTAATAAAGATTCAATGTGAAATGTATGTGGTGGTCTTATCAATAACACCTTCCATTATCTCCATGCATCCTCTACACATAAAGATAAATTGAATCTGAATAAGCTGCATTGCAAACCCTAAACCAAATCACCAACATGACCCACAAATCAACGCTTGTCACCTTCCCGTAGCTTCATCCAAACTCAGGCCTGACATGGTACTAGAAGACGTGGACTCAGACAACGAGGGGCCGCAGAAACGTAAAGATCAGTCCACAGTCGCAGCCCCTAACCCATCAGTGACTACATCATCAACAAACACACAGCAGACACAGTCCAAGCCCGAGCCTGAGTCTGAGCCTGGTCAACCAGCAACTTCAGACAGCGGGACAAAATCTCAAGAAGATGCTGAGACCCAGACGGGCCGCTGGACGCCGTTCATTGAAAACATCAAGAAGGAGGCCGAAGGTGTAGCTATGGCAAGCATGGAGGAACGGTAAGAGGGGTGGAAAACAAGAGGGTGGGGGTGGGCAGAGATGAAGTCTTTCATTATTTTTAAGTTAGATCCACAGGGTGCAAATGCCCCCTATCGTATAAAAAAATAACAAATAATTGGAAGTAAGTTAACCCTTGTGAATCTATTTAAAAAAGTTACTCTGATGTCCTCAAAGGTCAAAGTTATTTTTGTCATTCAAAAATAATAATATCAATTATTACAATAATTATATACACCACGAATAACTTAAGTAAAGTCCACAAAAATAGACAAAGTGTAGAGAGAAGACTCTTGTTGACTCTTTACCACGTTACTGACATTTACATGCGGCCTGTGTTCAGTCTGCTGCAGGAGCGCTCAGAGATGGTGCTTATAGCTGAGGAGGTGGCAAGGACCACAGCTGAGAATGCCATTAGACAGATGGCCAGTGAGTCCATCAAACTCTCCCTGGGGAGTCAAGACCTCCTGGATGAGGAGGACGAGGAGCCTGATGCTGAGTAAGAAGCTGTGCTCATTAGAGATTGGTGTGTTTTTGAATTTTGGCAATCATTGTGGGAAGTGATGTAACACTGCATGTTCACTGTGACCAGGTTGCAAGATCAACAAGAAGAGGAGAACGAAGTGGACCATCAAGGAACACAGTAAGAATTGAAATATGGAGTTTTCTCTGTCCTCAACCTCCTAGAAATCCCTTGTGTTATGAAACATGAGCGAGAGAACTCAGTGCATTTAGATCCTTGACTGAGGGAAAGTAGCAACACCATAATGTAAAAATATACTTAGTAGAACAACTGCGTCTGCATTCATTTATAATTGTATGATATTACAGCCACATGGCATCTTTCAGAGCATCATTTAATCATTATGTTTGTATTTAATATGGTATAATATAAGCAGCATTTTAAAGTTGCATTGGGGACAAAGCTGATTTACATTTCCTTATACAAGCTTCTATGGGGTATGTTTTTCTAAAACGTATGCGATGTGCAAAGTAACTAGGTTTCAAATATCAGATAAACAGGGCAACGTCCAAAATTGCCTTCCAAAGGTAGTTAATTAGAAGCATAAATTAGCGTGATATGGAAAAAGTGCAGAAGCACAGCAGGCCTACCTGCGCACTACAATAATAACGGTGATTTAGCTGTCGGTCCCAAATCCCATGGGTTCTCGTTATGTGATCTTTGCCGCGCGCTACCTCAGCATGAGCACACTACCGTGCCATAGCAACCCCGGCTTCGCTTGGCAACACCCTCACCCCCCCATCCCCTCTCAACGGTCCCCCCGGTAACAGTGTGCACCTGCTGCTGCGGTTTCACGTCTGGAGACGCAGGAAAATGATGGACGGAGATGTAATGGAAGATTTCTCATGTTGTTTTTCTAAAATCAGATAGTCTAGTTCGTGCTTTCGTTTCTCGTTGGTCCAGGACATTTATTTCGGCACTGTTATCGAATACCGCATGTGATAATTGACAGAGAAAGTGAGTATCTCGCGCTAACGTCGTTTTATGTAACACATTTTATAAGTTTAACCTATTATTTACCCTAATATAATTACTATCTTGGTTTAAAAAGACAATTAGCGTTTAAATGCTTGTCTGTCACGCTAACAACAGTAAACACTAACCACTGGCTAACGTTGAGTAAAGTTAAAGCCTCCACATTTTTAAGTATTAATTGAAAAGTGGGCCAGTCTATGTAGATCATGTACATGTGTTTTGTGTTTTAATGGTTTCCGTTTTAACAATTATTTAGTAAATTATAGGAAAAAAGAGAATAACATTTAATTAATAAGCAGTAACATTATTATATAACCATATAACCATCCTAATGTTAAAAAACGTCTGTGGACCTGGATACACATGTTATCTAAATGTGTTGAAACATACATATGTCTGCTGCATACTTCAATGTATTTTAAACTGGCCCAAATGCAGCCAGACAAATAGACGTAAGTGCAATCAACAAGTGTTAGTACTTTGGGGAATGTCGGTCTGTGTCTGTGTGAAATATCTTGAAGTGCAAAATGTTAATTCTGTATTACGGTGGGCTTTCAGCTCAAAATGTCAGTTTTTTTAATCCTAGTGCATGAAATATCCAACTATTTTGTTACCTTTCCTGTCCTGCAGAAAGGAGCAGAGCATTTCTGAGGAGGCCGAGGAACCGACCATTAAGGAACCAGGTAGAACCAGGTTTTTTTTCTTCTTAAAATTGACAGTATAGTCCCCTCGAGGAAATATGATTGTTAAGAGTGACAAAAAGTATAGAGCACGTTTAGTCTAAGCATAAACTTTCTATAATATTTCTATATTTTGTTGAACCTTCACATCTTATTAACCACTCATCAGGCAGATTTACGTATATTACTATTAAATCTAATGAAATCTATCATTAAAAACTATTTAGAGCCAAAGGAGCAATCGAAGCCACAGGGGTCGTCCCCCTCCCCACCTCCAAAACCTGAACCAGTTAAGATCCAAGAGCCTGAATCGGAGCCAGAGTCGGAGCCAGAGTCGGAGCCAGAGTCGGAGCCAGAGGCGGAGCCAGAACCAGAACCAAAGACAGAGACAGAGACCCGGGAAGCCAACTCAGGAGCTGAGCCCATCACCCAGCAGCCGCAGAGGGCAAAGGAAGACGATCAAAGCAACAACGCTGACAACGCTGCTGAAAAAGTAATGTACACCTGGTGAACATGCACAGTGATAAATGTTTTACCTCATATGACTGCAATACACGTAACTCAGTTATTTCTAAATATTGTTAAATCTTCTTGCTAATTGCCAATTTCATTCTGTTAATGTAATTCATGTATTGAAGTATAACAGTTAAGGAATGCTGAGTTAAGGTTTCCTAAAGGGAAATACATTATTTTAAATATTTAGCCCCAGGCTCATTGAAATGGGGAGCTATTATACACAGATGTGTGATTCTTTTTGATGCCATATGCCATATCCAATCTAAACTGAAGCTCACCACTCCCTAGCCATTCATATGCTTTGTGTTTTCTTTTCTGTGGAAGGAGGAAGCTACTGAGGACAGCTGTGGTGGTACGTTCTGTTCTATTTTGTTGTTTCTTATTTTGATTTACACGTGACTTTGGCTAATTAGCAGTTTCATTCCGGCATGCCTGACTGGCTGGTTGTGCTGTGTTGAACTCACAAGCTGCTTATCTAACTGTTGTCTTAACTTCTCTACATCCGCACTTCATAACCTTTAGTGTACATGTCGCCTGGTGTGTGTAGGCCATGATTATTATTCATCTTCTCGTTTAGACCAGGGTTACCATGACCTTTAAGGGAAACTAAAATGAAAATAAGGGGTCGAAAATATTCTCAAGCCAATAAAAAAACGATATCCTCTATTCAAGACTTAAAGTAAATGGAAATGATATGACTGGTAAGTTAGAAGTTAGCAATAGTTAATTAAAAAAAGTTATTTTTTGTATCTATAATAAATCACTATGGAAAAAAAGAGGATTCATTTATGTTCATTCCTTGTGCACTCAAACCCAGAAATGGAGCACACCTGTTGCATTTGCTTTACAAATAATGTCTCTTGTCTTGCACAATCAGTCCATTCTTCTACAATTAAATAACAAGAACATCATTTATACAACCTTTATTTACCAAATAGCTGCATCTTACACATAACACAACAACATTAGACAGTAGGTACAACACAGAACTAAATACCTTTTACAGTATATGCAATAAAAACAGAAATATGTAGTTGTATTGTTGGTGCATTTAAGTAATGCAGCTTGCATGGACCACTTTATTTCTCCTTCATTTAAAATCATTATGAGAGGTAAAGGTGCTTGAGTGTAAGGCCTTAATGAAAACAAACGTAAACTAAATACAAAAAAGGTAAACCTTTCCTAGAAAACTGAAACTTTCAAAACTGACATTGAAAATGTAAAAATAAAATGGAACCAAAAATTCCAAACCCATATTATAGCCCTGATTCAGGGAAGACTACATTGCTGTTTGACTGTCTACTGAAGCCCTCTCCCACCTTGCCTATATCCTGCCTGACTGTCTCTGAACTGTCTCCTCTTCAGCTCCAGTCAGCTGTGATGCATTTAAGAGCTGCCTGATGCGCCTTCCTCAAACCTCCGAGTGCCTGGGCAACATCAACGCGTTCTTCAAAGAGAACGGCATCTCCATTCCCAAAATACCCCCCATGCCTAATCTACCCACCCAGCTCTCTGACGTTACCAACTACTTACCCTCCCTCCCCCCTGAGTTGCGCCAAGAGCTCTCCCAGATCCGACTCACCCAGGTCCCCCGAAATATCGCCCAGACTCTGACCGAGCTTTTGCCCAAAAACTCTGACGGTTCAGTGGGCCCAGATCTGTCCAGTATTTCCCAGGGCATTTCAAACATCCCGCAGAAGCTCTCCCAGATTCCCACGCGGTTGCAGCAGTACTTCCTCAACGTCCAGAACCGCCTCAACAGCCTTATGCCTCAAGATGCCTAAGAAACAACAACAACAACAGCAAAAACAGAAGCAAGACAAGAATCAGCATGACGTAGAACTGAACCGGCTCGTCCGGCCCTCCCCTCTCTCTCCTGCTCATCTCCGGTCCCGCACCCCGTCTCCATCCTCCCTCAACGGCAGCACCCTCGAGTTGCCCAATGTGCCATCCTACCCGCGCCTGCCGCCAATCGTCAGCCCCCCCTCAAAGCAGCTCAACTCAGCGTCCCGCCAGCTCTCAGGTCTCTCTAACCCGGCGTTCTTCATAGAAGACGACTCAGACATTCCAGCAATAAGACCTGCAGGTGAATCAGTAGAAAGTTATCTGTGCTCTATCATTAGATTCCTCGAAGATACCTAAACTCATCCATTATAAGTAAACTCACAATGTGTGGCAGGATTAGTATCTCTAAAACTGTAAAACATCTGATTGCTCGTAAACTTTATTTAAAATCATAGACAAAGAAATCTGCATCAGTAAATGAATCACCTGAGTTCCGATGTAATGGACTGACAGTGTGTTCAGGATTAAGAGCACGCTGTTAAAGGAGAAAACAAAGTAGCAGTTTATGTCGTGGTGGTTATGGAGTAGTTTTATTTATTTTTATGTTGTCTTATGTTGTCAATTAAGTTCAGGCGCTTTGTAAACCAAGCACCAAATATCATTATTAGCTTAGGCTGTAAAGATAAGTGCTAAGAAACCATTCCATTATGTCGACAGAGGAGTACACATTTTTTAAATATACACCATGGCTGCCCTCCATTTCTTGTTAAAGTTTGTAACAAACTGTAAATGTACAAGAGAAGGCAGCATGTTGACACTTTTTTATATTTATTGAAGAAGACACAATTGTGCCAGTGTGCCATGAGCCTGATTAGCCAGACTCAATGTCTTACCAGGTGAGTAAGCTAGTCCTCTCGGCTTCCAGGACTGTTATACATGGCCTAGTTCTCAGGTAGATTTTCAGATTCTCAGACCTTTTGAGCTAGGCCTATTTAGATCCGGGAAAATCTGCTTCTCTCTAACGTTGACCTGATTAGCCCAAATGCACATGCACATTATTTGAGATGCCATTCACTAATCAACAACAAACATGTTTTGTCTTTAAACCTCTCCAGAGAGTTCTAGCCTCAGCCTTCGGCCAGCTGTCAATGTAGAAGATGTCGACTCCGACCATGAGAGAGGAGGTGAAGGAGGAGCAGGAGGAGGTGGGGAGGGTCAGAGCCATATCCCCCAAATCCTCGGCCCCCAGGACCCCAAAATCACAACCCTCACTGTCCCTGTGACCCCTTCAGGAGGTCGCCAAAGGTGAGAAATCTGGTTTTAACTTACACATGTTTACATATTAATATCATATGCCTATCATTTTTGAAAGGCTGATTTTGGATATAAACAAGTACATGCATTATAATATGTTTCCCTCCCCTCATGCTTCTGATCCACAGCAAAGGAGACAAAGAGTAAGTAACTATCTTGTTGGTCTTAAACTGTTTTGTGTGTTTGAGAAGGATATACTGCCCTCTGGTGTCTGCTACAGCCTGTACATCAGTGTCCTGCAGAAACGACATGTGTGTGTGTGCTTAAGAACATCTGAAAGGCCTTTATTTGGTTCCAAGGTTGTGAAATCTATTCTGCACATCAACAACAGTTATAGTTGCCAAAAGTTCACACTCACACACCATGAGACCAGCACAAAGCGTTTATGCAGAACACAGTCTGTCATGTGAAACATTGTGAAACTATTATTGTTTGTTTTTCTTGTGATGTTCTGTTCACTTTTGCATGTCTTTATAGGATCTTTGCAAAAGTAAAATAGATGCACCACAATCTTGCACTCTGTCCACGGATGGATTACTGAATGGGCCTACCGGGCACAAAACACTCACAAACAGCGGATAAATTACAACAAACATACACAAACAACTACATTTGATATAATTACTAGTCATAATAATGACTACAAAGAGACACCGAATGACTGCAGAGATGCAAAAAGATTCCATCTCAAAGAGTTTGGGTATCGAGAGGCCCATTGACTCATATCCGTCCATGCAGTACTGTAGATGATACCTTCACTTGCCATCCATTTGCTATGCCTCTCACAACCCCCCCCCCTCCAACCATCCCTGTCCCTGTTTCTTAACATTTCCCCTTTCTCTACCCTGCTCTCATCTTCCGTATCAGCAGTGGGAGGAATCGTAGGAGTATATGGACTAAGATGTAAGATATTAACCCTTGTTAAACACTGTTGTAACTTATCTAGAGTCCATGTATTGTTTTATTTACACATGTTGTCCAGTCGATAATGTATCCATCTTTATTCATTCACCCATTCAAATGTGTCAGTCTTTGCTCATCTGCTCATTTAATCAGTATTTTCAGTGCAAATTAATTAATAAATCATAAATAGCAGTAAGAAAGTAAACAGTAAGCATAATAGTCAGAAATCAAGCGTATTTGTAATAATGTAAAATAATTTACAAATACTATCATACATGATGTACAGTAGAGCCACATTACATTGAATTATATTCTGAGAATTTGAAACAATGATTTAACTAAAATACTCCTGTAAATGTAACAGTAGGACCCTTCACTCTCAAAGTGAAGATGATGATGAAGAAGGAAGCACCCACGTCAGAGCCTGGCCCAGCCAGTCCAGCCTGCACAGCTCAGAAGACATGTGAGCGTTGTACACACACGCACGCACGCACGCACGCACGCACACACGCACACACACACACACACACACACACACACAAATACACACAGTCACACTGACACTGCTTACTACTAACTGACGTTTTGAGTTTTTAAATAAAGTGCTGACATGCAGTGTTGAATGGACAACAATACAAGTGTATTTATCTGTTTTTTCCTCAGAATGAGAGAGCGGCCAGCATCGTCGGCCAGTCAGACCAGTACGGTGGTGAACGAGCGTCTCCAGGAGCTGGTCCGGATGTTTAAAGAAAGAACGGAGAAGGCGAAGGAGAAACTCATAGACCTGGACAGCTCTGATGAAGACAGCATCGTCCCCTGTGAGTCCCTGCCCTCTTCTCTCTGTCACCTTTAGTAACCCTCGGCTGATTTCAGTACAGCTCAAAACCTTGCATCCTTACACACAAACGTTTCTGAGACTATAGGGAGTGTAGGTAACCCTAACGCAAAGTCAGTGGGCAAAGCGTGCCCCGTGATTTCTTTATTTACACCTTTTCAGCACACGTTTAAATATATTTTCCCTATATGAAACAAACAATGCAAAATTTGCAAACAAAATGTCGTTTTTTTTTATTAATCAAAATCTAAGGGATAAGAGATTAACATAGCTATAACTACATTTAAAATCATTTTAACATGCAGTCTTTCTCATGGTGTGATTACATGTAGTTATATGATTGATTTGTTTCTGAACTTTCATAAAACCAAATGTTGGAGATTGATTATGTACATTTATATGATCAAATATACATAGTGTCATACTAGCTGGACAATTGCCTGTCACATGGAGCTTTTTTAAAGAGATCAAGGTAACATTAAACAAAGAAATTGTTTTTCATTATCTCACATATATCTTTTTGTCCAGCCTGTTTCCGGCTGCTGGCCATGTGTATCCTCAATATACATCAGTACACTTTTAGTAATAAAGAAGTTGCGCAGATCTACATTTGGATGGTTGTGGAACAAAATCAGCAGTTTACAGTTGAAAAAGGGAAGTGTGCACACTACATCTTTACAAGTTCCTGAGTATTAATCGTTTCAATAAAAATGAGGGTGGAAGCACCATAACATTAGGCAAAGTAAGAGTCACTTTAGGAAGTGTATAACATTACAACGGTTTCAAAAAAGAAAAAAACATGAGAAAGACAGTAAGCTACAAAGGTTTATAATAAGACGCTTTTTAAATATATTTTCTACAGTCACTTTGACTCACAGATAATATTTTGTCTTTTGGCGTAATGTAATGTTAAGCTGTGGAATAACCCGGTAAAAACTGAAGTGGTAGTCTCCAGCTTAAGCTATCATTCTTTTAGGAGCTGTGAGGCCAACTAACAGCAGGCACCTATAATGTGTACATCGCTCCAAAAAAGAGGTGTCATTAATATTCATATATGATACCTTTGATATGTTCATTACAATTGACTGGTAAGATATTTGTTGATCAAGAACAACAAAATGGTGGTCGATCTGGTCCATGTAGCGTAAAAAAGTACATATATAACGGTTACAGTTCCTTCTTTCTGAAACTTTTTGGAGAAAATACGAATGTTCCAGATCTTATCTTATTATCTCTCTTACGGCTTCTTCTGACTTTCTCCCTCTCACCTCCCCTCAGCTCCTCCTCAGACTTCGACTGCTCAGCCTGAAGCTCAGCCAGTGGTCGGAGGAGAGAAGGAGGAAGAGGCAGGCCCCTCAGGAGGAAGAGGAGGAGGAGGAGGAGTGGAGAGTGGAGTGGAGGAGCAGCAGTCTGGCCGCTGCTGCAAGGTGAAAGCTCCTCGGTGGATACTCGCTTGTGTGCACTACCGCTTCCCTGCCAGCATCGACCCTTTCACCAGTGAGAACCCAGCCGAATCTCCCCCCCCGCTGCCCGAACACCTCCCTGCTCTACAGTAGAAGCTCCTTTACCCAACTCACAGACAAACACTTTTCAAAGTTCTGACCAAATGTCTAAGTTGAAACATTTATTGAAATGAATTGAGCGGTTTACTGCTCATTATTAAAGAACTAAAGTGTTTTTAAGTGTGTTTATATGCAACCAGAGTGCAATGGTTTAGCACTGTGGGGTTTGGGTAAAGATGAATCTACAGTACTGTCCAGTTACATGCACCTGTCTTCTCCTCATCTGTCATTCACCCCTTCATCTTCCCTCTTTCCCTTCATTCGTAAGGACTTAAGGAGCTAGTTCATTCTCCAGAACCAATTTTTCTACTTTGGCATAAAACGAAGTTCTGTATAATCCACATGTTGCTTTTTATCACAGATCCCATCCTGCTTACTTTTACGGCTGTACCAAATTCCTTATTTTTGTAATTAACACAGTCGGAAGTTTCTGGAAATCCATCACAGTATTAAAATATCCTACACAAGCCACCTCTATTTCAACAGATAGCATAAGTATAAATAGCTTCAGCGTAGCATAATCTTGATCTGCAACTGTGCAGAAAAACCCAGGAAATATATATCGATTAAGAATTTAAATGTTTAACGTTATAAATTAAGCTTCAAACTACTGTGCAGCTTTTTTTATTCATGCTCTTTTTCCATCACTCTGTAGTTACTGGCATATCATACGAGTACTGATTGATTTCAGTCTCTCCTTAGACCCATCTCCCTCCCTCCCTTGTTCCTCTGTCTCTCTCCTCAGACTTGATGTACGTGCTGTGGATGTTTTTGGTCTCTTTTGCGTGGAACTGGAACGCTTGGTTCATCCCGGTACGCTGGGCCTTCCCCTACCAGACCCCCGACAACATTTACTACTGGCTGCTGACCGACTACCTGTGTGACCTCATCTACATCCTGGACATGACCATCTTCCAGCCGCGCCTGCAGTTCGTCCGTGGAGGAGACATAGTGGTGAGGGACACACTGGGAACATGTGCCATGATAACATTTTATTTAACACAATTGCTGATTGTCTTCGGAAACATCATGCCTTAATGGAACTTTACAAAAAAATATATTTTTAACAAATTATTTCACTTTAAACTGAATTCAACCGAAAATCAGCTTAAAAATATATTGTTTCAAAACAGTAATCTTAATGTCATAACTGTTGAAAGGCACAATAGTCATTGAAAATACAATTTGATTAATTGCCAAGCCCCAGGAAACATTGTTTTATTGTGAACAAAAAAAAAGAACACATAGCTAAGCTTTGTTTTTAAAGGAATTACAACGTTTGAGTATTATTCATACCTGCAATCGTTCTGTTTTTTTATTACAGTGTGACAAAAAAGAGATGAGAAAGAATTACATGAAAACCAAACGCTTCAAGGTAAGTTACTTGAGTGGAAATAAAGTAACAAAGTGTTTTTTTGCTTTACTTCATGTATTTAATTAGGTGCTACATTTCAATTTTTCAGTATGACTTAGCCAGCCTTGTTCCCCTGGAGATCTTCTATTTTAAAACTGGCATCAACCCTCTGCTTCGTTTACCCCGGCTGCTGAAGGTGAGCTTTATTACTGCTTTAATAAACCACCAATGTACTACGCTACAAACAGCGGACACTGAGGATATCACATCTATTTTCAGTGTGGCATCAATGCAAAGGAGAAGTTCACTTCCAGGGCTCTGTTTATCCGCTTTGAAAAATAGGAAGTCAATTATTCAGCTATCAATTTTCCAACTGTTAGAACGCCAATTTTGAAACTCTAACCATTGTTTTGCCTCCCCAGATAAACTCCTTCTTTGAGTTCAACGAGCGTCTAGAGGCCATCTTGACCAAAGCCTACATCTACAGGTCAGCTGCAGCATATCTCACTGCCCTTAAATGAATCCTCTATCTCTCTTGTTGTCACGGTGTCTTCCTTCCTTCCTTCTTTCTTTGAGATGAGCAAACAGATTTGAGATATTCTGTTTATTTAAATTCTTTGCTTTCTGTCTCCCAGGGTGATCCGCACCACCACCTACCTTCTCTACTGTCTCCACTGTAATGCCTGCCTGTACTACTGGGGCTCTGCCTACACAGGGCTGGGCTCCACAAAGTGGGTGTACAACGGCAAAGGCAACAGGTCAGTGCCATTAACGCATTCACACACATACCACACACACATTACTTTTTTTTAATGAATCCATGAATATTAACGTGTTCATAGAAATATTTATATGTAATTTAATAATGTGACAAACATTGTAATTGAGACACAAAAAAATCTATAAACTACAACCCTGTACTGCTACATAACATCTGCTCCTGGTGGCGAGCATCTTGTCAAGCTCAGTGGCGAGCCGTGAGCTTTATACCTAGGCCCTCTGAACCCCACCCCTTCCCTCGAAAAAAAGAAAAAAAAAGAGTTATTACGTCACAGCGTATACTTCAGCGGAATATCAAAACAACGGCCCAGGGTGCAAAACGCATCAATGACAGCGACCCTCTACCACACAAAACAACACCTGTGAACCCAATTTGTGTTCTTTGAATGGATATTGCATTGTGTTTGTTACTTTCGTTGCAGTTGTATGTCTTAAGTGTAATTTGGCATGCTTTTATTTTGAAGGCGAGTTCACGCTGTTGACAGGAAGTTGTTGTTGCTATGGAAACAAGAAAAGTTTCACAGCGGGCGGAACTTGTCATAAAGTCCGCGATAATAAAACCCACCCATTTAGAGGGAAGATATGATTGGTCAATTGTACTGTCATTTGACATTACTCTCACAGAGAGGGCCTAGAGGGCCCTGACGGCTCGCCACTGGTCAAGCTGCTCCACACACCGCAGTAGCTGCAGAAGGTTTTTGGGACATTTCCAAAACATTTGAAAACTTTTAAATATTGATTGCAGAAATCAAATCATATGTGAAAATGTGGATGGTTTTTACCTGAATCAGTCACATATGCCCCTTTCACACCAACGCAACTCCGGTTCAAGCTCCGTGCTAGAGCTTTTCTGGTTCAGAACCGGTTCTTCGGTTTAGCGCCGGCTCTTTTCACACCGCTCAGAGCCCGACTGGTGCTGCCGCTGCTGCGTCATGACGTCACAGTTTACGTCGCTGAGTTTCTCCCCAACGCCGGAGCTCACCTCACAATAACAACGGGCCGGGGACTGCGTTGCTTTTAATCATACGAAGCCAGATTAAATTAAATAACGACTTCTCCAACCTTATACTTTTCTCCAGAGTGCCGTGGTTCATTGTTTATTAATGTGTTTCAGCGGCATTTACCGACCGCTGCAGTGCTGGCCGGCTGCTCTTCCACGAGTGTATTCTCCCGTTAGCTCCGGGTTAGCTCACACGGCTCTAAAGTATTCACTGTCTGACTATCACACAAGCAGCTGATACATATCCCCAGTTCCCCTTAAGTGAATGTGTGTCAGTCTGAATTTACGCTGTTTGGTGTCAGTCTGAATTTACGCTGTTTGGCATCACAACGCTGTTATGAAAGTTTCTCTGGTATAACATGGGTGACGTTAGCATAGCAACCGAAGCTAAACTGACTACTTGCTAACCAGTTTTCTACAGGCACTTTTTACCGACGTATTTTTCATTATGATTCTACTTGTGATAGTCGGACATGACAACCTGTGCAGCCCATGTATTGATTCCATCCGATAGCTGCTATAATAACAAACAAAACGTCTGCCTGCTCTCCACAATGATCAATAACAGCGAACGGATGGTCAAAGTAAGGTACAAATAAACAGAATCACACGAAGCCTGGTTAGTGTTGCCTGACTTTATAAAGTGTGTTTTTTTTAACAAGTGTGTGGTTGCGTTCTAGTCACTTTGCTCAGCACTACTGCTTGTTACAACTTTTATTTGCCGTACTCGCCTTAAGTGTTAGCTCAGGTTAATCTCGCCCCCCTCCGACGTAAGCGTGACGTATGCGGTTCTTGCTTCTAGACGGACAACTTTTTGGTGCTCGAAACGAACCGGATTCCGGAGCTATGACGCTGCTCCGCTGCGGTGTGAACAGGAAAACCCGGTGCTTTTCAAGCACCAGCACCGAACCGGCCCTGAAACACCGTTGGTGTGAAAGGGTAGAATCCTCTTGGTCTATTCTAGTCCCATATGTTGGCATTTATTTAACATCTTATCAAGTTATCATTTTGAAGACATAATCTTTCTCTGTCTCTGTGTAATGCCTCCCGTCTCTGCTCAGTTACATTCGCTGTTACTACTTTGCTGTGAAGACCCTGATCACCATTGGTGGTCTGCCGGACCCCACCACCCTGTTTGAGATTGTCTTTCAACTCATCAACTACTTTGTTGGAGTCTTTGCCTTCTCAATCATGATTGGACAGGTAGGCAATTCACACATGTTTCAAGCAAACACAAACTCCATTTCGAGAGTGAATACAATGATATACTTAATCTTCTTCCCTGTACTGTTTTTCATGTAGTTAACTTTGCTTTTAAGTGCAGTGTTACCTACTGATAGGGCATTTTTGATGCTTTGTCTATGTACTATCTTTCTACATTTTTTATTGATATTATTTTTCTACACCTTAAATTAAGGGGAGTTCTAGATCTTATGCATTCTTATGTGTGTATAAAAAACAGAGACACTTGCCACAATTGCATGCCATTAACCTCTTTGTGCAAAATTGTGTTATGTTTGTCAGATGCGTGATGTGGTCGGCGCAGCCACTTCAGGTCAGACTTACTACCGCACATGTATGGACAACACCATTAAATACATGTCCTCATATCGCATCCCCAAAGACGTGCAGAACCGTGTCAAAACCTGGTACAACTACACCTGGCAATCACAAGGCATGCTGGGTAAGGAGAGCATGATCTGTGCACCTTCATTCGTCTCTTATACACGTTACATTTCAGTCAATCTGTACCTCTCATTATCTGCCCTCCAGATGAGCAGGAGCTGCTGACTCAGCTGCCAGATAAAATGCGTCTGGACATCGCTATAGATGTCAACTACTCCATCGTCAGCAAAGTCGCTCTTTTTCAGGTAAAAACACATAAGAAGAATACAGTACTCAATACAGTATATTCTTAAATCTACGATTCAGTAAGACAGACATGGTTTAGTTACTATCTAATCTTGCTGTTAGACCAAGTTGTGCTGTATATAGTCATTCAACGGCCAAAAAAAATCATACATTTGTAAATTAATAAAAATATAAATCTTTACAATTGTTCTTTACATTTTTTTAATTTTTTATATTTCTACATTTAATATTTTATCAATTTATGCATATATTTTACATCTTTTTATTTACTTTACATACTTTTTCCCCCCATTTATGGCACTGCTATGACTCCATAGTTAGTACACTTGTGATAAAGACAGCCACAAGAGATCACTACTTTCTCTCTTCTCGTCCCCTATCTCAACAGGGTTGTGACAGACAGATGATCTTTGACATGCTGAAAAGCCTTCGCTCAGTTGTCTACCTGCCTGGGGATTATGTCTGCAAAAAGGTCAAATGCAAACTTATTTGTTTGTAGAAAGTGTATGTGGCAACTTTTCTTATCATTGTTGCCATGTGTATTGCTCTGTCCCTCTTATGATCTGCCTCTTCTTCTCTTTACATTGCTCAGGGGGAGGTGGGTCGTGAGATGTACATCATAAAGGCGGGGGAGGTGCAGGTGGTCGGGGGACCGGATGGAAGGACTGTGTTTGTCACTCTCAGAGCGGGATCAGTCTTCGGGGAGATCAGGTGAGGACATTTATCAAATCATTATTATGTACAGTTCTTGCCTATCTAAGCTGCCATCTCTGACGATCATGAAGTGTGATTTTTTTTTACTTTTGTTCTAAAACCTTTGGATGAAATTCATAAAATGTTATGTTAAAAAGTCCAACTGACCTATGGCAAAGTTAACAATATCGCTTTTTAACCATAGTTTCTGTGATTGGCAGTTTGCTTGCAGTGGGTGGGGGTAACAGGCGCACAGCAAATGTTATCGCTCATGGATTTGCCAACCTCTTCATCCTGGACAAAAAAGACCTGAATGAGATCCTGGTGCACTACCCAGAGTCCAAGAAACTGCTCCGCAAGAAGGCCAGGTTAAACATCAGTGCACCACACAGCAGCAATTATCATTATCTTGAAACCACAAGAAAAAATACTTGGCATACTGCTTTGTATCTGTCCTGTAGATATACTGGGGCCTCAGAAGTAGAGTTATCCAAGAGCTTTGTTGCTTTGTCTGCATGTATCATACCATTACTGATGTCTGTTGCTGTCTCAATCACAGGAAGATGCTTACCAAGGGAAAGAAACCTGAGCCCAAAGAAGAGCCTAAAGGTCCCCCTCAGGCCCCGGCAGCCCCTGTAAGACCGGAAACGCCCAAACTGCTGAGAGCAGCCCTGGAGATGGCAGAGAGATCCACAGGACTTAAAGGAGCTCTGGCTAAAGTCAAAGAGAAGACCAACAAGTCCAGTGTCTCATTACAGGTAAACATACACCTGAAACCAAAAGCAGATGTATGTTAAAAACTTTGCCTATTTGCGTCTGTAGATGCATTGACCAAAAGAGGGCATTAGATAATGCCTTCTTTGTATATCAAACCAAATATTTTTAGAAAACTCAAAATGTTATGGTGGTAACAAACTTTTATTTTCGAATTTTACAAAACAAATCTTCAAAGGCCATCTCAATTTTGTTCCTCCTACTCTGAGCCAGAAATCTTCCCAAACATCTAACTATTCAATTTCATTCCTATCAATTTTCTTTTTCTTTTAACACATATTTCATAAGATAATTCCTAATTTGCATATGGTTATCCACATTTTCAGAAATCTTAATACAACAAATAATTGTCTTGACCTCTTCTCCTCCAGCCCTCCGTCTGCTCCTCCCTGCCTCCTCCATCTCCCTCCTGCAGCTCCGGCCCTGACAGAGACGAGGACACACCGTCACCTCTCTCCACCAGCTCTGCCACATTTCGCTCTGCCTCCCGTTGCTGCAACAACAACAACAACTCTGCGATGCCTCGCTCTGCGTCACAGTGCCACGGCAATTCGGAGGAAATGCTCACAATGGACCAAGGAGAGGAGAGTGTGAGCGAAACTGAAGGGAACGAGGGTGGGAAGAGGAAAGAAAAAAAGTTGTGATAATTATTTAAAGGACAAAGCAAGAACTGGATAACAATCCTGAATAGGAGAGGGGACATTGGTGTGATGGAAGGGAAATAGAGATCGCTTTAAAGGGGCCCTATCATGCATTTATGAGCTCTGGTTTCAGACAGAGGGTGAAAAGAGGTGCTGCAGCACAGGCAGTATGATGAAAATAAAGAGCTTTTTGAACATTAAAGCATGGAGACACGTCACAGTAGAGGCTCAAAATACAAATATCAACCTGAAAATGAGCAAAATAGGGCCCCTTCAAAGGGAAAAATAGAGGGATATATGACATAAACTGACAGAATGGCGGTAATAAAGAGAGAGAGAAGTGTTGTAAATGAACATGTACAAAACTGTCATGTCTTGATGTCAGCCTGATCTGCTAGTGGGAGTTGTGTGGGACAAACATATTAAGGTAGTACTGTATTCGTCTCTGACCTACTAATCCAATGTGTACAGTTTAGACTTGTTGCCTGCTATATTTGGACTTTTGTGTCAAATGTCTTCGACACTGATTCTCTATTAGTTGCTTTTTTAGTTTTTTATCAACCTCCACACACTGTGTTCAAATGTATTCTTGTCATTATAAGATCACCAAACGTAGGAGCAAGCCTTCCCCACCTCTTCAGACTTAAAGCACATTTTCATAATCTTCTCTGAGTTTACAGTACAGATTTCAATGTAGCTATTCTTTTACTTCTTGCTACATCTTGTCTTTCTGAAACAAATGTTTTTGCTGTTGTTGTCCGCTGACTGTTCACAGATTATTTTGTAAACTTGAAAGAACAATCTGCCTTATCTGTGTTGTTATTTACATTTGTGTTGTGTTGTGTTGTGTGAGTAGCTTGCACTGCTGATGTTTCCACAAGTTGGTTTGAACAGCAGAGACCTAGTGAAACTGTATTTCAGGTTTTAACATGATCATCATGTTTTTATTGTTTATTTTGTACAATATTGTAAATATATTTGTTTTTGGAAATGTAGCTGAATCACATTTCAATGTAAATTCACTGCAGTGTCACAACATGTACATAGATTCTGATAATAGTAAATGTTTAATCTGTTTTTAATCACATTTTTTTGTGTGATTGTTAAGTTATTGATAGAGCCTCAGGAATGGGGCCCATAAACCAGCTAACCATACTGCCAGACAATCTGTAGAAAGAATTATAAATGTTGTATAATTGTATCTTTTGCAGTGTGTGTGTGTGTGTGTGTGTGTGTGTGTGTGTGTGTGTGTGTGTGTGTGTGTGTGTGTGTGTGTGTGTGTGTGGTGAGAGACGAGTGCATAATGGACTCAAATGAGTGTATGATAATGCCCTCGATTTTGTCACTGATGTTTCCCTGTCTTTTGTGAATAAATGACCTGTTTCTGCATATTTGGTCTGAGTTTTTCTGTAAATACTTGCAATGACCATCGAACATAGTACCAAGTTGTGGTATATAACTATGTTCATTTAATCAAATAATACTGTACTAAAGTACCATTTTGACCCACTTGTAACATCTATTTTGTTTATAATCATACTTCACTGCATCTCAGATGGAAACATGTAACTTTAATTCCACAACATTTAGTTTATAACTAGCTGCTTGACATATTTAAATTATTAATACAAAGCTATATCTACTATATCTATACATAATAAGCAGGGGTGCACATAACTGGTACGCAGGTACGCATGCGCGGCACAAATCTGAATTGCGTAACGTCACTTGTGTCACTACGCGCCTTTGCGTACCTCAAAACATCAAAACAAAACACATATTTCGTCTACACGTGTTTCTTGTCAACACTCAATGGAGTAAACTACTAGGCATGTCAAAAAACCCAAAGACATTAAGCAGCTACGTTGCCGTTTCGCTCCCTGCAAAAAATCTTTCTATGACTGATTGAACTGGAGCTGGGTGAGCCGCGCAGGACATAACCGACGGACCTGTGAAGCTTTCCAGGAGGCAGAGGCCTAGATCACTGGACGACAGAGTTGGTCGCCGTGTGCACAGACAGGGTTAACGTCGGTATAAACAACAGAATTGTGCCAAAAGTCCGCCAACTGGCTGCGGTGGGAGACTCCCCTGTGCACATTCTGTGCCCCGCGCACACACTGGAGAACTGCGCAAAATCATCTGATCACAACGTTCACGCTCTGTGGTCAAGCTGCTGCAGTTTTATTTACACCAAAGTGGAGTGAAACACACAGCTGCAAACTTACTCAGGGTGTTATGGAAGAGTTTGAAATCAGACAGAGGTGGAAGAAGTACTCAGATCTTGTGTAGGAATACTCTGTTACAGTAAAAGTCCTGCATTCAAAATGTTACTCAAGTAAAATTAGAAAAGTATTATCAAAATATAGTGAAAGTAGCGACAGTAAAAGTATTCATTGTGCAGATTGGTCCATTTCAGAATAATATATATGATATGTTTTATAATGATTGATCATGAAAGTGTTCTCAAAGCTGGTAAAGGAGCAGCTAGTTTGAATGACTTTGTATACTGCAGGGTAGCTTGTGAATTTACTCCAGGTGGAACTAAAGTCTGATTTAACACTTGAGTATATTTCACATCATTCATCCACATCTGTAAAGTAACTAAAGGGATTAAATACATGTAGTGGAGTAAAAGTAGAAGTACAAAGTAGCATAAAATAGAAATACTCAAGTCAACTACAAGTATCTCAAAATTGTACTTGAGTAAATAAGTGTGCTTTGTTACTTCCCACATTTGAAATCAGATATGACTTCAAGTCATGTGATCATTTCTTAGTATTTGATCCTTCAACTTGGCCTCAGGAAATGCAAGGACTTCACAGTTTTGGCAACAAGTTTTGGAGAAAGCAAATCGGAGGCTTAAAAAGAGACAGGGAGGTGCATCTTCATCATCTTCATCATCTAGCATGCAAGAAGTGTAAATTGAGGACAGTGAAGGAGACACTGAGGAGGACCACGCTTCGTGTGGGGTGAGTACCAAACGCTGTCTCTTGGTACTCATCTGAGTAACTCACTAAAAAAGTTATGTGCACCCCTGATAATAAGTCTCAAAATGGGCCATTCTGCATTATAAGGAGGCAACTTTTACTTACCGTTTGCCTACTTAAAATTGTGTAGTATAATTGTATGTTCATACTTTTGAATGCAGGAAAACATTTTCTACACTGTGGAGCACTTTGAATTGTCGCGTACAGAAAAGTGCTATATGAATAAACTTGCCTTGCCTTGCCTTGCCTTGCCTAAACATTTTAGTACTTCTCCCACCCTTGTAATTTCGTGTATGTATATTAATTGATTTGCAATGATGAGCCATTAAACGGTTTCAGAACGACCACAGTGGAAACTCCAGTGCCATTTATCTAGGTCAAAACATACTGACTTAACTGACTTTATGGAGGTGAAAAGCTCAGCTAAAGGAGTAACGGTGTATACAGTAAAGAGAAAAACTCATTACCCACAAGGCCCCGCCCCCTCTGACGTCAGTGTTTTCCCTCGCTCAGCTGATCCCAGTCAGACTGCCTACGGAAATGTTGTACAGTGCAGGATAAAGTAGCTTAGTGACATGACAGCATGCAACACAAAGACCTCTGTTGGCTTCCATTGATCTGGTAATATTACTGCTCAGTTTCCGTATACATTTAACGGTTTATAATATACGCATGAGCTATTAGCATAAACGCTAGCATTGGTAATTACTTGTGCAGCTAGCTAGCATCAGTGACAGCTAACTGAGCCCCTCGTGATGGTGCGGACTTGTTTATAATAACAGAGGAGAAGCTGAGATGGAAGACTGCAATGGGGAGGACATTATAGCAACACCTGAGCTACCTCTGGAGGTGAGTTCATGTACTAGAAATAAATAAGAAGATGCAACAGACTCTTCTGTTTATTTAAACATTCATAACAGTTTATTCTAGGCTGAATCCCAGAATAAAAAAAGGTTTTAATGTATGAATTATAATATGTTTTACTTCATTTAAGAACTGGGGTTTAAGGAACATATCACAAAATATCTCAAAAAGAAAATGTCATTATTTTGTATTGTCAATCTGTAATATACAAATACATACATGTAACACTGAAGGAAGTCTGCAAGCTTTTAACAGGTTTTATATAATGTAACTGCTGCATTTGCACGTTTGTCTATTGTTTTCTGAAGTATGAAAATACAATGAAGAAAAAGGAAGTCCCAATGTCCCCACCAAGGGATACGGGTTAAAATGCTATTTTAAAAGGCTAAAATTATCATACACTTCTAGAATTGTAATATAATATAGTTAAGACTCTCATGTCCCTATAAAGAACATACATGTGAAATATCTGCTATGTTGAAATGACAGAAAATGTGCTTTGCTGGCTCCCAAAAAGCCAAGGTTTACATTTTCACAGAACCTCACTCAAACAGGCTGTATGCATGGGGTTTTGTAATAAAGGCCTCAGTGCCGTGTCCCTGACAGAGGCCATAAGTGAATTCCCGGGTCTCAGTACAGCAGAAGTCCTTTGCTGGTGGATTAGGACGTGTTATGACATTGCTATTCTTGCCAAATGACATTATGTCATTCAGTCATGCAATATGCTGTCTTTTGAGAGAATACATACTGTCAGGTGACCCTGGGGTGGATTTCCTCTTCCAGGATCAACACATTTGAATGTAATCTAACGTTGTATTCCTGTCCTCAGATCATAGTTTACATCCAGAGCTTTCTTCAAGCTTCAGACAGGAAGGATGCCTCGCTGGTCTGCCGCAGCTGGTACTACGCCAGTCAGGACTTCCACTTTCAGGTAATTAGCTTCAGGGAATAAAGTATGATGAATCGGTATTGTGCATACTTCAAAAACAGGGTGTTAACTATTTGAAAAGTGACTGTAGAAGGATCTGCATGACTCATGAGTGTGTAAAGCTTTGGGGCAAAGTCAACTCCATGCCTCTTCTCTGTCTGTTTCTCTCTGTGCAGAAGAACCTCACCTTCAGCTTCCCGGCTTCAGCCTCGTCCCTGGAGCTGATCAAGGGTCTGGGCAGGAAGTCCCGCTGCAGTCTGATTATCAAACAGCTCGATGGGTTCAGCATGTCCAGGTCACTGCTCATGGAGGTACAGTATGCTCACATGATTCAAAAAGTCTTTACTCGTTGGGTTAGGATGTGTGCAGGTGTTAACTGAAGAACACCTGTAGCTTCCTTATTAACCGAAAATAAGTCGCTCTTAATGGTCAAGAGAAAATGTCCCCCGAGTCCAAAAAGTGGAAGTTCCTTAACCTGCATACTTTCTAATATCCAGCAGGAAGCAATGTATCTGGTTGTATAGAAGTCTATGAGAGAATGACCCTTCTTCTAGCTTCATTTATTGGGTTCGGTAACATTTTGATGGCTTCAATTGTTAGTTTCAAGTGTTCTTTATTACATCCTGATGACCATTAAGCAATTAAGGTCCCATTTGCAGTAAAATAGATTTTTTTGGCATTCAGTTTTTACTTTACTCTATCCTCTTGTCACATTTGTAGTTGAAAATAGACAAGATGACCACGGGCCAAGATGCGTTACTGGAGGGTTCAAAATGACCCAACAATTGGGTGGAGTCACTGTGACTAAGGCCAAAGGAGAATAATTGGGAGCAGATTTGGATGGATGAAATATATAATTGCTGAGTATTTCTAATAGGGTGTGTTAAGACAAGTCATCCTTCTCTACTAAAACAGTAGCTTTTGTTTTGGGAACTTTATTGCTGTTGTCATGTGAACCCTGATAGCACTAGCGTTGTATTTTCACTTAAAATGATCACACGATTTGTCGTAGGTCCAGACATTTTCCCTACCTCAAGGGCTTATGTGAGAGCCATTTAAAAAAAGACTGAGCAAACCAAAGTTGTTTGGATTTTATTCATCCTGAACATCATCTGGCTAAAAATGCTCAAAGGCTCACATTGCAGTCAGCCAGAAATATTATTTGAAACCTGCTTTATCTTGAGTGTTTGCATTGTATCACTCTAATCATTTTGATTACCCATAAAACTCCTATAAAAAGGTCCTATCCAGCAGATAGTAAATTAAACTCTGTTCTCTTGCCACCCTTGTCTCTTCGTTCCCAAGTCCCAACCTGTTTCTTTTTCTTTCTTATGTGATTGTCTTTGCCTTTTCCCCCCCCCTTCAGGTGGGTCTGTGTTTGGGCTCTAAGCTGGAGAGCTTGGCCCTGCCCGGCAGCAGTATAACAGAGGCCTCTCTGCTGAGCCTCCTCCCCCGCCTCACCTCCCTCCGCAGGCTGGACCTCAGGGGTCTGGACAGCCTCTTCATGTCTGGGGCTTTCCTCTCCAGAGAGGAGCACAGACACCAGGTATTATATACTCTATTCTCTAAATGTGGGACTCTTTTTTTCTGTAAAATGTGTGTGTGCTTTGGCCTATATTTGATAAAACAGCTAAAGAGAAATGAAAGAAGACAGAAGGAAATGAAATGCGGCTAAGGGCTGTGGGTTGGATTCGAACCCTGTCCGTTTGACTTTTTTTCCAAACGTATACAGCAATAGTAAGGCTTTAATGAAGTAATGGTGCATTCGTTTAAAGTCAAGCTAATGAAATATGTAAGAAGAAGCCTCGCCCCGCCGCCTCTCGCTGGCCGGCTGCCATATTGCCTTTGAGTTCGACCCGTATCGAGGGTCAAGAAGGAAGAGATAAGCTATTGGGTTGTACCACTTTATTTAGAGTTGATATCAGAGTTGAGCTTATGTTTCGATGCTGATTATTTAACATATTATTTTGCAGTCTGGTCTCAAGAATGTCCATTATCTAGTATTGATTGCTTTATTATTAAGAATAATTCAGTAACTAATATTTCCTCATTTGTTATTTTCTTACACATCCCTTGGTAAATATTCAGGACTTCATGTCAGTTGTCACCAGCAGTTGTGTTGTTTTCACATCTTTCTGCTGCACAATCTTGAACACACATCTCTTTATGTTATTACATTGCCCAGCTTTACTTATTTACTGGTTCATTAAATAGACTGGTTAATTACTGCAGAATGTAGGTCACTAACCAGCCCCCATGAAACTACACTGTGTAGAGGAAGTGTGGCAGTACCATCTGGCATGCAGTGTTAGTCAGTTAACTAATCTATTTACTGTACATGGAAGAAGAAAGTTTACCATGTAGAAACAAAGAAGAAAAGCCCTGTGATGTGAAGAGGAAAATGACATGTAAATAGAGCAGCCAATTTGGAATCTGCACTGACTGAACCCTCTGTGGCAAAGAGACAGCAGCTAGTTTGCGAGGTAGCCACTGCTAGCCCAGGGTTGCCAACTCTCACGCATCTGGCGTGTGACACACGCTTTCACTCTCAATCTCACGCTCTCACGCTGCCCAAACTATTCTCACGCCAAAAACAAGAATACGAAGACTAGAAACGGTTTTGAAAACTTTTGTCACGTAGTGATCGTCTTCTCAATAGAACATCTTTGATAATGTCTTCTGGCCAATCAGAATCACGATAACGGCGTGGTGTTGTTGCAGGAAGTCCCGACGGAGAATACTTTTGCGGTAGTACATCTCTATACATCGATACAACATTACGTGTTGATAGAAATCAACACGTAATGAAATAAGACCCCACGGTTTGATGATTGATAGGTGTGTGGGCTGTCTTTCATTTTGACACACAGAACAATGGGGGCTATCCACCCTTATCCACAATGTAAAGTAATTCACACAGCCTCTTCCCTCTTCTCTCTGTGAGGAGCAGCAGGTTCAGCTTTCAGAACAAAGTAACAAAAAAATAATATGGCATTCATTTTTTTAAATGTGTAGTAATAGATTTATTTATTTTTCTTCTCAAGAGAGTACCAGAATGTTTATTTTATGTTAGGATTTTAAAAAATCTCCTGGGGGAGAATCCCCCCAGACCCCCCTGCAGGGGTTGGGTTTTCAGCATGTCAACTATTTCACCTGTTGCAGGATTGGCTCCATGTCGCCCTTTTTATTTACTACAAGACAAATGTGCCTTTTTATTTCATACAGTTCAATTTGGATTGAGACAGGGAAATAATCTAAACCTCACGCATGGCGTTTCACTGTCGGGGGGAGCGTGTATGTAATTACATTGCAAATACTGATTTAAGCCCCACCACTGTATGGGTTAGCCCTACCATAGATTACCCAACAAAAATACTCTGGAGCGCATGCGCAGATCTAAGATCCAGTAGAAATGATAAAAAAGTAAAAGTCTGCTGCTTATTGTTCTACTAGGCCAACATAGAGTCAAAGAGTACAGTATATGAGAGTGAGAGTGTGTTAATTAATATATTTGGCAGTTTGGAGTAAGTCTGTAGATTTGTTTGTGTGTGTGTGTTTCATGTATAGGCCTCTCACGATAATTAATTTAGTAGGATACATTTTCCCGGAAATTATTGCGATAAACGATAATATTGTCGGCACCGTTGTATGACCATTTTAGACCACTGACATAATGATAATATATAATAATAATTCAAGTACATCCTTTCAAACTGCTAGTCACATCCTCATGTAAATGGCAATTTATCGAGGTCAGAAAAGTTATCGAGTTCATTTTTATTTATCGTACGATAAGTCAATTAATTGCTTATCGCGACAGGCACACAATACAACAGTGGAAACAAACATGTTTGACTTTCATTAGTGAATGAAACTGTGTGCCCTTTATAGTCTGTGTCCATTATTGTGTATTTGTATATATTGTATATATATCCTATATATATGCTAAGGTCCCGCTGCTGACACGATAGCAGTCATGTCGTGCGCATATGTGTAATTAAACCGAATTAAACCCATGATATCACAATCTCACTCCAGCCAGGTACCCAAAGTTGGCAACCCTGTGCTAGCCTTAGCTAAACCTTAATGTAATCACATGAATAAAAACAAATATTTTGAATAACCAACATCTTGGTATCTCAGTGTTTTATTCCACATAGCTAAATAAGACACATGCTAAATGTTGTCATGGTGAAGATAAAACCCCAACCTAGCTTCTGCTAAAGCTAGCTTAGCAAAGTTACAGCTACTGCCATGTTAGCTTTTGAATCTAGTGGAATTACTGACATGTTTTTGTGGTTAAGCTACTTTAAATCACATGTTTAAGTATACTAAATTAGTATGAAACCCGATTGTATAAACTTATACAATTATATTATGTTTAATAACAAATAGCAAATAAAGTCATTTATTTTGTATAAAATATGTGAGTCAGCAAACTTTAAACCTTTTTTGTTGTTTTTGTCTGCTCTCTGTGTTTGAAGCAGTATTAGATTTGGCTTTCTCCTACATGTTGGCCTGTGTAGCTCTGCTAGTGTTAGTCTCTCTGTAGAGAGTAGTGCCCTGGGGAATAAGAACATCTGCAGTGATTATAATTGCAGTCATGATGGTGACTGACAGATGGGTGTTTCCCCTCAGTAAAAGTTGATAAATGTAACCTTTCATACTAATTGTAAACGTAGTAAGGCTTTCAGGTCAAACTCCATCTTGTTGTTCCAGGTGAGGTCAGCTCTGTCTGGTCTGGAGGAGCTGGACCTGTCCGACCTGCGCTACCTCTCCGACCTCACCTTCAACCGGCTCACCAGCTGTACCCCCGGCCTACGCCGCCTCTCGCTGGCCGGCTGCCATATCGCCTTTGAGTTCGACCCGTATCGAGGGTGCCCAGCGGGGGCTGTTAAGGATTCGTCAGCACTGCTGTCACTGAGGAACTTGAAGAGGTTGGTAACGGAGCAGAGATGGACTCTCGTAGCTTTGGACCTCAGCAGAACCTCCATCACACCCGATTCACTACGCACTGTTGCACAGGTGGGATTACCTTTAGGCCCTGCTGCAGCTTCTCTATTACTTTAGTGGTCCTTACATTCTTTGAAGATAAAACGTTTTAACTGCTTCGCCTCATAGATAACACCTTTTGTAGGATTTATTTTACACTTTATATTCCTTCTGTTTCAGGTTCCAGATTTGGTCTTAGAGGAACTGCGTCTGCACGGCTGTAAGGAGCTGACCGATTACTCAATAGAAGTTCTGGTGAAGCACCAGCCGAGCCTCCAGAGGCTGGACATCAGTGCCTGCACGGAGCTGACCAGCAGGTCTGTGGAGGCCGTAGCTCAGGGCCTGAAGGCACTGACACAGCTCTCTCTGTCCCGCGACTGGAGGATCACTGAAAAAGGTGCAAATTATGTATTTTTTGTTTTTGTGTTTATCGTAGAGTTGAAAATGAATTTGCAAATAAAGCCGAACAAAAATGTGCCATATTTGATGTGGATGTCCTAACAGTGCTGATGGTAAATGTAGTCCAATGAAGGAATCCCAAGTGTGCTGCATGTTGATTGAGAAAACTGCTCACATGCTGGACATGACTTCATTTACCACGATGGATTGCCGTTGAGCAGCATAAGACACTATGTTACAGAAACTGTTTGACTTTTTAAGTCAAATAAATTACCAGGAATAAACTCACCAATAGTCAAGGAAGAAAATATTCTTACACATTAACAGAAAAATACAAATGCATTCCTTCTGAATTTACGTTCCTTTCTGTTAACAACAATTAAATTGATTAATTGATTTGTTATTTCAATGTAAAACAAACTTCATGCAAAACTGGATGGAAACGAAATAAAATTCCCTGTTATAAGTATTTGTTCAGACTAAATAAGTCCGTATTTGCTGAGTTAGATGTGAAAATATGCTTGCTCTACAAACTGTTTTCCCCTCAGCTAAGCCTCCATGCACATCAACTACCCTAGAATGTCGTCTGTTGGAAAATCTTTTACAAAGAGATGATTTTGTGTCGGCACAGGCCTCGCTGAATTACTGTCAGTGTCCTCCCTGAGGAGTCTGGACCTGTCTGAGTGTCTGCACGTCAGCGGGACAGAGATAGTGAAAGGCCTGACAGGATGCACCACTGCCCGAGCACAGCTGGACACACTGAGCCTCAAGAGCTGCACCTACATACGGGTCAGTCAGTGGACAGTGACAGTATGAGGCTGTATTTCTGTGTGTTTTAACATGTAAGTCTGTCATTTACAAATAATGTTGTCTCTGTCTCTGTCTTCAGGATTTTGCAGTTTTCTCTCTCACACAGCTTCTGGGGAATACCCTCCGTGAGCTGGACTTGACATTGTGTGTTAATGTGACTGACCTGTCTGTGCGAGCTATAGCCACTTACCTGCAGGGCCTGGTGGTTCTGCGGCTGGGCTTGTGTAAAGAAATCACAGATTGGGGTCTGCTGGGGATGGTGGAAGCAACCAAATGTGAGCCGGACCAGGAGACGGTAAGAAGCACGTGTTAGAAAATGGTGGGGTTATATACGGTTGGCTTCTCCAAAATGGGGGTGTCTAAATCATTCAATCACACTTTAAATGATCCAAACTATGCCTTTAATTGTCTTTTCTCAACAGGCAGATAAGGGTCCGAGATTCACCCGGACTTTCGGCAACATGGGTTTCTTCAAGCCTCCGCGTTTACCCTTTGATGAGAAACCCAAGCTGGTGACGCATAATGACCTGCAGCAGTTCAAGCAGCAGGCTGGAGCGTCTCTGTTAGCTCTGAACAGGCTGCAGGAGCTGGACCTCTCCGCCTGCCCCAAGCTCACCGACAGCAGCATCACCCAGGTGGGGGGGCGGAGGAGAGCCAAATGTTTTAGTTTGGTGCAGGACTGCAGGAGATAATACTGTCTCTCCTCTCCTCAGGTGCTGCGTTACCCAGACCTGCGCCGCCTGTCGCTCTCCATGCTGCCGGAGATCACGGACGCCAGCTTGGCCTCGGTGGCCTGTCACTGCCGCAGCCTCACCAGCCTGGCCCTGAGCCACTGCCCGGGCATCAGCGACCGCGGAGTGGCTCAAGCTGCACCGTACCTCCACCGGCTGCAGCACCTCTACCTCTCCGGCTGCAGCAACATCACTGACAGGTGAGCGGCACCAAACTCTATGTGTGTCTGTTTCCCCTTAAATAATGGGACAGTCCAATTGCAATACCAATGATGTGCAATATGTGCAATATATATGCCGTTAATAACTGTGCAATATATACCTGGCTGGTATATCTCAGAACTAATACAGGATGTGTACTTTGTAAATTGTGTAATCTTTGTGTAATGCATGCTTCTTGGGTAATATTAAGCTGCCTTTGGCTCTTGTCTTGATGCAAATGTCCCCTCTGTGGGACGATTAAAGGTATTCTGATTCTGATTCCATCCTAATGTTGAAAATAAATATGTTTCCTTTTACCTGTAGTTCTGTTTATCAAATGATATATGTATTCTAGGTTTCAGAGTGTTCTGGGTGCATCTACTCACATGTAAATGTTGTCTTCTTCAGCTGAGCTTTAACGTTAGCTGTCTAAATAGACAGTTCCTGATGGTGACACAGTTTGGTTAGTAGAGAGAAAATAGTTCCTAAATGAAACTGCTCACAACAACGTCTGTGGGTTATTTTGAGTAACCAGGTCATGGTTTCTGAAAAAAACACCCCAAAATGTATTGTTTTGGCGCTTTGAGAACCACACGCAAGGGCCATCTACTTCCATTGTATTGAAGAGAAGTTAGACAAACATCCGATGTCTCTATCTAGATTGATAAACCAGGCTTTGGTGAAGATATGAAGTTTGTATTTTTAAGGATTGCTTCCTGATCTCTTGACCTTTGCTCCTGCAGGTCTCTGTTCCTCCTGCTGCAGCACTGTGACCGTCTGCAAACACTCGACATCTCAAGTTGCAAAAACATCTCCCCAACAACGGTGGACCTCCTTCAATCCAGGCTGCCCTTCTTGGAGAATGTCCACCACAAATTCATAGGTGGGGCTGATATATCCCTTACATTCTGACTGACTGAATGTCCTGGAAGACCACTTGTCCTTTTTTCAGAGACAAAAACCTGCTGACCAAAGACTGCTCCATGAGTTTTGCACATTTTTTTTACACAAGAACTGAAGGAAAGATGTGTGTGTGTGTGTACTGTGGGAGCAGCTTGTCTCCTGAACGTCACCCTGTTAGTGAGTTTATAAAAGTGTCTTCAGTGTGAGAGAGGTACCTCTAATGTGGAAATACTAACATTTGTTGTTCTGCGTGGCGTCAAAAATAACTAGACAGGGTGGAGACAACTGACTGAAAACATACTTCCCTCTACATGTATCTGTTAAAACCAAGAGCAACCCTGTACACTGAGACACAGCTGCCACAGTTTGAAGGAAATATGCTCACAATAAATCATATTTTGCTTTTTGTTTTAATTGTCTTGCAGAAACAAGGTCCTGTTATCGTAAAAAGTAACTCAGAAAGACTTGCATAGCTGAAGGTAAGGTAGGAAAAAATATATAAAAGCTATCTCATAAGAAATAATTTTGTTGAGATTTAACGCACATTTTTTATATAAAAATGTAATTATATATTTAATATTTTAAATTCTTACATTTCTCCTTTTGCTTAACATGAGCACATTTATGTTGTGTTGAGCAGCTGAAGAAAGTATTTTTAAAGCTCACACTGTAAGGTGTTTTTGATTTTCTTGATGATTTATTTATAACAAAACAGGAGAATAATTTTTTCTTAAAATAACGTATCTGTGTTGCTAAAGTAGGAGGAAAGATTGATGTGAAGGGAAATAGGTGTCCTTAAATATTTTCAACTTTTAGACCAGAATTAAGGCCAATAACTTATTTAGCATGGTCTCTTCTGAAATGGCTTTCCTTAAAGGTCCCATGTCATGGCCATTTCTACTGATCATAATTCCATTGTTGAGGTCTACTAGAATAGATTTACATTGTTCCAAAATCACATTGGTTTCTCATACAGCATCTCTGTATAGTATGTGTATTCACTCTCTGTCCTAAACGGCTTGTTGGAGCTCCTGCCCCCCCCTCCCACTGTGCTCTGATGTGTGAGTATGTGTTACAATGGCGTTAGCAACCAGAAAATGACACCAGTAATGACAAACAGATGAGAATGCTGCGTGGGGTCTGGGTGCCGTGTTGGCGGGACGTTGCGGGGCTCGCTGCTCCGCCCTTTGAGGCTCGAGGAGCGGACAGTGTGAGCTATATTACTGGTGTTTCCTGGTTGCTGCGTGGGGTCTGCGAGACAGCGAGGAACTCAGCCTGAAAACACACACACACACACACACACACTCACAGCCAGGCAGAGCCGCGGCTGAGAAAAGATAAGGCTGAGTGAGTGTGTGTGTGTGTGAGGAGCTCCACGGATTGGTCCATTTGGAACAGGGTATGGGCACGTCACTATACTCAGGAAGAAACAAATTGAAAAAGAGAAATCCCCAACGAGGCGTTCTGGGGCAGCATAGACAGGTCTTTTCTGTGTTAGAGTTTTACTCGCTACAGGGTGTACTTTGAGGGTTTGTGACTCTGCACACCGTTTACATGCAGAAAAAGCTACATAACACACAAGGGGACGGGTAATAACCGGAAAAGCATGTCATGGGACCTTTAACATGTCAGCAGTGCTTACAGCCTCCATTTAAAATAACAGTTTTTAATTTTTAAACTGCCCGTTTATCTGAGGTAATAAGCATGAAGTCTGTATTATTTTCTAATGAAAATCTGGACATTAACTGTGATAACTGGATACTAAAAGCTTACCATAATAGTAGTTCATCCCTTTATAGTGTGCTATGTTGAATAATGTTGTACTGTTGTAACACTGTCTGCTGCACTATGCCCGAGGAGGAATTGTAGACTGTAAAGATGAGAAATAAACATTCTTTTAATAAACAATCAGCATAGTAGTCAAATGTTGGCTATTATGCCATGACTAAAACACAAACACATGCTTGTTTTATTTTCAGTATAAATCAAACTGTTTATTCCAAATTATTAAACATGTCGCCTCCATCATATTATTATCAGTACCTTTTATAAAATCTTTCTATTTCAGGATCTGATCCAACACATTTGAAAAAAACCTACACAGAAACACTTATTGCATTCTGTATCATACAGATACAGATATAGTTTGATAAGCTTTGTGTCTCTCTTTGTAAAACTTGATATGTTAAGTCAGCATGGTACCTAATGCAGATCTGCATCACTATAACAAATCTAATAAAAGTCGTACAGATCATCTCGGATCCACAGCTTCTGGGATCCGTACCAAGGCCAGTACCTATTTAAGCAACACATTGTCCCACACCTACACATACTGTACTTGTCTTTCTTATGTTGGAAATGAGTGTAATGTGTAGCACATCTTGAAAAAGCACTGTCCAAATTCATGCTCATTCAAAAACATAAAAACATGAGCACAGCCAGCATTTAGAGACACAGCGTCTATTGTCTCGACCAATAAAAACCACCCTCGCACACAGGAGCATTCCATGTACCATACATCGTTTAAGATATATTTAGAGATATAAAATGATAGCAAAACTAAATCATAGTACCATTAATTGAGTGGCTGAAGAAGAAGGATTTCATTTTTCTGAGGAAATATGTTGAATTAATGCAAATACAGTCAATAGGCAAATGGTAGCAGTTTCCACAGGTTTTCTTCCCTTGGATGCAGAAGACCACATAAACCTAATGTTATAAATCTGTGTAATAGGAATAAGTGCACGGATGCACAGGTCAGTTCTCACCAAACACACACTTCTTATTTCAGACACACACACACACACACACACATATACAATATATATATTTACACATTCACACATTCACACATCCTGCTCTACTGCTCCGTCTGGCTGAAGTCGTAGCAGAAGTTGTAGTTGCTGGGCGGTTTGGGGATGACGGGCGCACAGTCGGGGATGGGAACGTTCTCCAGGTCCAGGAGGCGGAGCTTGATCTCCATGGAGAGCAGGATCTCCAGCTCGCTGCGCATGGACTCACTGCTCATCTCCCGGCCCAGGAGCACGCTCAGCCCATCTGTCCACAGGCAGAACTGAGAGGACGCCAGGGAGGTTTAATATCACTGCCGTCATGCACACAGAAACATTTAACTGTGATAAAGAGGAAGATACTCCATAACACTCACATCAGTTCTGGAGGGGGCGATGAAGTTAAGGCTGTCCTCTTCTACATCATATGTGAGGCTAAAGGCCAGGTCCAGCACCTCCTGCAGCGAGGGACACAAAGGGTGTTAATAGATTCAAGATTCAAAGGTTTTATTGTCATATGCACATAGCTACAGTGTAGAAATGGCAATGAAATTGTTCTGACCTGAGCCCCTCCAACTATGCAACATGTGTAATAAAATACAAAAATACAAAATAGTGCTAAAGTCTATATACACGTAAATAAAATATGATATGTACAAGAACAGAATATGAAATTAAATAATGTGCATTAAGACAAAATTAAATACGGTTATATCAAGTTAAATAATGTTTAACAAATCAGTTAAATTAAACTCAAAATGAATTGGAATTGGATTTGGACCAATCCACGGACTTAACGTAACGGCTCCGCGGATTGGTCCATTTGGGTATGGGCACGTCACTATACCCAGGAAGAACACAATGGAAAAAGAGAAATCTCCAACGAGGCGTTTTGGGGCAGCATAGACAGGTCTTTTCTGTGTTAAGAGCTTTACTCGCTACAGGGTGTACTTTGAGGGTTTGTGACTCTGCAGACAGTTTACATGCAGAAAAACCTTCATAACACACAAGGGGACGGGTAATAACCAGAAAAGCATGACATGGGACCTTTAAGTAAAAAACATTTTCGTCAGATAAGAATTTCCAAAGAAGAGTCTTAAAGATGAGGGGATCACTTTGCATCGATGATATACAACACAATGAGAGGAGGAGTGCTGCCCACCTTGTTCTGTTTGCTTTTGTTCTCCTTCATGTGAGGACAGTCTTTTCCCGTCAGCAAGCCTTTGATATCTGCCACTGGAACTGAAGGGAACAAATGGAAAGGGATGTGATGTGTGATTTGTCTTGATACAGAACATATGTGAATCTTAACATCTGCAAAACCCCAGCCCAGCTTCAACTCACTCTTCTCTTGCAGTGTTTCTATTGGTGGATTGTCCGTGTCCTCCTCCACATCCCCGTAGTGAAGCATTTTGTGATTGGGCGACAAGCGGCAGTACCACAGTTTATCTGAGAAAAAGCAAACAGTCTAAGATGTTAGAAGAAAAATACACACTGTACGCTGTTTGTAAGGGTGTGTGTGTGTGTGTGTGTGTGTGTGTGTGTGTGTGTGTGTGTGTGTGTGTGTGTGTGTGTGTGTGTGTGTGTGTGTGTGTCCTCACCCTGCCTGCGTCGGTTGCTGATCTTCTTGAACATGGTTCCTTGACACAGCCTGTTGAGTCTCTGCTGGCGGATCAGATCCAGCAGCTCCGGCTTCAGGCGCTCTTTGAGCTCCCTGGATATTATATCACACACACACACACACACGCTCAACAAAATACTCCAAAATGCTTCATCACATGGTGTTACATTAGAGATGGGACAATATATATATATATATATATATATATATATATATATATATATATATATATATATATATATATATATATATATATATATATATATATATATATATATATATATATATCATTTTTTATCGCAGATTGTTACAAAAAAAAACTCACAATACGTTTATTATGGTAAATAGAAGGTTGGCGTTATGATTTATGATAACCTTATCTCAGGTTGTTGAAAGATCGGTCATATCTTAGATGCAATACAAATATGTGTTTCTTAATAAACTGTAAGGTACACTGAATACCTGTATACCAAACGGGTTATATTTGGCTATTTCAATAGTTTAAAGCATATTTTGATGATAATAGGGATATAATTGTGAGTCCCAATTATTTTAGCCCTGACTTGAAATGTTCCTTTTGTCCCATGCCTAGTTAGCATTCACAACCAAACCAAAGGAAACCCAATCCAGACACATAACATAACAAATAAAACACATCGCCAGAAAAAACATTTGTCTTCATTGTTAATTTAATAGGAAAGCCTATGGGGATTGAAAGCATGGACAATAACGTCTGCCCCCCACATTCAGTGTGACAGCATCACTCTGCTACACTCAGTGTTTAGTGACAAACAGCAGCATGAGAAACAGCTGCTTCCATAGGGGTGGAAACTCTCTGCAGTCATCAGTAGAGCAGCTGATCTGGTTCTGACACTGTGTTACTTTTCTACAGATTAACAAACAATCTAAATCAGGGTCTGAACCCTTTTTTACATTTTTGGAAAACCAATAGCTGCTGGATCTCCGGCCAAGCATTTGGAACAGAGCGTCCAAATGTTGTGCCAAGAAGGAGCACATGGGAAGTGTTTCTAATGTTTAAAGATCCTGCTACTCACAGTACGGGGGGAGCGAGGGTCTCCTCTTGGTGCAGCCGCTCCGTCTGCCGCAGTTTGAGGATCTCGCTGTAGTTCAGGGCGTTGACTTTGTTCTTGAAGAGCTCCAGGGAGGTGGGCTTACTGGAGAGGGTCCTGGTGATCTGCTCCCTCACCACCTGCATCACCTGGGGACAGAGAGAGATGTTACACACTTACTGTCTCATGTAATACCTGCGGACTGCCTCCAGTTCGTCTGGCAGGGATGAGCGATAAGGACGTGTTAAGTTGAGATGTGTTGAATTGTATTCATATTTGGGCTGTAACCCCAGCTTCTCTTTCCTACTAACATTTCTCCTAGATTCAGAGATGCTTTTGGGTTTTAGTGCCATTCAAAAGAGAGATTGAGTAAGATTGACATAACTTGTACACATCATCCAACGACAGCAGCAGAGAAGAACAGTGTCAAGACATCCTTTAGACAATGATAAATATAACATGTAACATAAAACATTTTGGCCCAGTGAAACGTAAAATGATTATCCTAAATGTTTTATTTTATTAGAGGGGAACAGATGGAAAATCCCAGCCACAAATATATATTGTTTGTTCTACTATCCTGATCTGGATGACATTCATGCTCAAAGAATTTGGTTCATGTTTTTTAAAAAAACATGTTACAGAGAAAACTATTTTAACAGATGAATTTAACCCTGCTTCCCATATTTTTTTTTCTTTTAAAAGATACATTAAGATATTTTATTACCTATCAAAGTCTGACTTTTAGATGAATAGAATACATTCCTGATACAATTACCCTTTGGGTTGTCAATACAAAAGACCCTAACCAATGGCCTTTTAGAATGTTAATGACTTATTCAAACCCCTTTCCTAATCGAAATGAATCCATTCAAATAGTTTCCCTCCTAAATCCTTCATCAGTTGAAGGTTAAAGATTCACACTGTCCAACCACCTATTGAGTAACCTCTCAGGGGCCAGCCATTGATCAGCACACTCTTTATTAACCCAATTATCTGCAACACCCCCCCCAACACATTCACCCAACAACGCTGAATTAGAACAATCAATAACTGGGATGTTATTTCCCTGGGGTTCGTATATAATAATAGACTTGAAACAATTGAATATATATTTAGTTTGAAAACAATTTGTACCCACAGACTGTAAAGGCTCTAGCACTGACTCAGCGTTTGCCATTCCTGTGTGATTTTGTGTGTGTGTGTGTGTGTGTGTGTGTGTGTGTGTGTGTATGTGTGTATTCTGCATGACTTGTTAAACTGAAGCTCACTCAGAGAGACAGGGGGGGACCCCGAGGGCCGGTACCCTGAGATAAGAGCTGAGGGCAGTTGGTCAAAATGTGCACATGTGTAAAATCAATAACTGCCTTCAGTATACGTGCCTCAGCTGTAAATAGTGCAAAATCTATAAAGCTACAAGCCTGTTTCAGCTCTATTCGTCCTGCTTTCATTTTCTCTCTCTCACACTCTGCTGACCTACATCATTCCTGCTCACGCCCCATTTGACTGATTGTGAACAATCGGTGAGGAAAGAATCATTTGACCTATTTTTAGCACAGCTCCGTCGAGACCGCTCTGAAAATGTTCCATTATATAAAAAACTGAAATGTCATGACAGTCTGTTGGTGCCATGGAGAGTCTTTCCGTCTGGCAGCAGTGGGAGTACAGATGGTGGAATCTCACATTTTATTGTGTGCACACGCGACTAGTCTCTCCCTGCTGAAGCCCCCCCGAGCCAGAATAACCTCACTGTCCGGGACATGACACCAGCCAGCCACTTCGCACTGTTGTGTCATGTTGACTCTTAACAGTTTAGCTTTAAGTATGGATACAAATTGCCCTTAACTCTGCACCTGGAACATTTGATATCGACTGCCTAATAACAAACAAACAACAAACTACTTGACACGCATACTGACTAAGAAACAAAACCAAAAACAACCTTACCTCCATTTTTCTTGCTGCAGTACTACTATGAACTGAGCCCCTCGTCAACAATCGGAGGAGAGTGAGGTGGACGACCCGCAGATCACTGCATGACAGGAGAGTGCAGGCCTGTGGCTGTTTTGTAAACAGACCCTCAGATACTCTCACACACACGCTGGTCCGGCCCCTCTGTCATTTAGCTGAAGCGGCCAATGGGAGTGAAGGTGGCAGCTGTTCCCTAACACCCTGCAGCATGTGATAAATGTGTGTGTGTGTGTGTGGAGGAATACCGTTATAACAGAGGGTGTTTAGAGCAACCTGGGCACAATCTGAAACACTTATACTTCTAATTCATTCTCACCATCTTCCCCTCTCTTTTCTCCCCTGCTCCCTCTCATATAGTTTCCCCTCTGTTGTTGTGTAGTTACTCCCCATTCCCCGAGCGCTTTGTTTTCCCTGTTTCCTTCTCCCTCTGTTTCTGCCGCCCACCACCCTTCTCTTTGTCCACCTAATGCCCCTTTGTGCTTGCCCCAAAGCACCCTGGGTAGGGGTCCATGGTCAGAAACAAAAGCCTGGTCTGCCTGCCTGGCGCTCGGGACACTGGCCCGCTCCCGAGGGGTGAAAGGTCACCGAGTTTTATGACTACCGGGAGAGGGGCCTTGTGTGTGATGTTGAGATGAGACTCGGGACAAAAGCGAGACCACTCTCCTTTTCAGGACCCTCAATATTTCTCCCAGACAAGACCCCGCTGCTGAAAGCTGGGCTCAGCCCATTACTCTAGCACTACACTGAGGCTGGGGGCTCCATGTGTGTTCCTCATGCAGGATCAACTCTCCATGAGGGGGCAGCTCTGGGACGGTTAGCATGAGAATAAACTCAAAGTCACAAACGTACACAAATCCACCATAAAACAACTTAAAAGGCTCTCATAAAAGATTGATGTTGAACTGTGAGTCTGGGGGGTCTTGCCCTTTTGTTAAATGACTTTGAAACCTTCATGTAGTTTATTAACATAACTCACGGTGGGCTTGATTCATCTTGATAAACCCAATTCTTTAACATATTATTATTCACTTGAATTTGATATAAAACAGAAAAGCCAGAAATCTCTGTATTCATATATTATCAAAATAGTTGGTGTTTATTTTGATCACAGCTCTGATGTAATATAAGTGAAATTAAATGTAGAGCTGCTGAGCTGTATCATGATTCATGACGCTACAGTGCAAGATAACAATCCACACATGTAGGGTTTATTTACCAAGTGAGGCGCTGAGAAAAGTCCGATTTCATCATTAAAGAAGTGTATCTGTGATATGGCCTGGTCAACATAATGTCCCGGGAGTTGTTTGCAAGACCTGCTGGGGGCTGGGGGCTGGGGGCTGGGGGCTGGGGGCTGAATACCCCTTGTCCTCTCTGTACACACACAAACAGTCGGAGCAGCTTTAAGCCATGCTGGAGCAGCGATTCCAGCGACTGGATCAGGGGACTATGTTGCATAACGTATGTTTAGAAAAACACAGACAAATTGAGTTATCTGCCTTTTACTTCAGCATTCCTCCTTCCTCCTGTCTTTATTTGATTTTCTGAGTGGAAATGAAGACAAACATGCCTACAGTACAACTAGGATAAGGTCTACCCTTTCAGAGCATTTACAGCATGTACTAAGATCTGCCTCAAACTGTACATTTGTTGTACTATCATGTTTATATGTAGGGGTTACGGTCGAGTAGCACAACTCTGGATCATATACCTATCATACTGCATTATGACCTGGAAGTATTGAGACATTTTGGAAGATGAGAAGAATAAGGCACCCCTCGTGTTTGAATATGGAAATGTGCAGCTTTACTTACAGTTGGCTAGCTTAGCTTAGCGCCAAGACTGTAAACGAGGAGTGGGTATATTTTGATATTTTCATACATCGCTGGACATATTTCCTGAAAAATGAAACCGCTCTAGCCTACCTTGTCGAAGTCCTCCTGTGTGGCTCTCATCTCCTTCCAGGTCTTGTTGAGCAGCTGAATGCAGACGCAGAAAAGCTCTTCCATCAGCCGATCCTGACTGAAGAAGATGGGGTGGTAGTCAGATCTCGTCTCTGAGGCTGTTAACAGAGGAGGGAATAGAAAAGATGGAAAGGAAAAGCAAAACACATTTAGATGATCAGTTGCAGAGTGCGTTTTACCAGAGGTTCAACATGGTTCTTATGCTGCAGGTTGGAGGTGAACTTACGGGTTTCTCCGATACGAAGGATTTCACACAGGATGAGTGTGAGCTGGATGCTGCTCCTGGCAAACGGACACTCGTGTTTGTCTTCCCTGCTGCTGTTCTCCAGGACAAACTGGGGGAAAGACACAATGGACATTGTATAGTTTAAGTTAGCATTAGCTGGACAGGAAGTGAAGCCTCTGTCATAGAGCTTACACAGACAATAAGAACATGACAGTATTGACTTTTTCAGCTGTTATAAAGCACTTGCACTTTCATCCTGTATTAGACAACCAAAACATGTATGAGATCAGGTCATCAAAATGGGATTTTCTTTATCATTTCTAATATGAAACGGCTCAGGCTAATGACATACTTGAGGACAATGCTAGCTACAACATTGTAAAAGTCAGAAAATGTGTTGAAAAATATTTAACTGAGCCATAAACTCTGTATTTGGTGGAATAAAAGCAGATAAATCCTGCTCACCCTGCTGTAGGCGTCAGGATAGCGTGATGCAAAGTAAAACATGGTGTCCAGAGCCAGAAGACCAGGAGGCGTTCGCACCAAGTCCTGCCCGGGGTTACTATTGTTCTGAAAGGATCAAAGAGAATATTAATCACAGAAGGGAACAGAAACATCAGGGAATGACTTCTGACAGCGGCCACCTACAGAGAAGCCTAACTTCTTGAACTCTTTGGCGCAGAGCGAGCGGCGCCTCTCTTGGCTCAGACTGTTCTCGCTTTCCGTCTCAAACGCAGCCTGCCGCAAACCGTGAAGGACTTCTCTCTGCTCCTGCAGGACGGAGGGAGAAGAAAGGTGGATGTTTAGTGTTAACAGGTGTTTTCATACTTTGGTCACTGCCATGCAATTTATTAAGATGAAAGATAAAAACATTTGCTCAGAAAAACACAACAAACTGGCTTTACACCAAGGAACAGCTGAGCACAAGAAAATCTGTGATCAGTGAGAAGTTATTGTGTTTTAGATATGTACAATTTAAAAGTGGAGTTGTTTTGAAGTTGAGTTTTATGAGGTACTTATCATATTAATGTATCTTCTTCAGTAAATGGTGGTGGGCACATCTCGAGTTTGGATAAGCTAACCAAAAGAAGGCAGTATAGTGGTTTGAACAGAGAATAGATAATGACTTCAGTTTCCTGTCTGAATGGGCTGTCAAACCGCAAGCTAAAGTGTGAAAACATCTAAATAGAGCACTCACTTAAACCGATATTGATCTTTTAGGTGCGCCTCATTACGTTTATTTTGTTTAAGTTTTATGTTTTGCAGCTGTCCCCCTTCACAGCAGTTCATTGCTTTGCTTCGTGCTCCTGTCTGTTTCTTCAGACTGGGAGCGTATTGACCTCCATCTACAGTAGGACATACATTGACTATGGATCAGTGTAAGAACAAGTTTTTAGAGAGTACTTGTCCATGGACAAGTGAGTTTGGCAATTTACTTGTCCGAATACATTTTTGGACAAGTGAAAAATTGGGGCCACTGGAATCTTCTTCTTCGCCATCGTATTTTACATTTTCCCACGGTTTTACGACACCGCTAACGTAAGTGAGCGGTAAGATTTTACTGCATCACACATTCACACAAAATTATATAAAAATAATCTCTGCATTGTTTAGTTGGTTCTAAGTGGTGCAGTTTGAGAAAGTACAACTGGCCCAGTCTCCTCTGATGTTACACTGCAACCTGCCTGTGAGACAGAGTCCAACCCAACACATGTCCTGCAATACACATGCTGCAGCTGCCCAGCTGCTCACTGTAAAAGTAAATAAATAGTATTTTCATTTCAATAATGTACTTTCTTTACCCTGCTTCATAAACAATACTGACATCCCTGTGCTCCTCCGAGTCTGGGGGTCCGGGGATGTGAGGACAGCGAGAGGACACAGACAGGGAGGCTGCTTTACTTCATAAAGGAAATGGCGGTCAATATTAACAACACAGGAGCTAAAACGCTTAATAACCTTCATTACGTGCTAGAGAAAGAACATAAGAAAGTTTGACAAAGATGAGGCTGTTAAACGGGCAGCGGATCCGCTGTGTGTAGAAAGAGAGAGAGAGAGAGAGAGAGAGAGAGAGAGAGAGAGAGAGAGAGAGAGAGAGAGAGAGGGAGAGACGCTGAGCTGCACCGATCAGCTGATCCGGAGCATATTGGAATGAGTTCTGCCTTTTGTAAGCTGAATTTATCAATAATTTGTCAATAAATATGGGCGAAAAACGTCACTTGTCCATCGGACAAGTCAATGGAAAGATGTACTTGTCCGATATTGTAAATAACAAGTCCCGGACGATTAGACGTGTGCCTTGTGTGTTGTAGCTCACCTGGTTGTAGCTGTCCAGAGGCGTCCTCATGCGAGGCTCCAGCTGGTTCAAGGTAACGGACTGTAGGACATAGAGGTAGTGGGCCATCTTGTCCTGGACCGACCCAGAACTGTGGATGATATTCTGCAACAAATAACAAAACATTGTTGCTTTATTTCCATTCCTCTGCACAATTATGAGATCATTTTATCACTGAGACACAGAAAACGATATGAAATGTCAATAGTGAGATTATTTACTTTATAAATGTACTGTCGGAGATTCTTCTTATTCAGGAACGCAAACATATCCTGCAAAACAGAAAACAAAGAGTGAGTAAAACGTGTTACTGTGGTGCAATAACATGTTTGTAACATGTGGAGGCGACAGAGTGTCAGTTACAGATCAGTGGGCGGGACATTGATATTAGTGAGTGTAAAGACTTTAACCTCTATGACACGATCATCACTTGCTGGTACATGCATCTCTAGCCCAGCCTAGTTTGGTTCAGGGCTACATTTGCTGATAAGAAGGGTGGATTTGTTGACTTACTGTAAAAGTGAGGAAGTGAGTGTGTGTGTGAGTAACAAAGAGAGTCTGAGAGAAAGGGAGACAGGGGCTGAATGAGGGAACTGTCCCCGTACAATGAGAGAGGAGCAGGAACAGAGCAGAGGGAGAGAAAGGCTGGACTGTGATGAGCGGGCAGAACGAGATAAATGGCTAATTTTCAGACTGTCTGTAAGAAACTGCACGTGCACAGTAATGGCCTGATGACGCAAATAACCACCCTTCACTCCCGGTCACATGCATGCCCATAAGCCTGGGATATTGAAGCTTCGAATTGTAAAACATTGAGATGATTTATTAGGAAAAACAACAGCTTAGTTAAAGTATGCACAGTGCATACCGATTAACAGCTGCAGGCTACACTATCTGGAAGGAAGGCCCTGAAACTAACTGAATACCAACTTGTGTGCATGCCTGAAAGTTGGATGAGAAGAGGAAGTCATTGAAACATTAGAGATAGACACACTGCAGCAGCACCTGTCTGTCCGAGTCTCCGGCAGTTTGGAGTAGTGCCATAAGTAGAGCCATGGCTTTGGTCTGTATCTGCGGATTGGTCCTGGAATCAAATCAGAGAGGACACAGGAAGTGAGACAAGCATCATTTCAATGTTCTACGGCTTCATACAGAGGTTTTTAGGAGTGAAAGATGTTTTAAAAGATTAAATTCTGTGAACTGACAACTGTGAAATGTTGGTGTAATAAATGGTAGAGACAGTGGAATTCTCAGCATTAGTCTTTTTACATATTTAAAAACTTCCTGTTTCAGAGACAATGCTGACACTTATCACCACCCCACCCTACCCCCCCCCACAGATGTGTCACTTTCAGAGTTAGTTTTCTCTTTCGTTTTACAGCAAATCCTGAACACTGTGTGGGATTTCTTTAGGTTATCAGTCTTTATTTTCTGCCACTGAGGGACCTCTGAAAGTGGTTTAGATTAGATTAGATTTTCTTTGCTCTGGATGAACAAGGTGGTCTCTGTGCAATAAAGCAATACAGACAATATTTTGTTAAATGCATTGTTACATGCACTTGCACTTTTCCAGATGTTTATATTTCTGTCTATTTGTCTGTAACTGGACAGATGTTGTCTACATAATAGTGTTGCAACCATGGAAGATGCAATCATGAAACTACACAGGTGTGTATTTTAAAGCGAAGTGAAAAAATTAGTTTCTAAAACAGGTCTGTTCGAGTAAGAGAGGGAAAAGTCGGGGTATAGGAAGTACTTTAGGCCCCTGGCCGTATTTTGCATTGTAGCCGGTGGGATTTAGTAACATCAATGACATTTCAAGGTTGCAACACAAAGAAAATCATATATCAGGCAGGTGTGGCAGCTAATTTATGATTGGCTTCTAAGAGTCAGTCCATATCTATCAGTTACTTACACCTGGAGGTGAGCGATGAGCCGCTCCATGGTGACTTCCTGTTTGACCTGCAGGAAGAGGCTGTGGCTGCTCAGCACCATGCTCTCCAGGATGTCCAGGGACACCTGCTGCATCGATACGTCGGTCGACTTGGCGTTGACAAAGCTGGCAATCTGGAAGGAATGGAAGGACAGAAGGAAGAAGAGTAAGAGAGAGTGTGACCACAGTCAGAGAAAAAGACAGCTGACAAAACAACAGAGACAGACCGTACCTTCTTGATGAAGACACAGGAGAGGTTCTCCCATGAAACTATCCCATGATCCATCAGTTCCATGAAGCCTGTCAGCGTGTGGGTCATGATCGCGTTACTCCTGAATGACACACACACATACAATGAAATGATAAGTACATTGAAGGACATTAATACAGGTATTTCTTTTACTTGCACATTTGCATTGACAAATAGCATTTGAACAGACTTTGCTCATGCTCAAAATAAACAAAATATTAGATTTTAAACAAAATTGGAAAAGAAAAAATTGAAGAAATGTGTCAACAAACTTTCAGCAGAAGATGTAACTCCCGTGTGGCCTTAAATACAAATATTCAGCAGGTGTTTTTTATTTTCTTTACATGTTTAGCTCAGCAGGATATGTTGCTCTATGTGTTGGAACCACTTCACCCCATGGCACCACTGGTATCTATTTGAGGAACAGTTTTGACCACACCCATCGAAAAAGTACACATGCAGAGACAGACACACATTGAGCGCTCACTCATTAGAGTCCTCTACTATCTTGACCAATAAGACGTGTCCGTCTCGGCTGATGAACTCTTGAGCAAAGGTCACGTCTGTGGAAACGCTCGCCAGTTCCTTCAGCGAATCACAGCGCACGCCTGAGTCCGAGCTCTGGATGCCTTTGTACAAGTCTTCTGCACATCGGCCCTGCAAGCAAAACACACATGATCACACACACACACACAGCATATTCAACAATTGTGTACTCTCTAGTGACCGATCAGTGCTGACTTATCCTATTGTCTGTATATTCATCTGATTCTGTACATTTCCGGCACGCATAACATAAATAAAAGTGGGACGGGCCAGCGATGGAGGGAGAGACAGAGTGTGGAGGAATGAGAGAAGAATGAGGTGAAAGAGTAGCGTGGCTGAGAGCGTGGTCGATGCAGACTCACCGGTGCCTTGGTCAGACGCAGAATGCAGCCATTCTTTATGTCCAAACGATTCTACAACACACAAACAAACACACAGAGGGATTTAAAAACTGTTGAAAACTAAAACAGACCGACATAAACAGGAACGCAGAGGAAGTCAAACACACATTTATACAAATGAGTAAACCACAGTCACGTATTCAGTAAGAAGACCAATACACAAACTCACGCTTACAAATATAGTCACCTATAAACTGTAGAAAAAGCTTGGACTGAATTAGCACAGACACTCTAATGACTGGTAGTAGAAGAGAGTTAAATGTTGAGGGTAAAACTGTGTTGTCTGTGAGATGCACGAGGTTAACAAGCTCTGCATCTCTGCGACCACAAACGTTTTTCTCTGAGAAGAAGCTGCACAGGACTCCCAGAACATCAGCAAAAGACTAATGTGATGTACCTGCCCCAACTCAACCAGCTGATCCAGTATTCTTTCTTTTAACAATGCATAAAATGTACTTTTACCTAATTTCTAAGGTTTGTTTAACACAGACAAATACCAATTGCTACATAACAAAAATAAATAAAGCTGATGTATTGAATTTAGAAGTTCTTGCTAAAGCGAGTTTCACCCATTAGAAAAGACAGTTGGATAAGAAAACGGTGTGCATGTGAATACCACATGTATGCGTCATTTATGAATTGTCACTGTAAGCTACTTTGTTCACTTGAGCTGCGCGATTAATCCCTTCGGTCAGCAACATTGTAGAAGATGGTGTGTTTACAGTCTAAGCTTGTGCTCCCAATTGCACTTTTGTGAACTCCGAAATAAGATATACAATTACTAAGGAAGGAAATAATGTTGTTATCACACTGCACACATTCAAGCTTATGTTTACTCGGCCTAGGAATTAATCTGCTATTGGACTTAAACATCTGTATTTGAATAACAACCAACTCTGAAAGGTATCATGCTTTGTACAAATTGTTAGGATTAAACACACAAGCCTGCTGTGTGTTTCACAAACACTCCAGTGTTACAATAAATGAAGCATCTTTCCATGCATATCTCTGATGACATCGTAATGGATTCTGCAGCCCCACTTCAGGCCAGAGAGGGGGAGGGCACTTCATTGGCAACCTTTTCAAAAGGTCACTACACACCAAGAAGCTGAGTGTACTTACATTCTCTCTGTCCTATGTTTTTTTAGTCTGTCTCACACTCATTTTAATAGCATTGATGACATTGAGGGGGCTGGGCTTCATTTTATGTAAACTAAATACATGTAGCGTTTACTAAAGTAATAACATGTACTTGTGTACTTAAGGTAAATACTCACAAAAGCGGACAGAGGTGATGACACAGTTCTTCCTCTGATTTATTTCTGTGCTTTGATGTCTTAAACAGAGATTAACTGTCTTCTTGTTTTAAAAATAGAAAAATATGAAGTGCTTAAACATTTACCCACCAATTCCCTTATTTCGACATATTATGGTATACTGTACTGTATGTATGACATGTACATAGATGGGACTCACCGATTCAGTGATGTACGTCTGCACTCCATCAGCATACTGCAGAGCGTAGTTGTCTGGACCTGGGAGATTCCAGCTACACACACACAAAGCGATATCACTTTCAAAGTAATAGATACAGTTAATGATGTCAAACATTTCCACAGGACAGCGTACAGGCAGCTAAACAAATCTGATCCATTATCATTATTAACTTACCCATCACACACTTCTTTTATCACAGCAGACAGAGGCTTTTTCTGTGGAAAGACACAACAGACACAAGCTGTTAGATACATACAAATGCATTAAAACAACATAAAAACAACACACACCTGCTGCACACATGAGAATCATAACAACAGGACTAAGACTCAATGTATTTTCCCTGACAGGGAGCTGAACACATGCTTCAGTAATGACATGCTGTTATGGGAACGCGGTACCACAGCTATTCAAGCTGGCTGCAAACTGTGTTTGCCGAGAAGAGGAAATCCATCTCTTCAACACGTTCTGAACAATGTTACCCTGGGTGCCCAGATCTGTCTTTGTACGTAAATAAAGCCAGACTACTTCCATGTCTGACTCTCAGCTATCCTGCTATTAGTGGTCAGCCCCGCGGTCAACCAATCAAAATGTCTTCGGGTTCTGTGGTAGACCCAGTGGCTGCTCTGTTATAAGTGATCGGATGTGTTTAGTGGAGACAACTGGGCCAATGAGAAGTTTTGGGGGATACTTCTGGGCAGGCAGCATTGGCTATGATGCAATATTAAAGAAGAAAATGTGCATTTACATCACAATCTAAAACTCCTACGTTTTCAACTATTTCGTCTTCTTGCACGTGACAATATAAGTTAAGCATGATGTCTGCGTTAATTTTTAGTTGTGTTGCATTTTCTCTGTTGAATTTACCAGATAGTCTAGTGAGTAGCCTATCTGTTAAATCCATTCTCTGTCTGTTAAAACCTTCTCAGGAGATGTACAGTATGTGATGTGATACACAGGGATACGGTGTGAACCTTTACTCGTGCAAAGAGTCTTGCGCAAAAAGAAAAGTACAACTTCCCCATAGTTTCTGGGAAAAACATGGGAAACTTCCTCACAATCACATTGAGTCAAAGCTGAAGAACAAAACTCATATGGGTATAAAAGTGCTTAATATCTTAAATAAACATGACACAATAAGATATCCTATGTGCAAACATATATAAATGAACCAACAATTTGTGAAATAAATGAAAAAGTTATCATCTAACAGCCTTAGCCTAGCTATCTACCTAGCTGGCTAACTAGCTAAACCGACTTCTGTTCTTGGATTATTACTCAGCTTTTAAATTGTTAGCAGTGTTTGCTACCTCCTGTTGAATAGATCAACAGAGAAAGATTCCATGTCTTCTTTTTTTTCACAGAGTTGTGCATCTTTCTCTAAGGAACATCATTACAATAAAAACACTGCTGAGGTAAATGTGAGCTAACCAGCTAACCTTACTGCACTTTGATGCTAGCATGATAGCATGTGAAGTTTGGTTAAGCAAAACAGTGTAAATAAAAATAAATGTTAGTTTCTGTGTCTGTATTTATTTACAGCAGCACCCATAATTTCATTTAGAATGATTATAATGTTTTTGCTCTAGTTAAAAGAAGCCAACTTAAAGTCTGGTAGCAGTTGTTGCGCTAGCTTGCTAAAGAAACAATGCTGAAACCTATGTAAAATATGTTAATGATGCCACAGAGTATCATGTACCAGACTATTTTAAATATCTCACGCAGCAGCAGTTGTATCAAACCACACTGGTAAGGAAGTGGGATAATTACCCTATGCAAAGGCACACACACACACACCGCACACTTTTCTTGTTTTGTTATTAATAATAGAATAAATGAAGGAGATGGTGAAAGATACATCTATAACGACAACTGAGCTAATAGCCCCTTTGTTATCCAGGACATGATTACCTTAGTTATATTTTTGTATACTGATAATGTGAACTCACATGTTATTGTGAAATTATTTCTAGTATCTGAAACCTTGTATAATATGCTGCTTCCTTTCGTGGCTAGGAAATTAATTTAAAATCTCCAAGAATGTCAAAGGCTGCTGAACTAAAATATCGTCCTGCAAAAAACTGCTTTCCCTTTGTAAATTACTTTATGATGTGTTTCTTTTGAATACTTTGTGTATAGAGCAAGAGTCAGCCTTTTGCTATGAATTCAGCATCAGGTAGAGGAAGTAAAAGCAGCGGGTATTCTTGCTTCCCAAATTTGTAACCACCATTTGTTAAGCTCCTCCAATAAATAGTTAGGGTTAGATTTAGTTTATGAGTGCTAGCTAGGAAAGCTGTCTTGTGGTCAGAGATCAACTTGAGCAGCAGCACAAATATTTTAAAGATAGGGTGTGTAGCCATACACTGATGTTCTTAAACAAACTGGATTGTTTTGGAATACAGTTGTGGCCCATAGTGCAAACAGAAACGTATGTCTAACATCTGAACATCACTTGAAGGTGAGGGTGAAGGTCATTTTAGCTGTCTGGCGGTCACCATGATAAGCAAATGAAGCGGTTTACCAAGGTGAAGCGCTACTTAAAAAGGCTGAGGGCTAAAGGCTTAGATCTAAGGGAAGGAAATTCCCATGGAAGTTCACTGTTGGAGAATACAGCAGACAGCTAGGCCCGAACACAGGCAGACATCAGAGACTCTACAACAAAGACAACATCATTTTTTAAATACTACCAACCAGAGTAACAAATGAAAAAACCCATCCAACTTTAACACAGGCATTAGTGATTTAAAGCAGGTTTATTGAAATTGTGTGTGCATTACCTGGTCCAGTTGTATGAGCTGGGGGTAGGCCCCAGGCATCTGGATGGCAATCTTCACTATGTCCTTCTGTTGAGGCATGTTGGCAACTCTGTAGTCCACCACTCACTGGCTGTAGATAATACATGAGGAAAGTGTCAAAACAAAGTAGATTCTGTATACTCATTGATTCAAATGTCATAACCTTAACTAACTGGAACCTGATAAAAACATTATATTGACCTCATCATCACCAAAAAGAAAGGTTAAGAATAAAACCAGAAAACACACCAAATACACAGCGTTTCTGTCTTCTTTCAACAAAGACAACTGTGAGAAAAAGTAGGTAATCTACAACCAAAATGAGATTGCGATTGTATTTGATGAGCCTACAAATCCCAAACAGAAAGAATATTATTAATTTCATGTATCTACACAAGTGTGGGCCTGATCTCGACTTGGGCAAGGAAGAACTGTTCAACATTTAAATGTTGGCAACAGAGACACTTCACATGGGCAGTTGCTGTTGTTTAAAAACGAGTTCAGTCATTTTTAAACTTGATAGAGTGAAGGCTAACCAACCCTGTTTCAGTCTGGACTGGTGAGCAGTCATTTAATGAAGGCCTCATGGAGGTCAATGCCACTATCGTTTTCAATATGAAGTTGAAGAACACCATGTTCCTCTTTCACTGTGTGTTTATGGTGCGTTGCGTACAGCTGAGTGGGTTAAACGCTGTCTGAACACGCACTACGGATTGTTCACTCTTTCTTCCCCCCCTTTTCCAACTCACACACGCCGTACACACTTCCTATCCAGCCTTCAGACAGCATTCCCAGAGGATACAGAAGAAGCAGTTGTGTTTCCAACCCTCCCCTTTTTCTTGTCCTTCTCCGTCTCTCCCTCGCTCTCAGCACATGGAAACAATACAGCTGGATCTAAATTCTTCTGTACATTCATGAGCTCTTGGTGAAAGAAAATAGGTCGAGCGTGTGCCTGCTTGTGTTTGGTGTGATTAATAACCCCCACCCTCTGCTTGATCTCTTGGATAGTTTACATACCTTCACCACCAGTCTAAAAAAAACTCAGAGTTTATGGTGGGGTTCAAAGCGATACTTCTGTCAAAACACCAAAATGCCTTTACCGTCTCCCCACCTCCCTCAGCCTGAGGCAGCATCTTTCCTGATAATGAAGGCCTATGAAACAGGAATGAAAGGGAGGAATATCTTTCTACAGCAGGACCGATTGAGAATGTTACTAAAGCATGGAAAAACAATCACTCAAGGTGTTTTTTGGTAGTGGTGCAGAAGGTCCACTCCTTCATTTGGTTGTGAATGCAGATTTGTTCTCTAGCAGCTTATGAGTCAGCAAATTCAAGGCCAAACTCGGGGTAATGGCATGTCATGTCTTTGCAAAAACAAAGAGTGCCTGTGTGTTTTAAGCTGAGTATCCGTCTGAGCTGCATAATGATGAATGTGAAATTGAGCCCATGTGTTTTTCAGCTGAACACAAATTATTGCTTTGGTTTGCACTACAAAGATCAAAGGATAGGTAGCTTTGTTTTGGTGAGTATTGATAGTGAAATATAGAATGTAAAAATCTGGCTTCTACTGTACTTACTTTTAATATAGTATATTTTAATATTGTTTTAATATTGTCTGCTTATCTGTATTATTGTGTTGCATTGTTGGAGAAGCCTGTGACCTAAGATTTTCAATGACATAATTACTCTGTAGCTATGTTAGTTTGACAATAAAGAACCTTGAACCTTGAACTTGGACAACAAGGTGTTGTATTTGGTTACCCATTAGGAAGTTCATGATTTGGCCGTTCTTTTTTAAAGTTATTTAAACCAGTTGTGGAAAAGGCTGGCAATATGAAAACTGAAGCTATCGGTCGGCCACAACTTTGTTCCAGACTGAAATATCTCAATACCTACTACAAATACTAGTACAACATTTTGTACATTCATAGTTTGCAGACAATTATTCCTAATAACTTTGACAGAAACGCAACACAACAAAAGACTTCATAACAATGTTATTGTGAGCATGTTAGCATGCTGACGCTAGCAAGTTTGTAGGTACTTGAAGTGATGCTAGCGAGGCGCTCTTAGCCTTGTTCTCCTAAACTCTAACTTTAATTGATGATTAATCATAAATATCTAATGGTTATTAAAAACGATTGTGCAGTAATATTCTGTTCATGTACTTTTGATACTTTCAGATTATGTTTAAATGTTTACAATAAATCTACCATTTAACCAAACGGGAAGAGAAATATTCAATGTTAAATTTAAAGGTCACCTATTATGGAAAATCCACATTTCTTCTATTCATAAATATCTGTCCCCTCTCTGTTTAGAGATTCGCAAAGTTCTCTCTCTTTTTGTCCTGATCCATTTATATAAAAACCTGTCTGAAAATGAGCTGATCAGATTTTGGCCACCAATGTTTTTTTGGGTTGTGCAACCATGAGCCAATCCCCAACCAAGGTAACACCCGCCCACCTTATCACCTGATTCTCCTCCGAGAGCAGTGGTTCTCAAACTTTTTTCAATAATGTACCCCCTTTGAAAAATAAATTCAGCCAAGTACCCCCTGATCAGCGCAGAAACAATGTGTTAGGGAAGAAAAGCCTATATAAAGAGGGAGAGTACAGCGCTGCACCATCAGTGTCTGAGTCATTAAAACAACAACCTTGTAACTGAGAAACACTTAAATGCTACATTTCAAATGTTTACAATCCATCACTAAATTCATGGCAAACCAATTTCAACATCATGCAATAACACTAAGACGACATTAGTTGCATTGAACTAATCTTTTTAATAAGTTGTACTTACAATTTAGTGAGAAACATCGGCTTGTGCTTCACTGAGGATCATGAGGCAAACTGCAGTTATTACACTTCGCGTTTTGAAATATGTGTAACTCTGTTAATATAAAACCCACACTGCTCAAACTTCGTTACTTTTCCTAAAATTGGTATATTTATTTATTTATTTTGAGGCGTGGGGAATGAAGAGAAACAAATATATGAGCATTTTATAAGCATGGGATTTTGACCCCTCATAAAACATATGCATAATAGAGTGCCACAGTGACGCGTCCTAAAACCCGGAAGTAAGCTTCTTCCGGTTCCCTCAACAAAAAAGCAACGGGATTTCTCCATCGAATTTGGGAAAATAGCTCGAAATAAGGTCTGTGGTTGACACACATTTAAGAGATGGATCACGTTTTGTTCAGTCGGATATCTCCACATGTCTACCCTACTTTTATAATTTTCGAATCATAAATGTAATCGATAGATTTATGATCGATAGATTTATGATTGTGGCACTCTATGTTGCGCTATACTTTGCGGCCACGCGCCGTTGCCAAGCAACGCTTATTGTAGGTCCTTTGATAAGCAGGCAGTATCATTAACTAGAACTAGCAAGATCTTATAGATTTGGACATAAACGCGAGTGAAGTATAACCGGACGCGAGAGATCAGAGATCAGATCAGCTGCTGCTGATGGAAAACACGCAGCTCTTCCGGATCACAGCTCCCCCGCTGTGACGGACTGGTGAGCGGAGCAAAATACGTTAGACCTAACACACTTAGCTAGTTTATCTACTCTGGAACAAGCTAAACTAGTTATAAATATATGTATTCTTTACTGTCGGCTTATTACAGGTTCAGCGAGCTGCACGAGACTGACGGGCTGTCAGGAGAGAGAGAGAGGAAAAGAGAGCACCCCGTTTATTTTCCCCATTTTATTATCCAGAATTACTGTAAACTTTTGAATGAAGTAGTTAATCTACTATTAGTAGTTTGTTTAAATGCATTACTTATGTTGTTTTTTACCATTAACATAAAATAAATCTCACGTACCCCCTGCAGTACTCCAACGTACCCCTAGGGGTCCACATACCCCCATTTGAGAACCACTGTCCTAGAGCACCATTGTGGTTTTTTTAAACTGAACATCTAGCAGAGGGGCCCAAAGTTTGGAAATGTTGCGTTTAAAGCTACAGACACAGAATCAGCACTTTTGTTACAATGCTGTTTGGTATTTTGAGCCAAACACTTCAGAAACATGTTTTGTATATCTGAGACCTATAATATATTGTTGAGTATAATAGGGGACTTTTAACATACATTAATGTATTGTCTCATTCTCATATACTAAAATAATTAATATGAATCAGCTTTTCATTGATCTTCTGCCTTTAAACTTGTTGTCAGACTCTCTGAGTAAACACACTTCCTAGTGCACTCTCATTGAGTAACGTATTATATTACACAAGAATGAAAAGAGCAGATGCAGGTCTAATGTAGTCAGCTGAAAAAATGTGTTCTAACAGCTTGGGGTTTCCCGCGCTGACAGTAAAGCACTTTTAGTCCACATTCATCATGACCTGTCCGTACACGCTCAGGTCTTCTGTAATACTGGATACTGCCAAGCCTGCATTGACCCCACCCCCACCCTTCATTATAACAAGACGAAGGATAAAACTAAGCTAGTGCTTTGAGCGTCAGCTGTTTTCCTCAACTACAAAACAAAAAGCTTAGATAGTGTTGTAACCTAGTGTGTTCTTACACATCAAATGTATTTCTTATTGTTGTGCATAGATTGCATTCATACCCGCTGAAAATCTTGACTTGTTACTGTAAATGTGTATGATTTACGGATTGAATGAAAATTGAAATGTAAAGTTTCCCCTTCTTAACTCAACAGAAAAGAGGTTAGGTTTTCCTCTTCTCAATAGAGGTTATTGCTGATGACAGTGTATGCATGTTTGTGATTTCCCCTCAATTAAAGGTGGGGTAGGTAATTTTGGAGAAACCAGCTCGAGATCGCTAGAATTTGAAAATACACAGCCGGAAAAAATCTGCCACTTCCTTCAGACTTCCTTACAGAGCCCCTCCTCCAACACACAGGAACGCGCACATGACCAATGAGGGCACGAGATAAGTTTGTGCACAGATGGAAGGCTGACAGGCAGGTAGGCCATCCAGTTATTTTAGCCGGGCCGGCTAAAATGATTGGTCGTGCTTTTTACAGTATTACGGCTTCCACAGATGACATTTTTTTATGGATTTTTTGTCAAAGCACTTAAAATATTCATTGCTATCGGGATGTTAAGAGCATTCCATGGAATATAACAAAAAGTGTATCTCGAGCCGATTTCTCAAACTTACCTACCCCACCTTTAAGTACATGAAAGCTGCACCTTAAATGTTTGTCTGTTTGCTAAGCTAAATGCTACTAATCTTAATACATTTATTGGTGAAAATGTTGATGTAGTTACTGGTTTAAATCAAGGTCAAATGAATACTGGTCCCATTAACATTTAAAAGTAAATATTTGCTTGTTTTGTTAGTTATCTATGACAGATATTGTTATATATTTGGTGAGGTTGATGACAAGCAATGTATTTTCACGCCACCTTGGACTTTGATGGGGACTTTTCTGAATGTTATGACAGTTAAAAGAATAAAAATTATTATTAATATATCAACAAAACAGAAACCACACATCTAAATATCATATAATTACAAAAATCCTTAGTCACAGCATTATAAAGGTTTAACAGAAGAAAATAAATTCTGTTTGTCTAGCATGTAAGATTTATATATTCAAAAGTACAAACATATAGATTACTATCAGGACAGTTGTCAACAGACTGATGACAAATAATTGTTACGACAGTAACGGGAAGTCAGGATAGCTACAGTACAGAGAAAACCAATGGAGGCTTAAACGCATAGCACACAAATGGTGCTGTAAAACAATATAGTGTTCCCCCTTAACAACACGATTTCCTATGGTGTAAAATCTAGACTTTACACAGGTGTACAGATTAAAAGGTCCAGCTGGCAGTGCTTTTTTTTTCCTGTTTTCAATGAGCACTTTAATTCATTAAGCTTAAAACCACCAGCACAGCCAGACCTTTTGTTAGCCTGCTGACTCACTGGTGTGTCTCAGATCCCCTGGACTGACAGACCCCCTCTCCTCTCTCTGTGTGTGTGTGTGTGTGTGTGTGTGTGTGTGTGTGTGTGTGTGTGTGTGTGTGTGTGTGTGTGTGTGCCCTGTCAGGTTAGGAATTTCAGGCAGCTGAGAGCTTCACACACACACACACACACACACACACACACACACACACACACACACACACACACACACACACACACACACACACACACACACACACACACACACACACACACACACACACACACAACACACACACACACACACACACACACACACACACACACACACACACACACACACACACACACACACACACACACACACACACACACACACACACACACACACACACACACACACACACACACACACACACACACACACACACACACACACAAAGTTTGTCTCAGATAGAAGAGAGACAAGAGAAAGACTGACCCTAGGCTTCTACTGGTATGTAATGTATGGTATAACATTTATGATAACATATAATACACTGGTGAATAACGTTATTACAGTTCTGTTTTACACAATAAAATGTAACCTGAGTTAAGTGGAACTTCTTTAGTTGAAAATAAAGTAATGTGCTGCTTAAGCGAATCAACAAACGTTGTCAAAGCTTATTTTTAAGAAGTAAAACATATGCATATAAAACAAAAAATCCGCACCTGAACTGGCAGTACTTTAAAAATGACATGACAAGCATGGTGGAAAGATACAGTCAAAGGTGGTGAGTTAGTCAGCTGCAGAGCTTTCCTCCTGCCTGGGTCCTACCTGGTTTGAAAAGTCGAGGCTACTGTCCCACAGGAGCTGCCGCAGTCCGAGCGAGAAACATTTGCAACTGTCCTTTTCTTCCCCTCATAGGAACACCCCGTCTGTGGAAGTGACTTTTCTTAGAGTTACTTGTGAACTGCTAGGAAAAAAGGAGGAAACTCCTTGCAATAAGTTTTCAGGAATGATTAGTTGACTTAAAAAGTTCCGGGTTGGTTGGAGTCGTTCAGTCGAGGGTGTGAGGCAAGCTAGCATGATTTAGATCATAGTTTCCGGTTAGCACCTTCAACATAAAACCCCGTTGAGCCTGCTTAAGCACTAGCATGAATTTAGCTTATTACGCATATTCCATAATGATATGAGAAAAAAAACGTCGCTATTTAAATACATAGCTTTATTTACTTCCATCCATATGTACCTATGTAAGATTGAACCTTTACATATGTCCCATGCTTTGCGTGTAAGATAGACAATACATTAGAGTATGACAAAGGGCTTTTACTTTGAAGGAGAAATCATATACATTCTGGAAACGCTGACATGAACGCTGAAACGCCGTTCATGTTAAAACAAAACAGTTTTTCTTTCAAATTTCCAAGAAGTAGTAGATTAACTAAATCAAGGTTCCGGGTCGGGTACCGCTGGGTACAGCCGCCCCCTGCTGTCACTTCTGTCGCCAAGAGCTTTTGTCCGACTGTATCCAGACATATTTATTCATACTTTACTAGTATCAACCACCTCCTACCTCACTGAACTGATTACAAGGAAATGCAGTCCTGCACGTGATGTCCCCTTTTTGTATATAACTGTATATTTGTAGTTATCATATACATTTGACTGTAGGGAGCTGACAGTAAATGATCGGAGGAAGGGCAACTAAACTCCCAGCTGGACTCACACTGGGTGTTGCAATAAGATGGTCAGCAAGGAAAGGCACATTTCTTAACTACAAAATAAATTTTATTTTGACATCAAACCAATATATTATGAGTATGTTTGCTATGCATGTAAAGGATTTCCTCTTGCATCATAACATAAGGCTTTACAAATATGTAGTCTTTGAAGCATAATACCTTACAAATTATTGACTGTCATTGTTGACCAATGTTAAGGGAGATCTCAGAAGTGTCATACCTTAAGCATCGTTAAGCATGAGTGTATAAATATGTGGAAACTGCGTTCATTTGATAAATGCATGAGCACAATTGGAGAAAAAGCCTTCATGATCAGATGCTAACACCACTGACTTCTATAAATAGTTATATAGTAACCTGCCATTCAAGTGTACAACTGACATTATGTTGAGTGTACAAGGAACCAAGGAAACTATACAATTCACAAAAGAATACCAGAGAAGAGTTTTTATTTTTGTTTCGTTCGATGCATCTACAGCTTGGCAATAGTAGGATGGAGTCTCACACAGAATCCATTGACCCCAGTACTGTTGAACTCCCTGGCACTGTCCAAACACAATGACTGGCTCCTGATCGGACCAGATAAGATGATGTGTGAAGTGCAACAATGACACAGGATGCTTTGATTAAGCAGCAGGTTTTGTGTTTGAAATTCAAAAGCTATGAATTGTAGCCCTGAATTAGTAGCAGTTATAATATTTATATCCAGAATAAAAAATAAATGCTATTCTATACAAGCGGTAAGGATATAAACAGTACATTCATACATATCCAGGGCAAAAACAGGAGGATATTACATAAAAAGAAGCACTGTAGAAATATGAATAATCTCCATATTGTACTTAGATGAATAACGCATCCTGGACTCACCTGTCCCCTGCACAGAGAAAAATGAAAGCGTTTGAAAAATAAAATGTAGGCTGATAAGCAGTGTGTCTTTAAGAGAATCCGAGAAAACATTAAAAAACAATTTAATCTTTGCAAAATATACAAAAACAAGAAAAATACAGGAGTGTTTTCCATGACATCGTTACTATATTCAGTGCATCAGTCAAAATACATACATGACCCTTTACATACAGATAAACTGAGTACAATGGTATCATATACATACATAATCATTGAAATCATTTTGTCGAGGGGGGGGAGGGAAGCTTTTCTTATGACGTGTTCCAGTTATGTTACATATTCATCAAAGCAAGATAAAAAGTCCAAGGCAAAATCAGACCGGTCGTAGTAGCAGTGGCACTATCGAACCAGTTGGAGGAGACAAACTCCTTGATCTAAAAAGTATTTATTTATAAAAAATTCTTAAACCCTCCCCACCCACTACCCATAAAATCCCTGCATCATTTTGGTCCTTGGCTCTTTGTGTCACAAAGTGTGTTGGCTGCAGTAACTACACTTAATACATGTCCTCTTTCTCTAACTGGTTCACAAAAACACTTTAAACTGTGACAGGTTTGATGAAGATAAATTCCCATATTTCAAAACAAAGCACTTCATGAATGATTATTTGTGTCTGGAACCTTTGTTTATTTGCAAACTATTGCTCTGCCGGTGTTGAAAATGTAGTTCATTATCACACAATAGTCTTGCGATCTGCTGGTAATACAAAATATATATTCTCTATGTACATGAGGACAGTGCATATTTAACCAGCTGTGTTTGGACTCGAGCCATGCGTGAGCGGCTCTGTTAGTCTGCCGGGACTCTTTACCTGACAGGAAAAGGGTCTATTTTTCTGCTGGAGACATCTCACAAGAGAGCATTCAATACAAAACTCAAGCACACACAGACGCACAGGTATGCAAACTCCAGTCACTCACAAGCACATGGGAAAGCTGATATACAAACATGACGTTTTTTATCATACATAACGATCTAAAAATAGAAATATGTCATTTGTTTTGACTGTTTCCTTGAGAAGGCAGTAAGTAAAATGTTTTGTTCTCGCCTGTGTTTCTTCACGAGGCTGTACAAGGAGCTACTGTCTGACTGAGCTCAGCTTATCATGTCGGTGCAGAGGTGCCCTTGAACGCGCATCATCATCATCATCATCATCATCATCATATTGGCTTTCCTGCACCTCGTCGCACCTCCACTGTAAGCAAGGGGCAACACTAGGGTAGATTAGCAAGTTAGGGAAACCGTTTCCCACTCTGACAACATTTTTAGGGGTCAGAGATTAAGGATGGGCACGTCGAAGAGGTCGCAGAGCCCTTCTGTCTCGTCCAGGTTGTAAATGTAGTCGTGGTCGCTGGGCGGGGGGGACAGACGGAGGAGTGGCGAGAACACTGCAGACGAAACAGACAGAGAGAAGATGAGACCTCCAGGAGTCACTCTTAGGGGAGCGGACATGTCGTACAACTTTATTAGAAGGGTATGTGCGTGTCTTTTCTTTTTGTATTATTGTCTATATAATTTGTATTGGTGTATCGGCAAAAAAACAATAAAAAGTTGGTCACAAAAAAAAAGAAGGGTATGGTGTGTGAAGCAACTCACCTTCTGATGACATCAAGTCGTCTAAAAGGTCTCCACTCATCATCTCTGTCAGAGATAGAGAAAATAATGACCATCAGCTGGTAGGTAAACGGGCAACTAGCACATTGTCAATGGGAGAAATAAATATGTAATTAATATAATAATCAAGATGAGTGTACCTTTTGTTGGATCAAACATATCTGAGAGTTCTTTGGGAAAGTCCAGCACTAGAAGAAGAACAACAAACAGTTAAGCAACATAGTCAGTCACTAAATTATAATATATGACATTTAGCTGACAGTTTTATCCCAAGCGACTTACATTAAGTGCAATAAACCATACAGATACAGAACAGCAAGAAATAACAAATAAACCCTTGTGCCCCACTTTAAAAAGTTCCTCTGCTGTCCTTATGCATATACAAAACATGTCCCTGTCAAAAAAACAAGTCTTAAGTTTAAGTATTAATGCCCACTTTTACAGAGGTTAAATATTTTAACATACTTCAGTTCTGATCTTAACACCAAATATTTTGAAAACCCTCAGAATTTGAATGTTTTTGTTTACTAAATTCGAGGGGGATTTTTCTTCATAGTAGTATGTCAATGACCATCAGCAACATGAATTTTGGTGAATGGTATCCAACACTGCAGCAATAACCCCGGGAAAATAGCATTCATTTGCCTCAGAGGGCGAACCTTAGAATATGGCTCAATATTAAAACCTTTACAAAAGGAGGGCTGTAGATTGAAAGCCTGTTTTTATAAAATGCATTATTTTATGAGGCAATAGTTGTGGGATCAAAAATAGTAGTTTCAATTGAGACATTTTTAAGCCTTAACAGTGTGAGCATCTAGATTTTGGCTACACGGTTCTATATAAACGTATTATAGGAGCTGAGGTTGAACTTCAAAGAAAAGAAGCTCAACTCCTTGCCAAAATGAATTTCAAAAAGTAAAATGGTTTAAAACAGGTAAAGCTAACATATTAATCATCATCATCATCATCATCATCCTCATCATCATCCTGGCCTCAAGACATTTCTACTTTAGACATTTCAGATAAAAGTTTCAGAAAAAGGTAAAACTCACATTCAGAGGGATCTGACTTAATAGGTTCAAACAGTGAAGAGGCAGAAGCTGACACAGATCCGTCCAAAGAGGCAGAAGACTGGAGCTGCTGAGTTAATGTAGCGGGGGTGTCTGTTGTTGGCGTGAGTGGCGTGGTGCTCGTCACTTCTGAAAGGAAACAAATAGAGTGGGAATAAGATCATTCTGGTTCTTTTCACTTTATTACTACAGCAGAAAGGGTGCAGTGGGAAATTCAACAGCAAAAACAAAGGACTGTGGATATTTTTTTCTTTTTTTTCTTTGCATTAGGAAAGTCACTGTCAATTACCCGTCATTGAGGCTGTCTGGTTGGATGCTGTAACCGACGGTGGCGCAGGTTTTATAGAGGCTGCTTTAGAGACCTGATGGTGGAAAGATGAAGGAACAAAACAAAGGAACGTCATCAAATTGCATGATGAAGAAAATAAAAAGCAGAAGTCAGCGCTGCTGCCTTGGGTCTATCTCTACTCCACTTTAGCGTTTCAATAAAAGGCAGACATCTGAACATCCAGTCTTTGATAGTCAATGGTTCAATGTACAAATAGAGTTATTAAATGGAGATCAGTGTGGACCTGGGGGGCAGCAGTGGGCGTCTGAGAGGTAGGTGTCGGCGCTGGGAGGCTTTGAAGGATGTCATCTGGAGGAGGGACGGGCAAAACAACGGGAGAGGCACTGGAGGGGTCCTTATTGACCAGCAGGACCTCGATGGGACCTGATGAGCTCTTGAGACGGATCTGGTATTTCTTTTGTCCGTTGAGGATCTGGACAAGAACACATAAACCAAGACATGAGATGAAGCAGTAGCTGGAGCTATGGAGCTCAGAAAAAGCACGCTCATCACTTACCGATTCTGGGATGGGGACCTCCAGCTGTGTGCCGATGGGAGCACGGATCGCTAGGAGTGTGTCACCTGAGGAAGAAGGACAGGCAGGTGAGGGGAACTGTGTTTGAGACCGTCAATGTGGGTCACAGAAAGAGAACACTGTCTATAATGACTGAGCATCTGAAATAATTACCTTTGAAGGCTCCGCAGAGGTCATCATGTTTTATATACGCCATAGTATGAAGGGGTTAAGGGTCCAATACCAATAATGATCATCTCAGCAATATGCTTGCTGGCATTACACATCAATGATACACATATATATATATATATATATATATTCAGGGTGATTGTAGTGTCTGCAGGCCATTTACATGAACAAAACCCTATATAAAACACACTACAGGAAAGGGAAAACCCCAAAAAAGCATAACAGGGCCTCTTTAATGTGCGTCACAGTTTGTGTCATTGTGTCTGATGATGCTCTTTGCCATGGAGTCACATGCTTGCATCAGTGTTTTTTATGAAGCTTATCAGGATAAGTATTTCAAACTGATTCATCAGGGCATGTTTGCAAAAGGTAGCAAAAAAGTTAGACACTGTAGTCCTTGTTCTTCAGTCTTAAGTCTGAGCAACATTTAGGAGCCTACAAATTGATTCAATGTTTTCCAAAAATCGTTAAAGGTTACAGTAGTTCAATAGGCTTACACAGCTCTACTGATATAGTCACACATAACAAGGGGAAATAAACTGTTTATCTGTAAGCAGGGCCGGTTTTTGGCATAGGCGACATAGGCGGTCGCCTAGGGCGCCAGATCGGGGGGGGCGCTGCGCTGGTAGCTCTGGGAGGGAAAAAAACATTTTTGACCGTTGGCGCTCATCCTAATTTTCGGCCTTGACAATATTCATAATTAAGTAAATGTAACACCCTTTTCACCCCGGTTACACGTTTCATTTGCCCTGTACGATGGGCGCTGTAAGTGGGGGATGTTGGCTTATCAGGCGCCCGCAGCCAAAGGGCGAGTGAGCGTGGGAGCGAGCGAGGGAGAGAGAGAGAGAGGGTGCACCGGTACCGGCGCTGTTGTTATTAGAATCTGGTGCTAGCTGCTCTAACGGATATAAGAAGAAGATGTTTCTACAATAATGTGGAGGGAGAGTCCTCTCCTGTCAGACTGAGAGGCTCAGTGAGGTAAAGGACTCTGAGTGTTTAGATAGTTCACCTTAGTCCAAGCTATCTCAGTGGGTGTCAAACGTTTTGATCACAATTTATGTAAACAAATATTTCCAAGGCACTCCTTTATAATTATTGGGATAAACAGGTTTGAAATCATTTCAATGTATACTATAGGACAGTAAACCAAACATATTGTTTAAAACTGGAGAGATAAAAAGATATGCATCAAACCGGCCCTGTCTGTAAGTTGTAAAAACAGCTCATTAACATCTTCTTGGGTTATCACGTCTGAGAAAAACACCCACTCAATATCAGAATGGATGGCCTGGGCTTGGAGGAGCACCATTTCCCCCAAAAATCTTTCTAGGACCTTCAGGTGGTGATTATGTTTCCACCAAATTAACTTTTGGTCGATGGACCAGCACTGACCATAGGATGCCTCTTTAAAAAAACATTTCTAGTTTTAAACAAACACTGAACAGTAAAGGATTACATTACATAATTCACCATAGTTTTGTAGATGTTATGACAATAAACCTTTGAATTGAAAATGAAAAAGGATATGGGCTGTTGTTAGAGTCGTCTGTCACGTTCTTGATGCTCTGTTGGACCCAGACTCTCTGCTGATCCAGCTCATTCTCCCTCAGAGCCAGGTCATCTAGCTCGGCCTTCAGATCGATCAGCTTGTCGGCTATCTCTCTGGTGTTACATCCTGGACCTACGCCCCTGGAACACACAGACAAACAGGGGTCAGTCAGCTTCGCAGGACCATGAGCATGCAACGTCTTTTTTATTAATGTTTATTTAGTAGTAGCGTTGTTATGAAATGATTACCCATGAGAAGAGCTTGCAAGAAAAGTGACAAATACAACATGCATAGCCTATGGTCAGTTCTATAATGAAAAATAAGAATTAGATTCTAATTATTTTCATATGGCTACACACCCTCCTCAACATTAATTTCTCTACTGTTACAACTAGAGACATACAGTCACTGAGTCAGTCAGTTTTTCACACATTAACACAGGCGAACACAAGGATAACGTGACATCAACCACTTGTCTTGCGATTCTCAGATATATAAAACATTGACTGAACACTTACTTCCATTGGATGCTGTTCTTGGACTTCTTCTCGATCAATCCAATTCCTTCCAACACATTAGTGATATCATAGATTCGTCGTTTCTGCCGCACGGCCAAGGTGTCTGCAGCCTGAAGGCAGGACAAAAGCAATTAAAATAACAGTAAAGATTACTGGCAGTATATCATTTAGTGGGCTCATATCTAAAAACACAGACAGAGAGACCACTGTATCTGTGCCGGTGAGTTCAATGCCCTGGAGCCGCACATGGTACAGTATGACTGTCATTTCAACTTCCTCCCCAGCCCAACCTCTTGCTGTTTAACAAACTAATGATAACCATATGGCTGGTGCAGATAAGTGCAGGCTTTTTCACCAAAAGGATAGAGACCCAGACATCTTCCCTAATGCCATTTCAATGTATCCATCAATGTCAAGACAAATACTTTAGACCGAGCAACGTTTCCATCTTTAATACTTAACACAATTAAACACAGCTCTTTTAAAAAACCTTTAGAGTATATAAAAGATGTGTTATAAAATGTTCTAAACATTTGAGCTAGAGCGGTGCTATAATTCAATATATTAGTAAATATATAGGGATATAATCAAATATTGTGATACATTATTATGTTATATAAAGTAATTATAACAGGCTCATACTCACATTTCTCAGAAAATCTGCTGTGAAATATTCTTTTTGGAAAGTAAATAGTTTTTGTTGGTTAACTATGCAAGTCCCACGGGAGAATACAAAAATAAAATGTACCATGTGCTTATTTAGTTTAGAGTTAGACTATTTATTTGTTTAATAACCAATACAAAAATGCTATATCATAATTCATATAGTTTTTGAGGTACAAAATGATTGGGATATAATATTTTGGCCATATTCCCAAGCCTTTTATTTAAGATAGACACACATATTATTTGTCTGTCAATTATTCTGTTTCATTGAGGAGAGGCTGATTTGAATGATTGCTTTTACGTCAGTCTGTTTCATTTTCAAGGATGCCGTATGTTGTTATGGGCAGGTGAAAGTGAAAGAGTGAAAGACAAAGCAGAGGGACAACATGAGTGTCAGTGAGGTCACAGTAAAAAGTAATGCTTGGCTGGTCAAGCTGCCATCTGGTTTACTGGATTCAGTTGAGAAAAACATGGCAGTTGGTTTTCTAAATGTTTCTATTTATATTGCAGGAGGACAAGGGTTAGCATTTTGTATAAGTCTGCCATCAGAGTAACCCCATGTTGTGCCGAGTGATATTTGCTGAAAATGGCCAGAAACAGATCCACTTCTCTTAACAACTTCATCTTATTAGAAGTTTACACACACAAACTACTTATATAAGTAACTTTATAGACTCTCACCACATGCTGCTCAGCAGGAAGGGTGATCATTTCCTGGGAAGGTTAATTAAAATATCCTTGACTATGAAAAACATAGCTAACGTAGGTTAATGGATATGTAGCTTTAATTACAAAGCTAATTAATTGTGGTTAAAAGTATATGCTTTTAGATGACATATCGGAAACTAGCGCATTGAATGGATGTCGTTAAGTGACAAAGACGTTATCAATCAGGAAAAAAGGTTGTTCATGTGTGAAGATGCACTAGCGTTTGCTTAGAAAGGAACGACAAAAGCTGACCCACTTTTTAAACTCTGAATCTCCAGGGGGCAGAGTCTGAGAAGTTGACCTGTGTTCTCAAAGTTCACTTTGTAACCTCACTTCCAGAAAGACCAAATACCACGACAGCGCATTTTAGAGTAGGTTAATAAAGTGTTAGAGGTGAATTAAAACTATAAACACTAGCAAAGGGGTATCACCCAATCAAATTAGCTTGTCACACAGCTAGGCTAACAGGCAGGCTAGCGAAAGTGCATGCAAACTAACGACAGCAGGCAGGCTCAAAATGACATGTGCTAGCTAACAACAAAGACTCTACTGAATGCTCACCGCTTTCAGATCCAGCACTCCGTCCTTCGCCTCCTGTAGTAAAGTCACAAACTTAGTGGTGAGGAGTCCCAGGCTCTTCTCGTGCCTGCTGGGAGTCTGTGGCTGCAGCGAGTCCCCCACAGCCCCCAGCTCGCCTCTGCCACTGGCCGACTCTAGCTCCATCATAGCTCGGGAGCAGCTTCGTACTTCCCCTGCCTCCCCGACCAAACCCAGCCAGCGAGACCAGGAAAGCAAGCCTCAACGCTGCAGTCAGACGAAAAGAAGGCCGGAAAAGTGTGTGCAAAACAACAGATGTTAAATGAGCTAGTCCGGTCTGGTTGGTTCCAGATTATTGCAGTAAATCGCACTGAACAGGCTGAAAACAGTAATTCAATGAACGAGCGATCGGTGGAGAAGAGCCGTTGGCCACGCGAGGTATGAAGGGACAGTTCAGTCGTCACAGGGAGTGTGTGCAAATACCATGGACTGTATATATAAAGGCAAATACTCACACCACCTCATAAGAATATTTATAAAAACGTATCTACTTCAAAAAACATGTTCTAATACAGCAATGTATTTAATGTGAACAGCAAAGATTAGGTGGGATTTTTATTTTAGATTTTTAAAGAGAAGAGTTATCCGGAAGAATGAAGGAGTGTTACTTTTTGACGATCCCTTACCTACTCAAACTTGAATAAAACATACGCACGCGTGCATGAGCATGAACGCGATCATGCACAATACAGACACGCGCACACATGACCAATAACAAACTCCAGACATATCCAATAAAATATAGTTGAAAAAGCCTTATTTTGACTGATTCACAAGTCACATTTCAAACACGGAAACAGGGTGGGGAATTTGGGTCAGATTACTTTCAAAACTAACTGCTTGACAACCATACGTTAATAGCTTAATGTGTTATCAAATGCTATTAAGAAATGTATGATCAGCTTATTGATAAACAGCTGAGGAACGAATTATGAATTAATTAACCTTTAAGGAGTGCTTCCCTAATAATTATATAACCGTACTATAATGTAGATAGTGCTGAAATACCACACACCCTGTATTAATGAATAATTAAGCAGTTATTAGTTCATGAATAGTGTTAGAATTTATTTTATAAATCTGGCATCAGGCTAACCCTTAGGTGCTGAATGGCTCTTGCTGTAAGGTGCCTGAAACAGATTATTTTGTTCTCACCATGTTCTTCATCTTATTAGAAGTTTACACACTCAAACTACTTGAAAATTGCTGTTATTATTGTCATTGATGTTATTTGTTATGGTACTACATTGAAGTATAGACGGGTGTTACCTATATGCATACATCATTTCCCACCGTAATTTTGTATAGTTCTTATAATTGTTAAAATGTTGATGTATGTGTTCTTTAGTTTAACATTTTGTATTATGTATACTATATATACAAAATAAATGCTATGGTACATTTTTTCCCATCTTTTTAAAGGACAGCAAAATAAGCCTTGAAATTCAACCCTCAGTGACAAACATGGATTCAGTGAAATTAAATACTTTTAAATGACATCAATGTATTGTTTTATAATAGCTTATCATTGAGTGGGCTATGTAAAAAAGAATGGCAGTACTAATAAGCTGATCAGGTTACACAATATTACAGGTTAAATATTGTTTAGAATTATGACTTATCAATCATAGTTATGTGTTATTATTTGAGATTGTAATAATACTTTTCGTATACTTGCACAGTCAATTAAAACGTAAGATCTTATTGCACCTGTGGTTTTTCATTGCCATATCTACACTGTAGCTAAAGTGCACATGACAATAAAGCCGTGAAACTCTTTATTCTTTGATCAAGACGATACTGGCTGTATCATGTTTGTCCAGCAGGGGGCAGCCACGTCAAAGGAGAAACGCTCGGGTAAATTAAGTTTCAGGGTCATCAGATTCGTGGCTCGAGAAATCTGCTTTGTACGTGAAAGAAAACAACCCCAACAAACAAATGGAATCATCCAAATTATTAACCTTTCAATTTCAAACATAGCAGTGCTGACATAATAAATAAAAACATACTAAGCCCATGCGGCTCATGTCGCGAAAGTGCTCCTCCACACCGCTACACCACAGCTGTCAGCTGACTAAACCAAACAGGAGAGCCTCCTTCTCTGCAGCCGGAAACATCATATTCATTCATGCCCAGGTAAATATCCCTGATATAAGATGCACATTTCCACCAAAACAAAACAGCGTTGCTCAGCCTGACCTGAGCCTGACATGTCCACGACACACTGCCTCTTTTTTAGCGTCGTACCTAAACGTTAGCTACACTGCTAGCTAGCATAGAGCTACAATAACAACAACAACAAGGTAGCTGTCAATGATTGGGAAATTAAACATATTGACTTTAAAAACTTTAAAACCCTTGTCTTTTGCCACTTAGAGTCAAACAAGCTATTCATAACTAAGTAGTCTAACTGTGGTGCGTGTACTGTTTGGGGTCAGGTGGTTTCCTTTGCTTATTTCCATTTCACATAATTTGAAGACTTCACTTTTTATAGACCATTAGACTCTCAGACATTTAATTAGGAACTGGTATTTAACAATCATAGTCATTACATTATTATTTCAAAAAATGGGCATTCTCATGCAAGAAATTAAAGAAAACTGTTCAGTCCTATCCCACGTACTGTAGATACATAAATAAAGATGTCAACGATCATTAGGTAATAAGGTTAGCTTCAGGCAATATGTGGTTTTAACTGGCCAGGGTAGTGCAGAATAAACATGTTAATGCCAGCCCAGGTCGGTGCTCATTGTGCTTTGTGCAATAAAGACAACCTATCTTTTAAAGACCATATTAATTTTCATTGTCTTCCTTCTCCTTCCCTTTTCAACTTCTTTCTCTTTTTGCTTCTTCTTCCTCAAAATGCCCAACCGGACCCACAGCTGCGCGACCATGAAGAAGAACAAAGGCAAAGCCAGCAGTACTAACGAAAAGGAGTTTGTGTTTGAGTTCAGGGCAGGGCAACACAACTGTGTTCTCAAAGTGCCTCTGCAGTTTCCTGTTCAAGAGATCATCAATGACCTCCATGGACGCCTGATGCTGCTGCATAAAATACCCTGCTACATAGAAACCGGTGAGATTGCCGCTCTTGGTAATAGAAAACTTGATGGAGGACTTTTGTATTTGCATTTTTATCCAGATCGCAGGTGCAGTTGATATTAACTGGGATTTGCAGACCCTTACTGCAACTATCGCCCAACCTTAATAATGGACGTGAAGTGGCATTTTTTAAATGTTGTTCTTAAAGGTAGGGTAGGTAAGAATGGAGAAACCAGCTCGAGTGCGCTAGAATTTGAAAGTACGCAGCCGAAAAGAATCTGCCCCTTCCTTCAGACTTCCTTATAGAGCCCCTCCTCCAACACGAACGCGCGCACATGACAAATGAGGGCACGAGATAAGTTTGTGCACAGATGGAAGGCTGACAGGCAGGTAGGCCATCCAGTTATTTTAGCCGGGCCGGCTCAGATGATTGGTCGTGCTTTTTACAGCGCCACGGCTTCCACAGATGACATTTTTTTAATGTATTTATTGTCAAACTATTTAATGTATTCATTGCTATCGGGATGTTAAGAGCATTCCACAAAAAGTGTTTCTGAAGTGAATTACCTACCCCACCTTTAATCAGTGAGAAATATAATCTCTAAGGTTAACATTCATTAAAATTAGGATACCAGATCAAAAATATTCTTAAACAGCCCCCAGCCTCCCCAAGTATGTCAACTAAAATGTACCCTGTTGGACAAGTAACATCATATTTGGTTGCTGAAATGAAAGTATTCAAAGAATATCACAGGGGAAAGAGTTGGTACTGTCAGCATTCATGCTGTTAGTTTGAAATGGAATGGATCTAGCCAATGCTAATTATTTTTTCAATTTGTATGCATCTCTTTCTGCAGATCTAAAAAGCTCCCTTTCCAGCTTCGTTGAGAAGGAGACCATCCTGGATTATGACAGAGAGGCAGAGCTAGCGCTGCAGAGACTCACAGCAGGAGACGTGGATATAAACCAGCTGACCAACGCATGGACCAGGTCTTATGTGGAGGTGTGCAAAACAAATAAACATCAGTTTCTTAACCATAAGCAAACTGGGTTATATCAGTATGAATGTATGTACCGTATAATTATGGGCAGCTATTGACAAATTCACTGTTTTGATAACTTTTGGGATTTATTTTACATTTGCCTGTTTAGCTTTTTAGTTAGTTGTGTTTATTGACTCTGGCTTTACACAATGTTGTGGCTGTTGTAGACTACAAATATTGAATTTTATTAGTAAAATAATATTCGATTTGAGAACAAGGCCATAAACACAACTAATGAGATGGATCACCCTCACAGAGCCCTTGTGACTCAACAACAACCTCTACATATTACATTCAAATATTCAGCTAAAATAACAGTCTATTTCAAAAATATAACATGGATATTAAGATCTTAAATAACTCCACGTGGTATCTTAACCTCTCTATATTTCCTTTCCCGGACGATCATTTCAGTTTGTGATGACAGAAAACGCTTAAAAAACTCAAGGAAGATATTTCTATGAAATACATGTATGTCTATTAATAATGTGGACAGCATGTTTTATTCTTGGTCGGTGGTAATCTCAGACGCTGCTGGACTCACCCTGCTCGAATATCCACTACTCTACGTTTCTGTAGTATTGCAGCGATGTTTAGGAAGTGTCCTCGAATGCTCCTGCTTTGGAGACGCATCAATAATGCAATTTAAATGAAGTAGTACAGTGCATCTGCAAATGAATTATTCATGGGTTCTTCCCAGAGATCCATTATGTGGTGGCGTCTTACACATCATTTAAGAGTAGGGTCAACACTTTAAAATAAGGATCAATACAAAATACTCTAGTGACACACAAAAGTGGATTTCTAATTAATATTAAGTATTGTTTTCTCACCTACGCAAACACTGAGAGTGAACGTCTCTTATTTCTTATTTTAGAAAGGGCAATACGTTTTTTTGTGTTGATCCTTCAAAGTTCAGGAGTCTGAACTCTGCTGTCACTTGACCGAGCATTTAAAAAAAGACAAAGCTGCCTCAGCACGTGTTGTGAAATCCCCCCCGCTCCACTGCACTCAGACATTCATTTAAGGCCTGACTATGCATTTGCATTTCACTGCAGTCACACAGAAATACACATGGAAGCTTTCCAGTGTCCGCCGTGTTTGTGGCCTGAGGATTCCTGAGCCTGTATTAATAGAAGGTTTCACATTCTAATACTGATCTGCTTTACTAATTATGGGTGGGGTGTTTATTGAGCAGAGCTGAACATATACCATGTGTTGCCCTTCGTTTATATCTTCCTGTGGTCACATAGGATGTCGTTTTTTGCACTTTATTCTGGAAAAAAATGAAAATATTGCTAGCCACTTTGGTGCAGCAGATCATTACCCAAAATAACAGTTTTAATTAAATTCAGTTTTTATTTAATTATTTCAGTTGATTTTTCTGTTTGACCATTTTGTGTCTTTCTTCTATGACGCTTCCAGACTACGCTGGAACACGCTCGTCCCGAGGAGCCCAGCTGGGACGAGGACTTTGCCGATGTTTACCACGAGCTGATCCACTCCCCTGCCTCAGATACCCTCCTCAACCTAGAGCACAACTACTTTGTTAGCATCTCCGAGCTCATCAGTGAGAGAGACATGGAGCTAAAGAAGCTCCAAGAGAGGTTGGTATTAGGGAACTATTATTTAACTATGTGACCTCTGTCTGGATATAGTTCGTAGCACCAGATTTAGTTAAGAGGCGTCATAGCAAAGGGGTTAAATATATAATATATATTGTAAGGCACTGTAGATGAGGATTTTGATGCTGAATTCTTTATTATTCTGTTGAAATGTGTGATAATTGTTGTGTCTGTCAGGCAAGCATCTGAAATGGACAAAGTGATGCACGAGCTGGGGAATACATTGAGTGACCATGATGTAAATGCAGTGGCCTCTCAACATTTTGATGCACAACAGGTAAAAAAAGCAGGTGCACCTCGATCTCACAACACGTTTGTAATTTCTCCAAAGACATTTGTCCATTTCCCAATTCACCCGGGCCTGTTTAGTCAAAATATGAAGTTCCTCAGTGTTTGACTTCTTTAAACAGGTCTTGGAGAACAAGTGGGCCAGTGAGCTGAAGCAGGTGACAGGCATTCAGAAGCACGAGTACCAGCAGTGGGTCATCAGTCTGCACCAGGATCTGCAGAAGTCCAACAGCAGCCAGATCACGTGAGTTATTAGTGTTTGTGTTCACACTCACACAAACAGTCTTTTAACAGGATCATGGTTAGTGTATGCACATCTACTTTACACCCACCTGCAGCTTAACAGAGTCTTTTAGTTATTTCCTTTGCTCTATTCAATCTCGGGGTAAAGCAGGTGTTTATCCAACATAATTACTCTTGAGTCAGGTGCTTTGTGCCTTAATTTGGTTAGTTAAAAGCTACTTTGCATAGAAGAATGAATGAATACAATGTTTGAAGTGCCATTGTCAAAATGCACGCACCTAACGGCACTAAGTGTGGGGTTGAAGTTCAGCTTAAAGGGACAGTTCGCCTCAAAATGCACATTTTCCTCTTACCTGTAGTGCTTTTTGTCAATCTACATTATTTTTGTGAGTTGGCTAGGGTTGATATATATGTCGTAGAGATTTCTTCCTTCTCTCCCTTATAATGGAAATTGATGGGGCTTTTTTCTGGTGCTCAAAGTGCCAAAAACACAATAAAAAACGTAAACAGCAATGTCTCTTTTCAGAAATCATAACACAGTTACTCAGGATATTCCACAGAGGTTGTTGTCAGCAGCTTTATGTAGGAACTACTTTCTTTGTGCGAGATGTAAACGCAATGATTAGCTAGCTCAGGAGAATTAGTGAAATTAAAGAGGGATTTAAGTGACGATAGGAGCCTGTTAAACTTTATGAAACTGACCAAATCAAATGCTTTAAAAAAACGTTCAATATATTGCTATACTTTAAGCATTACAATATTGTTTAAAAAAAACTCTTATAGTATAAAGAATACACAATCATAAACTCTGAGAAAATATACTTTTTCAGGCTGTAAAGTAACATGTAGACTGAGTTAATCTTTACATGTAAATCAATAATTAAACTATTGTTTTTAAGAATCAACACCCCTATAACTCACACTTCTGCAGCAGAACTAACCCAACACACTGCTTTGAAGTACACAGCTCGTTTACATAGAAATTAAAGTGAGGTCAAAAACTCCTCTTAGTTTGATTGACACTCAGCTCTGCAGCACCATTTTGACTGACATTGGGATAAGAGTTGGGGAGAAATCTTAATAGTGGTTATCAGTGATGTGGTCCTGCAGAGTGCTGGTCATACTCTCCTCTGCATATATTGGATTTTCCTTCAAAACACAAACACCACCGGGACCTGTAGGCTAAGAGCTCCTCAGGCAAAGTGCTGAGTATGCATTGTTTTGTTTCTAATGATGAATATCATTATGTTGTTATGCGACGGTGGAACCTAATACTTCGACGTCAGCACTTTGAACACTTTTTAAATATGCATTCCCAAAGCTTAAAGCATGAAGGAAATCAGAACGGATTTTGGTGATTCCTTTGATATTCAAAATGTTTTGTAAGTTAAATGCTGAATCCCGAAAAATGCTTGTCATCAAACTGTGTACTACATTATTTCTTGTACTATTGTTCAGGAAGTAGCCACAGAAAACTGCTGTTTAATAAGTGGGTTTTCAAAAAAAAGTATTTGTCATAGCTGTATAAAGTAGTGCTGCACAATTAATGCAGTGTTTGATCGAGAAAATCCAACTAATATATAGGGTTACAAATGTAAACAATTAAACAAAAATGCTACACTGCCTTATCCAAAGGAATGCACCACACATTAAGAAAACAGTGTTGATATGTATTGTTTAACTGTTGATTAAACCTAAAGAGTTAGCAGAAATGCTTACATTTTTTAAAATGTATTAATGGAAATATTAAGTTATTTAGAAAACCGTGTTTACATTTTTGTATTTTATCTGATACTTTAAGTTGGTTTATATGGCTTTCAATGCAATACACTTTTCTAAATGATCAGTAATCTTTGTGAACCAATGATACCATCAGTTTATTGTCAACATAATCGCAATAGGACTTTTTCACCAAATTGTGCAGCCCTAGATGTGAAAATATAATATGTTTATCACTTTTTATCTGGATTAAATGCTTTCAGATTCTTCCCTGACCCTATATAACACGCTGTTTTTGATACATTTCTTGTTTGCACGATTGTTTCCCAGGGAGGAGATCAAGGTGCAGCCCAGCCAGCTGCTGGAGGTTGCAGACCCCGGGGCCCGGATGTTTGAGGAGCAGCCTCAGCTGGAGGAGAGCTTCACCATACACCTAGGTGCACTTCTAGCGTAGTGTTTTCACACCGTTTTGTGTCATTTGAAATGTCGGTTACCACGTGCATAAAACACTTAGACATGTCATTATTCATGAGAAGCATACTTGTTTTGAACTACAGTAGTGTTGTGCTAAATGTATCCATGTGTATTAATTATCTATATATATATATATATATATGTTGTGTTCAGGGGCCCAGCTGAAGACGATGCACAACCTGCGGCTGGTCCGGGCCGACGTGCTGGACTTCTGTAAACACCGTCAGCACAGCAGCGGGGGGGCAAAGCTGAGGCGTCTGCAGACGGCCCTGTCGCTCTACTCCTCCTCCCTCTGTGGGCTGGTGCTGCTGGTGGACAACAGGGTCAACTCCTACAGCGGCATCAAGAGAGGTCAGGGGGACATACTTTATATTCAGAGAAATTGTTGGTGATGTTTTGTAGGAAGATGAACATTTTCGTTTGCCTCCTAACAGTGTTACATTTTGCCACCAGTGAATTCTGACTTTATTTTGGTTCTACTCACAACTCACTGATTACCTCTCACTTTTACTGTGAGGATTACACTATTCTTTCACTCCTATTTATTTATTTATTTAAAGAACAGACACTTTATCCTTTTAGAGATGCAATACAGCATGGGGTGCCCTGATTAGAATCCTTGTGGCCTTCACCGATCGCAAGAAACCGCATTGGCTGATCCGATTACATGGACACAAATAAGCCATTTCTGAGCGCTGGTCAACAAGCTTGTTTTTTCTTTTGCTATAAACGTTCGTACTCTCTCAAAACAGGAAAACTGTTAAGGTTGGCAAGTATGGAATGCAAATGATCTTCAATTTCTTTCAATCAGATTATATTATTATATATAGCAGGCGAAAAAACAGGCAAATGAGAATTGGCATTCTTTTAATTGATGTGTCACCTCATTGGCTCTTCTGATTAGCCTTTATATAGACCAATGATCAAACTATTCAGAATGAATATCAGCCATTTCATTGGAGCACCCTTGGAGACATGATAACAAAGAAGAGCCCTGGCTTTATAACTGTTATTTGATGCATCATTTCATCCCTGTCTTTTTGTGTTGACCTTCAGAATTTGCAACTGTGGCGAAGGAGTGTACAGACTTCCACTTTCCCTTCCTGGAGGCACAGCTGGACGAGGTGCAGCAGGTGCTGCTCTACGCCCGAGCCCAGCGGAGCAGCAAGCAGAAAGAACAGCCAGGTGAGACTGGGCTGCTCCGGTACAGCTATAATGTAGACCAAACATTCAAAGATGATAAGAAAGCGAAAGGCAAGACAGATGCTTCCTCAAAACTGTTTCTTGATTTACATTTCTCTAAACAATCAAAAGCTTGGACACAGAGAAGACATTTATGCACATTTATTAATTTGATCAATTTCACCATTTTACATGCTTACTTTTGTTGTATTTTCAATGTTTATCCTTACAGAGATACCAAGGAATGGAGGTGACGATAAGAACAAAAATGTTGAAAGAAATCCATCTAACATCTTACCAGGTAATCAATACCCATCAATATGTAAATTGACTCTTTTTTAGACTAACAGAGCAAAGAATCTCTCATACATTAATCCCACATTATTTAGCAATATTATTTTCTGACTACAGTAGTTTTGCATACTGTAATATTTGACACTCTTCCTTCCTCAAGGTGAGTTTTACATCTCGCGGCACTCCAACCTGTCCGAGGTCCATGCTGTCTTCCACCTGTGTGTGGACGATAATGTGCGTTCAGGAAACATCACGGCGCGAGACCCGGCCATCATGGGGCTGAGAAACATCCTGAAGGTCTGCTGCACACAAGACGTCACCACGGTTACCGTCCCTCTGCTGCTGGTCCACGACATGTCAGAGGTGAGAGCAGCTGAGAGCACCGTGAAACGTGATCTAACACTCGTTCTTTCTCCAGCAGCGTCAAAACACATTTCTTAGGGATTATAATAATGTAGTAATAAGATACCTCAAGGGAATAATTAAACCCAAATTGAATACAATACTTGAAAGGGTCCTATTATACTCATGTTTAGGATCATATTCATTTTGTACCTCTGCTGTGACATGTTTTCATGCTTTAGTGTTCAGTATTTTTCTCATACTGCATGGCGTTTCAGGCAGGGGGGGAGTTTGTGGGAGAGAAACTCCTTCTGGAGGGAACTTTGGGATTTTAGTGTTTTTAGACCATTTACATGCACAAAAACGTATTTAACACACTACAGGAAAGGGAAAACCCCCAAAAGCATAATAGGGCCACTGTAACTGGACATTGGCTGAGCTGGCGGCTATCTAACGGTGCTACCACAGACAAAGATTTCTCACTTTATAGTTATATCTTTCTTCATATGTGAATGAGACATGGGGTACTTGTCTCATGGATACAGTTAGTTTTGTTGGGAAGCGACTTTAGACAGAAGCCTGAAGGGAGAGGCTGGGATTTATTTTGGTTCTAAACATTTAAATTCTACCTTACTCTTGCTGGTTTTCCCAAAGTGGCCTACACTTTAACCATATTATCGTACTTCTATCTGCTTTGGTCTTGTACTTCTATGTTTAACATAAGCAGTGGTAATTATTTGTGGATGGGAAGATGAATGCTAGTTACACACATTTTCGTGGCTGTTGACAAAGTCCTCTTTTCTTCCTCTTCATCCTACTGCGCTCGCGGCATCCTAGGCCTTCAACTTCACATTTACCAGGTTTGAAACCAGGTTAAACAGTTATGACCTGAGTCCAAATCAAAAAGACATTTGGTAAATACACAATAAGGATTATTTCTCTCTTATAGTATATGTAAATTGGAACGGAAAAGAAAATCTGCTGGAATTTGATGGAATTAGAGATTGTAGAAACATTTAGACATCATAATCTGATCATTTATTTAGAGGGAAGGTACATTCAATCAATCAATCAATGTTTATTTATATAGCCCAATATCACAAATGTTACATTTGTCTCAGTGGACTTCACAGTTTGTACAGAATATCAGTATGACAATACAACACCCTCTGTCCTTAGACCCTCACATCGTACAAGGAAAAACTTCCAGAGAAAACCCACAGTTTAAAGGGGAAAATGGGAGAAACCTCAGGGAGAGCAACAGAGGAGGGATCCCTCTCCCAGGACGGACAGACGTGCAATAGATGCCGTGTGTAAATCGAAGAGATGATACATTTACAACATAGGTAGTCCAAATGTTTGGAAATGCATGTGTCTATAATAATAAGATGAATCCACGAGGATGTCAACAATCCTGTGGGAGCCATCAGGGAAGTAGTATGATGAGAGTCAGGCAGGACCGCAGAGACCGGTTCAGCCACGACTCGAAGTCCAGGACTCAGGATCCAGGACTCAGGATCCAGGACTCAGGATCCAGGACTCAGGATCCAGGACTCAGGATCCAGGACCACAGCAACAGGCACAGCCACGACTCAGGATCCAGGGCTCGCGATCCAGGACTCAGGACCACAGCAACAGGATCAGCCACGACTCAGGATCCCGGTGTAGATAGACACCAAAAAGAAATTTGGGGGAAGCTGGGTTATTCGGAACATGAGAGTACACATTCTCATTAAGACTGTCTGTGGCGCGCTCATGCCACAACATGCCCCGTGCAATTTATCTTTTCATGTCTTTGTTCAAATAACCAAAGACTTCTAACTTTTGAAGCCTCAGGAACCAGATGAGCTTTAATTAGGCGCGTTCACACCAAGTACTTTTCCCACAATAGTTCATGAGAACTTTAGTTCATGAGAGCTCTTTTAGTTCTGATGAACTAAAGCAGATCGCGTTCACACCAAAATGAGTTCCTGGGGGTGGATTAGGCAAATGAGCCGCTGACGTCACTTCTTCTTCTTCTTCTTCTGCTTTGGTTTTACTGGCAGGCCGCAAACAACTTCACGGCGAGTACAGTAGGTGGCGGTATGCACCTTAAAGTTGCAATCCGCCAAAAAACCGAGAGAAGAAGAAAAAAAACTTCCGCTTCCGCTGTATGCTTCTGTTTACCTTCCGACCTCAGTCAGACACGCTATGGAGTTGACTGAAGTTGTGGTTTTGGTGCTCGTGTTACACAGCTTCATAACTGAGTTATTTAAGCCAATAACTCAGCCACAAATACAGATCGACCATTCAAATGCAATAGCAATGCTGATTCGGAGGCGAAGGCGGTTAAGAAGCCTTAACAAAAGGACTGGACGACGACAAGCACACGCTATGGACATGTTTCGTCGTAGGACAGCTGAGGATGAAGACCATTATCACGCCCAAAGAACAGCAATGGTACGTTCATTAAATCACATTAATACTATCTAATGTAGGATTTATGGAGTTATGTAGGGCTAATTTGTGTCTTTGTATGTGTTCCAGATATGCGAATACTATGGAACGCGTCGTGTCCCGCGCTTTCTCTGGGTGAACAATAAAACATCGGCCTGGTGGGAAAAGGTGGTGCCAACGTACACCAATGTGCAGTGGATCAAAGATTTCCGAATGTCCAAGTGCTCTTTTCAACTCCTCTGTATGCGCCTGGAAGCAACGTTGGGGAGACGCAACACCAACTACCGGGAGTGTGTACCCGTGCCTAAAAAAATCACCATAGCACTGTGGAAACTTGCGACCAACTCTGAGTACAGAACCATCTCTCATTTGTTTGGAGTCGGCAGATCTACGGTGTGTTGCTGTGTGCAGGAGTTCTGTTCCGCTGTTGTGACGCTACTCCTTCCTGAGTTCATGCCATGGCCGAACTCTGAGAAGTTAGAGGAGATGGCGTTATATTTTGAGGGCAGATGGGGTGTGCCACAGTGTGTAGGTGCAGTAGATGGATCACACATCCCTATTCTGAGACCAGAGGAATACCACAACGAGTATTTCAACCGCAAAGGCTGGCACTCGGTCATCCTGCAGGGTGTTGTGGATGGTAACTAGCTAGCTGTTATTAGCTAGCTATGTTCCGGCCTGCTAACAGTGTTACCCAATTCAACCTAGCATTGCTAACTCAATCTACCGAGCAAATAAAAGTACATCTGAGACCAGTATTCTGCAGATTAAAACAGTAAAGTGCATGTAGTATATTTTACATTCGATTAGTGCCATGAGTTAGTGAAGCAAATGACATAGCGGCCGAGAATAGCTAGCTAGCTGTTAGCCAATTCAGCCTAGCATGGCTAGCTCGATCTACCGAGCCAATAAAAGTACATATGTGACCATTATTGTGCAGATTAAAACAGTGCAGTGCATGTAGTATATTTTACCTAATTCGTCGTCGTCCTTGGGCAATTCCACCGCCATTGCATCCTCCCACCCCATCGTGCTAGAAGCGATGGTCTTTGCGGTGCCGGAGAATGTTGGTCTGTGGCCAAGCAAAGCATCCAAACGATCGTACCACTTGCTGGTCTTCCGACCATTACCACTCTTGTTGTTGTGGTCTTTTATTTTTTTGTAGTCCTGCTTCAGTTTCTTTATCTTGTCCCGGCATGATTTAGCGCTGTGGACGATTCCGATGGCCGCTAACTTTTGCGAAATACACTCATACATTTTCGCGTTGGAAACTGCCTTCAGCAGAAGTCCCTGGATCGCGTCGTCCGCGTAAATATCCAGAAGCGCCGACACATCATCATCACTCCACCGCTCCACTGATTTCTTTGGTGTTGTCATATTGCCAACTGCTGGTTTGCAAAAAAGTAATCTCTTCGTTGCTACGCTGAGATTTTAATGCGTGCAAGCAAAATGGCTGCTTTATCAAACTTTTTGGGAGTTGTACGGGGCGTGGTTTGCATTCCGCACAGCCAATCAGACGTACGAACTATTTTCTCCCACGACAGTCCCTGCTCTCTAGCAGGGACTGAAAAGCGGGTCTGATGAACTAATTTGAGCTACTTTAGTTCCTGGGGCTTTTTGGTGTGAACGCAAATATATCGTAGTTCTGATGAACTATTGTGGGAAAAGTACTCCAAATTACTCCGGTGTGAACGCACCTATAAGATAGCTTCTGGTTCCACTTTTTCCAAACTTTCTCCTGTGTCATCTTCTCTTTAGTTTGCCATTTAGTGCAGATGTGTGCCTGTTTGGACACGCCTATTCAAAGAACAACAGAGCTGTGCCTCTTAGTCTTATGTTTACATGTGTTTCTGTTTCCCCTGAGCATTTTGTGGAAAAAGGAACGGAGAATTGCGTAATTATGCTGAAATACACGATTAAAAGTTTGTAGAGAGGAAATTGAATATTATCCCAATCAGATAAAAGTTTAAGTTTCCAGACAGTGACGGGTAAAACATTTGTTATGTTAATTTTTCTGGTTGAAAACAATTGCCTCAATTGCTTGGCAAAGACTTACGTTTTCCTTTAGCAACAACAGCACTTGTTCCTACCTCAATACTAATAAGAAACAGACTGTTTATTATTACAATAAGCAGTATTTTATTCCACTGTACAGTTTTTATAATTTGTATTGTCTTCTCAATGTATATAGTTAACTTATGTCTGCTTTTACTTGCACATTGGTCACTTGCAACAGTCTCCAGCACTGTTTTATATCTCTTTCTGTTTCTCCTTGCACTATTTTTATTGTTTAAAGTCTTGCATACATTTGCATTGTTAAAAGAGGAATTGAATTGCCAAAACGACACTGTAGTTATTGTGCACATGACAATAACGCCTTGAAATTGATTCATGAAACTTGACTCTATACTATCCTATTGTTAGGATCCATTGCTCAGTTTATCTTAAGGGCAAATAGTTTGTGGGTAACACAGTAAACACAGGTCTTAGCCTGGGCCTCGATGACACCCTGCCATCGCCCAGTTTGTTGACTCGGAATGGGTGCAAAACACTAAACCCATTTCCCCCTGATAAATAATGTGTTGTGATTCTAATTTCTGACGCTGTGATCAGAGGTTGTGCAGAGATGACTTCCTGCTGAGGTCACTGTGTGCAGCAGACTGGAAACAGGCATGCAGAAGACATGCCTGCTCTTAAACATGTTGAGTTTAGATACAGTCACATTACAGGAGACTTTTGACCCAGTTCATATGTAATATATATACACTATTGCACACATGCGTTGGAATCTGTCTAGTTGGGTCAATCATGTAACACAATTTTAACAGTTAACGTATTCAACTCCAATGTAATCAACATACATTCCTCTGCCTTTTATTATTTTGAGCATTATTTATTTATCTCCTTTCTATTTCCCTACCCCTGCAGGAGATGACCATACCGTGGTGTCTTAAGAGAGCAGAGCTGGTTTTCAAATGTGTCAAAGGTAAGTTATTTTTACTGAAGATTTCTTTTAAATTCCAAGCTGACATTTGATAGCAGAGATCTGTGAAGCCTTTTACTGTTCTTTAAAACATGAGGTCTTGTTTTCATTCCCTCAAAGTTAAAAGAGCAAATGATACTTTTCTTCTTCTTTGAGGAAATGTACCAGTGTTCACTGACAGTGTTTTTCATTTCCCATAATGCAAAGCTGATGAATGAAACATGTTGTTACTTGGGCTGTGCATTTTGCAAGAATCGTGCGATATGATACAGTGATAACAATTCATTATAGTGCAATGTATTGCTATACTGTAAGTAAGGCAATATATTTTGAATGAAAAAAATATATACAATTTAAGTTTAGGACAGCTGTCATTTAAAAAACAACACACAGCCATTTGCAAAATATTTGAGCCGTGCATCAAATCAAATCAAATCAAATCAAGTTTTATTTATATATATTTGAGCCGTGCATGTAAACTATTCATACAAAAATGATAGTTTTTTTTAAGACTCGATTCAGTACAACAACAAAAAGATAGTGTGATACAATACTGTATCACAATATTGTGAGTCGCTCAACACTGAGAAAGTTGATCCTTGACGATACAGCTTGAGGGATGGTAGATATACAAAAGAGTATAATTACAAAAATGAAATAACACCTTAATAAACTATGGCTGTGCTTAAAAAAATTCAGTGCTGCATTATCCACAACGTTTTTTGCAGACGAGCATATATATATATGAGTGCTGTATAAAGTGTCTGGCCTTTTGGAAAAAATAAAAAAACCTATGATGCATTGCACAATAAGCCAAAAGGTTGCAGCAAATACCAATCCACATTTCACAGAGTGCATGTTTACATTTAAAACAAGTAATCGCATTTAGACTAACAGAATGGATGAAAAACTCTATGCACCAGGGAGACAGAGTTTTTGTAGTAAATTATTCGTAGGACATAGTCATTATTTAAAATAAACATGTATCGTGTTGAATGTTTCGTATTGTTATTGTGAGGTTGTAGCATAACCCAGCAGTAGAATACACTGAACATTGCAGATAGATATATGTGAATTAACTTGAATCTGATTTTATTTGCAGGCTTCATGATGGAAATGGCCTCATGGGATGGAGGAATATCACGCACCGTCCAGTTTCTAGTGCCAAAGGTAAGAGCAGAACCTTATACATGTCATTTTGGTTCCTCAACTCTTAGCTTAGTCGACACACACTCATGCTTTGAGTAATGCGTTGCCAGCAGATCTCTGTTAATTCAACAGAAGTGTATACTTACAGTAAGGCCTCGCATGTACACATCATCACAAAAGGCACACCTGGGCTTGCAGTACCTAGCTTTGAATGCAGGCAGAGAAGAGAGACTGTTTGAAAAGCACGCCATTAATCAGAGATTATGGAGCTTTAGGTTCTCTTGACCAATGTTTACACTACTGCCATAAAAGAAAGCTTGGAGACTTGTCCCTATAATTGTGTGTTAAGAAATGGTATTAACGTGTAGCTTCCCAACACTGAGGCGTAATCTGGGACTGCCTTGAATATCCAGCTCTAACTTTATGTAAAAGTAAATGTATGAACATACAGCATCAGCTTTGAAGCTAGGTTTTCTGTCATATTTTTTAAAGTAGTTGTGACGCAGAGCTGGATGAAGCTAAGCTGTTATTTTTTTTTAGCTTATCTTGATGTTGTATGCCTATAGCTTTTGTGGTTTGTCGGGAAGGCAGCACAGCTTAAAGCACAATCTCATGTTGACAGGTTAAGAGGATAAAACCAGCGGCATCAAAGGACCCTGACTGGCTTCAGCTACATGCTCAGACAACTTTCAAAATAGCACCTCTGAAACAACATTGTTTTCTGCACTTTAAAGAGACGCGCCGGCTAAATGTACGCCCTGTTCTCTGTGTGGATGTGGATGAATGATGCGTGAATGCTTACAGATTAATACTTAACATTCTTATTTGACAGGTGGCGATGCTTAGGGACAAATCATGTTCCCCCCTTTTAAATCACAGCTGCCTGAGCTTGCATCATTTCGCCGTATTGACTACTGTTCCCTCAGGGGGGAAAAAGACCCTCTGATGTTGAACTGAAGGGCACTGAACTAAAGGGGCTGTTAACACTTGACTGTACAAAAACAGTCCAGATGTATTGCTGTTGTCATGGGCAGAATAGTTATTGTAGGCTGACCTGGAAGTTAGCATCGCACTGGTTCCATGACAAAAAGCAATGGGATTTTACCATTGGATTATGGAATAATGCCGATAAATATATTGATCTGTGGTTAACAAAACGATTTTGATACTTACATGTTTTTCATGCAGAATGTTCTCCACATATTAACAACACTTTCATAATTTTTGAAGTGTAAATCACTCGCTGTAAGTAAAGCAAACATTAGGCTACAAATTAACTTTATAACGGTCCCAGGGCTTCATGTCATCCCAGCTAAGCTAAATGCCTCTCATTTAGCCACTTGTTAGCAACCGCCTTTTTTAAAGTCCCCTATTTTTTGATAGTTGTCATACATTTACGACTGGGGTATTCACTGACGTATATTAACGTTGTAGAACAAAACATAAAAGTTTATTAAGAGTGTGTTAACCACAGACCTAATGTAAGGCCTCTAACCAAAAACACGTTAAAAAACCTCAGACTTCAAGACGAGGGAACTGGGAATGCTTAAATGCTGACTCATTCCCAGGTTTAAAGACTCATTCCTGAAACAATTTATCAAGAAAAAAACGGTTCAATGGTTCCCTTAAGCCTAGCAAAAAAACTTTATTGAGGTATCTCCACATGTCATAAAAGCTATAAGAAAATAGTTGAATTGAGTGCCTGCACATCTATTGTCGCGCATGGACCCTGGATGTATTATTAACATGCCCTGCTCAGTATTTTCAGTCCCTTGTTTCTCACTAACCCTGTCTTTGTGTCTCTCTCATGTCGACAGAGTATCTCAGAGGAGATGTTCTACCAGTTGAGCAACATGCTGCCTCAGATCTTCCGTGTCTCCTCCACCCTGACCCTCACCTCAAAGCACTGAGAGATGGATACAGATGGACCACATTGCATCCACGAGGCATTCCAACTAACAGAGACTCATTTATAATAACAATTATACAACAAGGTTTTCTTTTACATCAAGAACTGTAGAATAAATAAGTGGAGGTTTGATGAAGTAGCACATACAGTAGGCCCTATTCATTCAAACGGGGCCAACACAATATGGTAGCATCAAAGCGCTTACTGTAGTGGTTTAAAAGAAGGGATTTTAAACCAGATAGAACATTTCTATCCAGTTGTTGAGCCTTGTTATTTTGCACCTTCTGATGCTGTAGATGCTTGTTACTGAGAGAGGACGGGATTCAGTGGCTCTCCAAAGCAGCTGCTGCAATTATCATTTCAGGCCTCCGGGGTGCGGTCATGGTGACAGAGTTTTATGACATCATGACATCAGCCGCCAGTGGGTATTTCAGTTTCCTTTAATGCTGCAATCTGTAACTTAACGCATGTTCGAGCTGCAGCACAACAAGGACCCAGCATTGTGGTGGTTAAGTTGTTTTAACTCTGATACAAACTGAAATTGCCATCAACGGAGCGAAAAAGTAAATTGGAATACACAGTATAGTTTACTAAAGCGATGAAGCTAGATGAAACTGGCAATGGCCATTAGACAGGTGAGACCTAACTGTTATAGCAACCATTGTAATGTTGTATTAAACATTACCATACAGATGGATCTAATATCACTATGTTGGTTATAAAAATAACATCACAGATCTCTGCTTTTATTTTTTGGTGTTTTGATGGACAGTATTCGGTCCCACATTTCATCTGTTTTTTGTTTGCAAATTAGTTTTGATGTATGATCACAAGGAGTCTAACCAATGAAAATGTAGCTTTATATTTAAGGGCTGATTCGACCAGAGAGAAGTAACTAAACGTGGCTCTTTAAGTCCTAAATGAATGCTGTTGCTGCTGAGATGAGCAACACACAGGTGTTTTTTATACTGCATTGCAGTGAGTTGTAGTGAGGATCACTCTTTGCGTGTGTCCCTCCCCTCTACCTCTGTAACAGCAGATGGCACTGTTCCTAAAGACAAAGATGTGAAAGGGTAACTACACAGGCACTTCTCTTATTAAAAGAGATACAAACGTAAAGCAGCATCTGTCGCCAGTGGAAATTCATCTCAAGAAATGTTCATATTCATTGTTAGCAGGGCTCCTCTGGAACATCCATCCTCAGTGGTCTCGCATCTTCAGCTGTTAAGGTTTGTCAAATGTGTGACACTTTAAATCAAATGTGTGCTCTGTATATTTACTATATATGTTTACATTTTTATGTTTTAATACATGTACAACTGATATGTCAATTTCTTAAGCTCATAAGCTCATGACAAACTTTGATATTTTGACTGACTTACATTTTTTTCTCCCCAATGATACACTTCTGGTGGCATTTCTTTCAGCATTTTATTTAGTGTTGATGGGTTATCCACCGGCACATAATCTCTCTGAAGTTAATAATCCACGTAATTCATTGGAATTGCATTCCTCCTTCATCTATTGGTGGCCTCTAAGCCATTTCAGACAGACTGTAATCAATTCAGCATGTCAGGAAAGTTTGCCACAGCCACGTTCAGCGGTGGAATTATGAAGATTAAAAGAGTTGAGAGTTTAGCAATCAAAGCAAGTTGCCTTCCCTTTTCTCAAGATAAAAACAAGAAGGCCAGCAGCCCTGAGAGATTTATGAGATTGAATAGCAACATAGCATGTTGAAACCTGCAACTGTTTATATCATGCTGCCATGCTGGTAACCCACAAAATTGTAAGAATATGTATCGCGAGTGTTTGTCATTCTTGGGATTGGTCTCAGTGGCCTGCAGTGTTGGGTTTCCTTGAGAAGAGAGCGCAGTGTGCCGATTCAGCATGACGGTCCACCTCTCCCTCCTCTCACTTCTGTGTCACATGAGTGAAAATGATCAGAGCAACATTCAATCACTTGATATGACCAGTATGAATTCCTATAGAGGTTTCCTTAAAGAACTACAACACAGAACCAACCCCCACTAGAGGTCGGCAAAGCTTCACATGAAGCCTTTTTAATTTTAAGGGACAGTTCACCCCAAATAATTGTTTTCCTCTTAAAGGATCAGTGCTTTTTTTTAAATCAATTTCTATTGTTGTGAGTTGCCCATTGTTGGAGATATCGTGCATAGAGTTGTCTGCCTTTTCTCCAATATAATGGAACAAGATGGTGCTGTGCAAAAAACATACATATAAAATGGGGTCCTCATTGGCTGGGCTGTAACATTAGCTAGCTCAGGTGAGCTCAGGAGAGGATGTCTAGACACTGCTCTGGTTTCTGAATGTTTATATTCAGAAATATTGACTGAATTTTGATAGGCCATTGGAATAAAATATTGTAATTCTTAATCTTGGATCATTATTCATGATATCAGTTAGAGGTTAAGACAACCAAAGAGCTAATAAAACAAGGCCAAGCCTCAGAGAGAAGATGACATTACAATTGGCTGGAAGAATATTAAGTATGATTAATTAAAACAAAATATATACATATAGAGAATTGTAATAATTGTTCCTTAAGGAAAATAACAAGAAACCTAACGTATGTCATAGTCATAGACATAAACCATAAAATCTTCTCTGTTCTTAATTGAACATTGTATCAATGTGTTTTCTCACACATGAAAATAGACAATTGTAAGTGGAAACCTTGTCTTTTTCTTGGAAAATAGTAACGTTTTCGCTGCCAGTGAAGTTTTTCCCTTACAGAGTAGAATTATTCAGTGATAATTGATTTCCTCACTTCTTTAAAATGCCTGGGAATTACAAGTCTGAGGAATGGCATGCCAGCAGTGGCTGGATAACAATCTGGTGGGCCCACACGGACATTAAAGGAGGAAAAACATTATGATGGTTCACTAATAATTAAAATGCGTAAGATTACAAAAACAGCATGATATTAATCCAGAATATAGTGCAGAAGCTAGTGAAAAGAGGGATATAGTCATAGGAAGACATTATCTGTTTTCCCCCACATGGATAAGCCTTCATGTAATGATCCAAAGCCATGACATGTATCTAAGTAAATTAGAAAGTGCGCTTTCTTTCTGTAAAATAAGTGGGATGACCTGTGAGACGTATTGTTTACAAGGTAAATACAGGAAGGATGCATCATAGGAGTAGAGAGATAGAAACGAAAAAGTAGTACAAAGCTGTGAACTACAATTAAGTAGAAGATATGTATTTTTTTAAATGGTGAGTAAATAGGTCTAATAATATCAGAAGAGCTTTAAATAACAGTTTTTATACGGTTATTTCCTTCACTTCACCGGCATTGAAAGTACCGGAACTTGCCATCTTTCTAGCTAAAGAAATAAAAGCTTGTGTGAGTGTGAGGCAATAATAAACATTACAAAATTGAAATAAACATTACAAAACATATCATGTGCGGCTTTATTTAGCTTAGTATTAATGCATTTCAAAGTATTTATCCGTGTTGTTTGTTCCAGTATTACAAGTTGTTATTCAGTAAAAAGGCGCCAGTTGCGAGCACTTTCGGTCCACGTATTTTGAAAGTCCAAACCGGAAGTTGTATCTGTAATAGCAGGCAGCTTGACAGTGGTGTCACAGCTGGGAGTCTGGCTCTCTACAAGTTGAACAACAGCCATACGTCGCGATCGAGCAAGTTGCTGCACGGATTTCCCGGAGCTGCACTTAAGTTAAGGTGAGGTTGCACTCAACAGAGTGATTTAATGGAGTAATATATGTATTTGACTGCTACAACATATCGTTAGCCTTGCTAAAAAGACACATACCGTACGCAGTTCGCCACTTTATAACTTGACGGTCGTTGTGTGGGTTACAACTTATTCATTGTATGTGGCTGCCTAACGGTGGACCGCGTCGAAAAAAGCTGAAAAGGGGTTTAAATATCGACCAAAGCGTCGGCGTGTGTCGCAGGTTATTGTTCCTAATCCATACGACGTCAGAAACAGTAATTTGTCAGAGCTGAAAATGGATGCGTGTGATTGTGTTTGGTTCGAGCCTGCGGCTGAAAGGTGTAGAGTAGCCAGGGTCCAGCAGCATGGTGCTTTCTGGAAGTTTTTTCCACTCTGCGTGGTTGCCTGCTGCTCTTCCACCAGGCTCCGGGCACACTGATGTGATGCCAAGTGCCATGGTGGCATTCACTTTACACACGCTTAGCGACCGTTATAACCTCCTCTCTCCGTCCACACGAAAGCCCTGGTCTGATTCGCTGTAAACATTTGGCGCTGTGTTGGCGAGAACCCCGCTGTTTTGACACATGGATATATGGGGGTGGAGGCGTTTGAGGACACCCTGTTTTGGAAAGTGGCTCCCTAACTATTCCAACTGGCAATGGCATAAAGCACTTTAAATGATAGAGTGGTTTTTTGTTGGGTTTAGAGGCTTCAAATAGTAGGTTTGAGAGTCAGAGATGCGGATGCAGATGCACACACTTCATGGCAAAATAAAAAAATAAGATTGTGCTGCATTAAAGAAGGCTTCATTGGAAAACGTTGGCCGAGATCCCAATTTCGAAACACTTTTCCCCAGAACTTGTTTTGTTAAACAGTGCGTCAGCATTTGTTGTGATGAATGAATCAGAGATGGTTATTTCACCATTTCCATGTATTCTTCCTGTACAAATCTTCAACTTCCTTGTGAAACGGATTACTCACTGATATCTATTCTCTTTAATGTTGTGATTGTCAGCACAAAGAAGTATCAGAACATTAACCAATGTTAATGGCGAAATTAGAGTGACTCACATTTTAAAATCGTGTATTAAATACTGTCGTCTAATTGTTTTTTACCATCTCGTTTATTTGTAAAGCAATTGACACAATTGTGATCAAAAAGATGATGCTACATACTTTTGTCACTTTATTTTCACCCTGTTGACATTTGTTTCAATAAGAATCACATTGCCTTAGTGTCATCTCACTTTTAAAAGCCTCTGTCTGATGTAAATGACTTTATTTAGAGGAAAACAATGTCAGGAATGTAAACTACATGTTGTACTAAGTAAACTCCTTCAAGCTGCAGTCCTGAGCTAAAAGTTTCCCTGCTTGTTTGAATCTGTTTTCTGACTTGTACAAGACCCTTCAAGATTCAAAGACCACATTAAGAAGGAAGCAGATCAAAAGGTTAAACCGCTCTAACCCATGACAGAGAGACCTTTATTGTCACCATGACCGTGACTCTGCCGCTACACAAAGACCTCTTTCCCCTCTCCATGGTCCACTCAAGTGTGTTATTCATATACCCCTGAAAATAGACTCTTCTCTTTAGCCTTATTTGCCCCGCCAGCTCTTCTCTTGACACTATTTCATTTACAAACCCAAACTCTTTTTGTTTAAAATGATACAAAGTCCGATTGTGTCCTCTGCTAGTATACACAAAACTAGTTTCCATGTGAGATCCCTGAGGTTTCATGCAAAAGAATATGAGCATTAATGAATGATCAGTGACTAGCAGTCATTCTGATCAGAAAGGCTGATCTCAGAGCAGCAGCCACATTCTTAGCGCGCACTACTTTCTAAGTGTCGCCCCAGGAGGAGTTTGTAGAGCTCATCTGCTCCACGGTGATAGAAATGCTGCTTCACCCGGGATGATGTGGCTAGACCAGCTGGCTGTTCTCCGACTGCTTTCTGACAGTCTCACATTCCCCAAAGCCAAGCGCACGATAATCACCCATCGCCGAGGACACCGAGCTACTTAGGCAGACTGAAGGCTTTGCAGTTTTAATCACTCGTAGGCCGTTTATCTCTCGCTTCTACTTCTCTGCGCTGTGAACACCTTGATGAATCACACTTCTGCATATGTTCTGGAAGGCAGGTAGAGGATTATGTGGTGGGTGTGATTTTCTTTTTAGCTAATGGGGAGGGCTTGAAGAGCTTCTGCTGGAAGGGTATTTTACTTTTTCCCCCCTTTCTCTTAAGCTCTGTCCTCTTCAAAGCATTGTGTGCTGCTGTTGCTTTCGGATCGTGTGTAGCCATGAACAATCACAGGTATGCGATCTGTTCAATGGTTGTCTCTCACATCAGAGACGTGCAGGAGACACTCACTTCAGTGGGAAAAGTGCTGTTGTATGGCTCTCGTGACAATCCTATTTCTTTACATTGCTTTTCATGTCGTAGTTTGGCCAGATTAGTGCTTCAATGGTCTAAACTGTGTCTTTCTATACTTCTTGTTGTCACAGGAGATGTATCCTAGTTGTCACTGTTCCGCAGTTTTATGTATTATATTGCCTTTTTTGATTTTCTGTCAGTTTAGATGAAACCTTGTCTGCACTTACGTCGGACCAATTGCCTTGGGGGTTTTATGTAAACTGAGCTGTTGGCTTTATATTGACAGAATCCATGCTGTCGGGTTTCTCTGTCTCTGTGTGAACTCCAATTATTTTCATTTCTAGATTCTGAATTCTGTATTTTGTTGTTATCCATAGGCAAACATTTCAAACCACTTGGGCTTTGCACATTGCCTGCTGAAGTGAATGTGTCCCTCAAGTGCTAATCATTGTAAAAACACTGAGCTCATTTGTTGAAACAGCAGGAGGGAGAAACATGTAACGGTAAAAGAAAGTTGATGACACTAAAAAAGTGTTAGTTTCTTTTTTTGTCCCCTATATGTTTCCCCCTGGAGTACAACAAACACCAATCAAAGGCAAAGCAACACCTGCGCACAGACTGGGAAAATCTTGCAAGTGCTGGAATGCACATTATTAGAGCGCCATAACTCACTAACAGCGGGGGAAAGGGCTGAATATTAAGAAACCTGTCTGGTTCCTGGATCTCTCATTGATGGGAGGCAGAGGGGCGCATAAGTTGTTCCCAGCTCTCTGCAGGCTGCAAGGTCAAAGTCCAAACTGTTTCCCTGTAATAGTGCTCTGCAGCCAGCTGGATCACAGAGATGAGCGCCTATTGGCTTCTCTAATGGGCTGGAGCTCAAATAAAAGATGACAGCATCCCTACCACCAAGGAATGTCACCTCTGTGACATTGTTATCATTCAGAGTTTTCATTGTTTGTGACATTATGGTAACTTTTCCACTGTTGTTATTTGAGAATTTTATCAGCCAGTTTCCATTTTAATGCCGTGACAAAGAATTGTATTCAAGAGGGTTGACAGAAACTCCAGTTAAGTCATTTGTTCCATTACATGCACACCTAGGGCTATATATTGGCAAGCATTTAGGATATGCATCATAATACAGGGATAACAATGTCTATCGCCATACTGTAAACATTTTCTTACTATTTATTTAGTCCTGAAATATGTTATCAATGTAAGATGCATTCACCTAGTTTTTGAGAACGAAACGGTATCAAAAAATATAATACCGCAATGTTTAAGTGTCTTAATATTTTATACACCTTCATGAAAGTCCTCTGATCAGGATGTACATGGCTGAACTTCTGTCAGGAATACCCCAGGGATTACTCCTCGGACCGTGGTTGATTTTAATTGGTGTGAAAGGATGATGGCATATTCAATTCAGCCATTTTGGTTATCTTTGTTCTTTTAATATAGGGTTATCTGATTGAAAATATGAATCTCATCTTCAGTTTTGCATGAAATCGCCCCATGCCAGCGTGTGTGGGTGCGCTGGCACCGGTTCAGTTCTCTAGTGGCTTGCTTGGCCAACTGCTTTTCTCTCTAGTCCTAATTTGTTGCTTTGTATTTTTGTCATTTAAACTTGAATGTACTGCAACACAATGGGTGAAATGTGCCAAGTGCACAACAGTTTTCTAGAAGCAGAATCATTAAGTAAATGAGGGAAACATATAAGGGGCAGTCATTTGGTAATGCTGGAAAATGAAGTGGTCTCTACTAGGGCTGTCCCGAATACCATTTTTCGGGCTCCGGATATTTGGTAGTAATCAGCAGCGAATATTCGAACCGCTTCAACACGTGTATTTCGGTTTATTCACGGCATTCATTTTGTTATTCTACAGCAGGGGTCGGCAACCCCTGGCACGCGTGCCAACATTGGCACGCGGCACCGTAGCCAGTGGCACACTAGGAATAAGTGGAGTAAGTGTGCAAAATATTTAAATTGTATTTTCGGATCCTGAACGAGACCGCCGCCAGAGCGCGTCTCCCCGTTACCTGCAGAAGGAAGCCATGCACGCAGCGCAGCCCCGCTCTCTTTAACTCCAGGTGACTTTCTGCCGCTTTCCTCCGTGGTGCAGGGCTGATCGTTTCACCACGGAGGAAAGCACTTCACAAATTGCAGTACCCATAAGGAGCTGTACAAATGCCGCAGTTTTTGCGTGGCTGTGTCTTTAGTTGAAAGCCCAGTGGCGATCTGCTCATCTCTCATTGAAATAACATGCTACACAGGGGCGGACTGGCCATCTGTGTGTTGAACTTTCCTGTCGGCTCCCAGACCGTAGTCGAGGAGGGCAGAAGCAACAAGCTTCAGGTTCAATAACCCACTTTAGCTTAAATGACGGGAGAGAGGCGAGCTCTTCTGGGGAGGCCGTTGCATTTATTTAGCTGTTCTTCTGTTTCACAAAATACATCACAGACCTCTGTTTTTCTGCTGCCTCGTTTCACTTCCAGAAACATACACACACACGATCCCTCACTGTCACTCTGCCATCCACACACACATGCACACGCCACACCCCTCTCTCTCTCTCTTAAAGGGACAGCGATCTCATCTCACTCTGCATGACCCTAATATCATAACATGTGT